TCTCCCTTGTAATATTTTTATTTTATCTTGTTCACTTTATTTTACATATTGTAAACATTTGCCGTTTTGATATTGGTCCTGACAGTGGGATAAGATTTGTTCTATTTGATTGTCTCCGACATTCGTATATTGTATGCTTTATTTTAAACCCAATTATTTATAGTTTCTTAAATCGTGGCTTTTTCAAAAACTTCATAAGATTATTTTGTTGTCATCAAGCTCAAAAACAGACTAGAAATAGAAACTCTGCAGATTCTTCTATTATTGTTTAATTCATATGTTATTGATCATTTCTTATTTATATCTTTTAATTTATTGTTACTTCAATCTTATATGACATGTTGACTGTATTGTTCAATGAAAGTAAACCATTGCATGCATTTGTATGTAAAGTGTTTGCTATTTGCTGACAACCAAGTACAATAATAGAAACTGTGATATTTAAGTTATTTTATCCTTTTGCATTGTTAAGTTTAAATAAAAGACATGACTATAGTCAAGTATAATGCAATGAATTGTTTTTTTCTGCTCCAATCAGATAGCGCTAATTAAGTAACTACTTTACAATATATATGCCTCTTTGCTGTTTATAGGTCTAAAGTAACACTTAACGCAGGGTATGTCTTACTACGGTTTGCTTCTCCAGATTACAAGGTCCAACTTACAGACATCATGGTTAAGATATAGAGGATTCAATAGTCTTTTGATAGTGTAAGACTTTGTGAAGAGATGGTTTGGTGAAGTGGCTCCATTTTTTAAAGTAACATCCAATTCCGTAGGGACTTTTCGTGGATTTTAATCATCATCAAGAAAACGTTAAATATCTTTATACGCAAAAGAAAATTGTCAAATATAGAAACACTTAAAATAGGTACAAGTAATTACATATATTACGCATTAAACATTCCGAACAGCTGACACATATATATGATAGTAATTTGACATCATGCGCCTGACAATTTTCATTTTCGGTAAGTGTGCCTACGAGTTTTACTAAAACAATAAGTGCATTGTGAAACAAGCAAGTGACATAATATAACGGAAAACAGCACTTATAGTGGTCTAATTTCAACAAAATATCACACGGTATCTCTTGTTTCATATGTTACACGCAAATCCTTATTATATTTTCTGTTCATTTTTCATAGCTCCTATTGTAGGATTTTGTTTTACTAAAAACAATGGTAAAAATGGCATATGACCGTTATTTTAAAATATTTTTTAATAATTTATACTAAATGAATCTTTTATTCTATTATTATGTTAAACTTGCAATCAACTCAGTAAGTATAAAATAAAAATAATTTCTGGAATAATGACATTTTGTAACATTTTTATACATGTATAATAAAATTACCTACATTCTGAAAACAATAACAAAATCAAAACTTCATCATCAAATGACAAAACCAGCTAAATGAGGGAAATTACCTTCCCTTGACCAACAAGATCATATAAATATCTTTTGGTACGTTTTTCTAATATTGATTTATTTAATTATCTTTATAATACAATTTAGGTGAGGGACTTACGGTGTAATTTTTGTAAGTACTATCAAAACAGTTCGGGGCTGCCGTAGTCAATCGGTTAAAATCTCAGATGCTCTGAGCCCTCTATCGGGTATGGGTTCATATCCCGCCTAGTACTTTAAAATATTGCATGTGAAGAAGTTATCCAGATAGCCTGAGGAAGAACGTAGAGTCTATTGAGATGTGCGTTCGTGTCTTACACAATTCACGGGCACTGAAGTCGCCGTATAACCACTGTGGTCCATTCATTTTGAAATTTTTACTTCTATTTTTACTTACGAAAAGAATATCCTTTGAATTCATATTGTAAAAATTGGATACTTAAGGTACCAGCAACGCAACAACAACAAAATCTTTAGGTGACTCTTGTCTACAGAATTTAACTGACTTATGGTCTTATTACCTTGGTAATTGTCTATGCTGAAAAATATACTCTCGTTGTGGAATATTTGATAGGAAAAGTTTTAAAGACTCTACAGTAAATACTTAAAACTGCAACAAATTTTGACTTTTAAAGTTAACTAGTGTTATATGAAGTGGACAGAATGTGACTCATATGTATAAAGTTTACAACAAGTTAAAATTCTACAGATCAGCTGTTCGCAAAATATATTTTCGTTGGAAATTACAATTCCGTCTCCTTCATTTTCACAAATGAGCCGCGTCACGACAAAACCAACATAATGGGTTTGCGACCAGCATGGATCCAGACCAGCCTGCGCATCCGCGCAGTCTGATCAGGATCCATGCTGTTCGCTATCATATTCTCTACTTGTAAAAGGGTTGGTAAGCGAACAGCATGGATCCTGATCAGACTGCGCGGATGCGCAGGCTGGTCTGGATCCATGCTGGTCGCAAACCCAATATGTTGGTTTTTGTCGTGACGCGGCTCAAATATTCCTAGACAGGACACACATTATGTGACGGTTACACTAATATCACTGTTTTATCTAATATATAGTGATCAAGGGAAATAACCGCTGTCACCAAATTACGCAAAAATTTGAAACTCTTACTAGTCCAGGAAAAGACTATTTAAAATCTACTTTAACATGACGCACTCATCTTGACTTTACGTATTTCAAGTTTTCAAGATAGATTAATATGTTGTTGAACTAGAAATATGGGTGAAAATACTGAAAATAGTATTCAGTAAAATAAAGACAAGTTAAATATTAAAAAGTCAATCTTCCTCCCTTTTTCTTCTCTAAATACTTCAAATACTAAGACATGATTTTATTAACAAAACTGGACTAAACAGTAGATAAATAAACTATATGTCGTATATATATTTTTTTCGTGATTTGGCGCAAGATGAACCTCACAACAAGATAGGAAATTAACGGGGTGGTAAGAATTCTAAGTTAAAAAGGGGGGCATAATTTTGTAAAAATCCATCACAGAGTTATGTCCACCTGCCTTGAAGTGGAGATGAAGGTCACTAACAAGTATTCAAAGCAAAACCTCAGAAGTGTGACGCTGACACCGACCGGGTTTACAAGGATAGCTTTCCCTATTATATACATGTATATTTAATATAATAGTGAGAAAAAAGTAAAAAAAGTTGTTCAAACGTTTTGTACTATAGTTCTACTTAATTAAAACTAGTTTATATAAGTTAGTAGAAAGTAAACACCGGTAAATGATTTTTAATTTTTACAGAATTTAGTGCAATGTGTGCCTTAAAACAACGGCTTGTCCCTAGTCAGCAATCTTAAAGATTACCAGTCCGACACAGATGTTTATTACCACGTGCGCACGTGTTAACTACCGCGTTAACATATACATGTATATAAGCAAACCTATCTGTCAAATATAAAATCAGTTAATTACAAAACATTCTTATCTGTTTCACAATTGATTGTTTGTGAGTGTTGGGGGGGGGGGGTCCTCTCCCTCTAAAATTTATAAATAGCTATAAACAAACTGTAGTCATTTTTCTCTAATTTATTTTATGACTCATTCTACTTGGATTTATTAATAAAAAGCTAGTTTTCCATTTTCTTCCTGCGTTGGTATAGAAAATATAACAAACCATGGACTGAGTATTCCCACAAAAAATACTTCCTTAATTTGATCTTATTATATCTACTTTAAGTTATATAAGTGTTTATGACAAAGCTGCATGTGTATTTCGTATCGAAGGTACTTCAAATTTTGAAGTTGATTTTTTTTTACTTTGGTCATACAATTTTGGTATTCCAGTCATATACTTTTGGTATTCCAGTCATATCTACTTTTAGTATTACAGTCATACACTTTTGACATTCAAGTCATATACAATGTACTTTTGACATTCAAGTCATATAATTTTGATATACCAGTCATAAACATTTGATATTCCAGTTATATACTTTTGATATTCCAGTCATATACTTTTGGTATTTCAGTCAAGTGCTTTTGCCATTCACGTCATATACTTTTGACATTCCAGTCATATAATTTTGACATTCCAGTCGAATACTTTTGACATTCCAGTCAAGTGCTTTTGACATTCCAAGCATATACTTTTGGTATTCCAGTCAACAGGTTTGTCATTTTTACTTTCGGTTTCTAATGACTCTTGAATTTTTTAATTTTTTAATGACTGTGTAAGAACCAACTATATTTTTATATGTTTTAGTTATTTTTATTCGTTTTTATGCTCTTTGTATTATGTGCTGGGTCTCTGATATTCTACGGTATATTTTAGGCAATATTTTTTTTTTGTTTAAATTGTCTGTATCACTTTTATTATTTGTATTTTAGCATTTTTTGACGATGCATTCATGTTAAAACAGTATCATTTATGGGATTTTAGTTTAAATTGTATTTTATTGTAAAACGCCATTGAATACATGTTTAATTGTAAATAATAGGCGTTTAACCAATTAAACCAGTTTCCAGTTTCCAGACTCAACAATTAGAACATAAATAATGTATTTTTGCGCTCTAAATTCTGATTGTGTTTGTCAGATATATCTTAATGACTTAATTTTGTCTTAGTAAAAAACACGTAAAACTACTTTCAATCCTTATTAATTTAAAACATGTATTATTGATCAGAGATGGTCAGAGTAGGTTGATGCGAGCATGCGCTTCTAGAGCTGGACAATACAAAAACGAGAATGCAACGGAGGTTTTTATCGTTTGTTCGCTGTTCGTGCATTCGCATTTTCGCAGCGAAAGGCAAAGACATAACAGGTGTAATGAAAAAATATGGACACATTACATTTCATGTCTCTTATTGGCGACCTTAATTCGTTAACCTCGAAAATGCGAAACAACGAAAAAGCACGACTGTCGTACCTACATATTTTCGCATTTTCAAAAAGCGACCAAACGAATGGCGTTAATCAGCCGCCATAATTTGATGATACTATCTAATGAGCACAATAAAGTTTTTATTTCTCCTCTATCTTTCCCTTTCTTCAGAATGGAACATTGGAATAAAGATTTCTTTATTTGCATAGGTAAACCATAAATGACAGATCAATGACAAAATATTTATTGCACACTTCAAAACGACACAAACGTATAAATTTACAATGGTCATTGTCAACATTTGTGATAAAATCATTATCAAATATACATATATAAAGTGTATTATTATGATATAAATAAACATTTCTGTGGAGCATGAAACCTACATAAAATTATGCAAGTTTTAAAAAGCAGTATTTACACAAGCTCAGGCCAGCCTGAAACAATAACGGGATATAAGTTATGGTCTAGCATTGTTAAACATATTTACAACTGGTTACATAATTATGTACAAGTGAAACCTCTGCGGAGCAACTGCCTTCTGAAGACAAGACAAGAAGATTTTGTTTAATGCTGAGAAGTGTTGGTCCAAGGGAAGTAAAAATTACTGTAAATTGTTACTTTTGGTAGACATTATACGGTCGTTATACAGAGGTAATCGCTCTACAGAGGTTAAACTGTTTTTCTGTACCAGACGAATGCATATGGGAGAAGATTACACGTAAAATTTCTTTGACTGACACTTGACCGTTTCGGAAACGCTTAAAAGTAACTGTTTACATTCTCTGCGGAATTTGGGATTCATAAAACTGTAAATGAGAGGGTTAACTCCATAGCTCACAATAAACGAATATTCTCCAAACAGAAAACAGGAATAAGAAATGTCATTCATTGATTTCACCCAGTCATGATTCAAAGTTAAAACAATTTTTACGCATGCGTATGGTAAATGACTGGCAACAAATGCTATGGTTGCAGAAATAAACATGACAGTTGTTCTACTTAATCTCATTCTTTTCTTTAGTCCAGTTAAAGATGGCATTGAGCTCTTTCGTCCTAAATTCGCTGCCGCCTGGCGTTTCTTGAATGATTCTGTCTTGCGCACTGGCAATGTTTTCGTCCCATTCATGTGCATGCTATCAAGTCTAAGAAAGTGATTCCGGTCGAGTGATCGTGATAATTCGCGTACATATTCAGGCTTTGTAAAAGTTGGGTTGTCTTCTTTGACTGGATCGTCTGCCGAAAATCCGGGTGAAGGTGGCAAGAACGAAAATGTTTCTGGTAAAGTTGGACTCAAGTTGTCCGTGTGAGAATCTCTACTCTCTGTATCGTCTGAAATGGTTACAGTATTTGCCTGGAAATACATTTCGGAACGCCGATTATTCGTCTGCTTAGATTTTCTCCCTTTGTTCCATTTCTTTACTTTTATTCCCAATAAAGTGTAAACTATCAACAGAATTATGACACCGACGCCGAAGCAGACGAGAACAAGGGTGTCGAGTAATAAAGGGACAACAGTGTTTTTAGCATGTTCAGCAGTCCCACACGTATGAGCAACAAGTCCGGGGTACGAATCGAATGTAACCTTTTCTGTCCCGTAAACAAAGAGGGTCAGTAATGAAATAATCATAGAGATTCCAGATATAATACCGATAGCAAACTTTGAAAATTTGACACTCAAACCTTGGTGTGGTCTGGCAATTCTTAGATATCGATCAAATGAAATGCATACGATAATGTATCCAGACGAGATATCCGCAGAGAACTGTATAAAATGGTGGATAGCACACACATAATGTTGGTCATTTGTGTAGGGGTGCATTAAGTCATATATTTCCAAAGGTAATCCAAAGAAGCAATTTATTATGTCAAACACGGCCAAACAAAATATGAACAAATTTGTTGACGATTTTTCAACACGTTTGATATATGTGAAAATAACCAGCGTGTTCCCGATGACTCCAACTATCACTAAAAGCCCTATAAAGCTCAAAACTGGTATAGATAACGCCACTCGCCGCTCACTCAGAGATTCGAGGTCTCCCTCGTACATCGACGTGTTGTTGTTCATCTCCTTTTTTTTCCTCTACGCGCAGTTTTAAGAGAATTAAATTATTGCTGTATTTCTTCAACAAAGTGAAGGTTTACTTGTTCACTCATAACTTCAAAATCAGTTTCTGCTGCTATGTATAGTTTATATAAATTCTATACAGATGTAAAAGTGTCGCAGGTTAATCCTCTGTTATTAAACTTTGCTATTACTGCATAAATTGATGTTTCAGAACTCCAAATTGCAAATTCAGCTATGTATCCAATATTAACGTGTCCACTCTTGTCGTTATATTTTAAATCTACTTTAAAGTAAAAATAAACTGATCAAATTTGCAAGTTCAACCTACGTAAAATCACGTATAAAGTCCACATTAAGGACACACCGATTGTAATGTCCTTAGTCCTTATTTTCCTTCCACTTATATCTCAGATTTCTCCATTGTAATTTGCTTTAAGATATATCATTTAGTTCAAAACACTTGAATAGTGTTCTCTTTATTTTGAAAAATATTTCTTAAAACTCTTGTCATAATACAAACTGAACTACACGCCCTGCACTGAAGGAACTGAACTGAACGTAAACGTGTATACAAATTCCAGTAAATACTTTCCAAAAGGTTTTCTTCTTTAACAACCATATAAAATAACTGTATACATACACAAATGCATTAATATCAACGATTTTTCTACATTTCCTGGTGTAAATTTTCAAATGACACCGTGTACATAAATGAAAACTTTAATGTCAATAAATTTTATAGTGTAGACGTTATCAATAGATAACATATCGCAATTTTTACAGTTGGGGTATTTGGATAAATACCGACATTGCCAATTATTGGCCGATGCATATAAACCGAGCTATTTGTTTTGCCACATATTCCATCTAATTCGCATGAACAAAAAATAATGCCGTTATATATATTTAATAAAAAAAGCAATGCGTCCGTCTATTAAAGTACATTACGAATCAGGCCAAAACTATTTTGAATAATTTGGTTCCGTCCGAGTTATTTTCACATTCACCAAAACCAACAACCGTTTTCAGCGCATTTTTCGAAGTGACAATACTTGAAATCTTATTCCACGTCACTAAAGTTAAAGTAAATTACATGCATCATTTCTTTCTTCGTGAAGAAATGATAGCAAACGTTAAACAATCACCTATCACAACATGAATATTTTACTTTTTACTTTACAATTCCTTTCCAGATAAATTCTAGTCGAAAGATAAAGGGTATAAGGCTATATTTCGGCTGTACCTGAGAACAAGTTTTCTGGCGAATATAAAGTTCTTTTCATTGAAATAAATACTTACATACGGATCGATTTTATGTATTTCACACTCTGTATTGCTAGAGATGTTTTGTCACGAATGTGTTGTTCGTTTTATTCTTTTCATAAGGAAAAATAATTTCTTCGGTTTTGTTCAAATTTTCTTCAGGCATTTTATAAAAGGTAAAGGTATGAAATAAAAGGAAAAGTACACTATTGTGTTGATGACTTTGATATCTTACACTCGCCCTGTGGGAAAACAACATAACACGACCACGACGGGATTATGATATCATATACGTATTGTATCGTTGTAAGAAATCTCTGATGAACTACTATGAATAAACATCTTCATGGAATATTTTGCCAATTTCCCTATGTTAGACAGAATGAAGACGTTAAAAATAGATGTGAACTATAGTAAATTGTTGACTTGCATTAAAACGGTATCTTACTGAAGTCAGAGCCAATCTTGTGACATTATCGTCATGATCGTGCGACAGAATGTACGAGGACCAAAACATAGCCTTATCACCAACGACCTTGTCATCTTGACTTACAGAGACGACGTTAACCATTAAAGCTAGGGGTTTATCTTGCAAATCAAAACGTGTAGAATAATGCCAAACTTGTTCCTGCTTTTAGATGATCGTCATTCAATCATACAGCCAACAGGCTATATAATTTTCACAAGTTTGATTCTTTTTTGTTCCATGAACAAGAATATTTTTCAACACAATCATCTGTGGTGCGAATATTGCCGGAAAGTAATGATTCCGGGCGGAAAATATAGTATATGTATATTAACCAATTATTTTATTTCCAATGTCCTAGGACCGGGTTTCAAGAGCAATCAAAATGCAACAATCGAGTTTTGGCGGATAAGAAGCCTCCAGCTTCCTGTTTTTCTCTCTAGTTCAAGTGGCGATACGATCAGCAACTGTGAACCGGCCATTTAAATTACCCTTTATCAACACAACTCACTCTCAATTTAAAGTAATAACCAGTATTTTGCTACCTAATGAACTATGAGATTTGACGTTCGTGTGTATATTTTGCCGTAAATAGCATTCGTATTATATTTAAAGTGCAAATTGAAATTAACTTCACAGAACAAAGCGTCCGATCATTTCCTTTGATGTTTAATAGCACGTAGTAGTTAGTCATCTTTATTTGAATTACTAATTTGTCACGAGATTGGGGACAATATCTTTGTTCTTTGCAAGGAGGTTATCTTTTTCACTTGATAATATTACGATATTCTGATATACAATTTGAAACGGAATCGGGTTTAATGGGAACTTCCCGGTTATGATCGTGAATACGTGCACCTTTCTGCGTTATTTGTCACCTTATAATTTCAGTGCTGAGTTATTACGTCCGTCACAGTTTTATTTAATATAACATTGTGACGTTTTAGCTTTTCTGCCAGGGAGATCCTTTGTGCAATACTTTAGAGACGGTCCCTGGTATCATGAAAAGGGCACTTGGTTGAAACAGTTACTGGTTAGACAAGATCATCAAATATATTTGGAACCTTTAACAAGAAAATTTGTTGAATTGATATGCCCATTTAATTGATATGTCCCGTTGTCAGAAACAAAACAAATCACTTGATTGAAGACTCAGTAATCAAAGGTAAATTATAGAAGTGAAAATAAATTTGGTATATCTACAAAAGATAATAAACACATATTGAAAAGTGTCTAGCAAAGTAGCTATTACAGTAAATATCCTTTTGAGTTATATTAATCACATTATTATGAAACTGTGTAATTTTTTTTCCTTTAAAAATTACAGGATTCAAGTGTTGTGAAGCATGCAAATTAATTCTAATGAACATAAACTCATTTGGCAGTAAACAAATATTTTTAAGGAACACAGATTAACCACCTATCTGGGACCATGCTCCATTTTTTTCTTATTTCTAAAGTCAAACATATCAGGGGAAGAATAACGTAGTAATGTATACTAGAAAATAATTAGATCTTGTCATAAGTGTTCTTTTGTAAAAAAAAAAAAAAGGATCAAATAATGATAAATAACAAAAGTATGACAATTTACTCAAACTTAAATATTTTACCTTGACAGTAAAGGTTCATTAAAGATCAAAGTCATATCAGAATATTTCAATATGTTAATATGGTCAAAAGGGCTCTTTTGTCAAAGTATAAATGAAATCTGTATATAGCCTAATTTAGCAAATTCAAACATTTGACCATGACAGTCATGGTCAACTATGAGTCAACGTCAAGTTTAATCTGGTCAACTTAAAGGTCTTGTCCATAGGGTTGTTGTGTCTGATTAAAAAGAAAATCTTTTAAGAAATAAAAAAAAATAATGGTCAATGTTAAAGTTACTGGATGGCAACAGGAACAACAACCTGACTGTAGCAATAGCTCAAAATTTTCTTTGAAAAAGTCAAACTAAAAATATAAAACATTACAGACATTCCATTACATAAAAATTCCATTACACATATAATGACTTCAAACAAAAAATGCAACACAGATCAAGTGTACCATATATTTTATAATAATGTTTTACTTGAACAAATAATTCACTACATCTCAACTCTACCATTCTATCGCCTTCTCTTTTTCTTGAAACCTGAAATCATAAAAGAATAATGCATTTGAGCTGCTTCACAACAAACCAACATAGTGCATTTGCGACCAGCATGGATCCAGACCAGCCTGCACATCCGCGGAATCTGATCAGGATCCATGCTGTTCGCTATCAGTTTCTCTACTTGTAATAGGGTTGGTAAGTGAACAGTATGGATCCTGATCAGACTGCGCGGATGCGCAGGCTGGTCTGGATCCATGCTGGTCGCAAACCCATTATGTTAGTTTTGTCGTGACGCGGCTCATTTAGTTAAATTTATACCACTAATATACTACATAACCTGACAGAAGGAAGATTGACTGATACCCATTTTACTACTTATGTATATTGAACTTGCTCAACATTAAAGCAAAACCTGCTGTATTTTTTGAATGTTCTAGTCCAGTTTCATTTTTGGAAGTGTCCATAGTTAATTTTAGGGATATCAAGATGATAATATGATTTGTGTCAACCAACAGTATATCTAGCATGGTCAGACTGGATGAATGAGCAGACTGGCCTGGCTCTTTACTAGTGGTAAGTAAAGGCAAGTCACTGTCGGCTCCTGCATGTTAAAGGTTGAGACTGGAACAGACCATGAGTTGTTCAAAGGATTTTGTTTGCAAAATTCCAAAAAAATAGCTGAGAGAACACTGGTTGGAACACTGGTTGAACCTATTTGGAACACAGGAATGTGCAGTCTGAGCTGTTGCTTTACTGGTGACATTGGCTTTGAAATGTTGATCTGACCATAATAAGTGTTAAAGCATTGACTAAACATATCTGTGTAATATTTCTTGACTTAGCCAGGAAATAAACCATCAGACAAGGAATAAGATACATTAGAATTTCTCAACAAACTGACACAGTGAACAACTAAGTCAATTAATGAATATGAAACAATTAACTTACAGTGAATAAACTAACCAATACAAAGAAATTGTAACTGCTTTTAAATTGTACCAAATATTTTGTATCAGTTCATTAAAGGTTTATGTCACCACAATGGAAAATCAATCAAAGTATTTAATTAGTAACAAAAGCTAAGACTCTATTCTAAGATATTAAAAACACAAGTTATATGTATATCAAAAAATTGTTTTTCTGAGAGAATCATTTCATACTGAATTTAAATTGTTAATTAGCTAAACATTTATGCCATGTAAGTGATTGAATTGTATATTCACATAATATTAAAGCTGCTATGACTCGTATAACTGGTAGATCTAATGTATTGTTTGCCACACAGATTACTGATAAAATACACACCAGAAACATGTCTGGCACAGAATTCTCTATCATTATATTTTCTCATATGAAAATACAGGAGAAATGCTTTACATCACCACATTACAATAGAACAGATAAAAATCTTAAATTTTCTCAACAAGTTTTTTTCATTCCCACAAAAAACTACTCTTTAACTTATATGAAACTTATTATATCGAATTTTTTCTTACATTATAGATTGTGTTCTTATCAGTATTTTAAACAAGAACTGAGGTGCCAAATAATTGTATATGTGTACATCTAATCTTCAATCAACTGAATTTACATGTGTTTTTTTTTATTCCAATTATTAAGTTGGAAACTATTCAACACTAATTAGCATTAATTTTATTTATCTAAATACAGTAAGATCAGATTGTATGGAATAACAGATTGACATTACTGCTTTCATAGACATGTATATTATATCTGTAATTATAATACTTCATGTTTGTAACATCGTTTTTCATTGGATAATAGTGACATTTATATAATTTAAAAACATGACTTTTATGCTTTATGAATTAATTTCTTTTGTTTCTCTAATAAAAAAGTTTGCAGTATCATAAATACCTTATAAAGATTCTCAACAGGTTATATGGCTATATATAAATGGTTATTTGCAATATAACCAAAACCATTTACAACCTAACCATTTATATAAGGCCATATTACCTGAAGTAATTATGTAACAATGTTGACTAGCATACTCTCAACATTCCAACTTTAACCACAATAAACTAAACAAAAGATGTTGACAAGTCTTTGATACAAATGTACAGGAAATGTTACATGCCACTGCTTCCAGTATAACGTAAATTAAAATAAAGTCAAACAAACTTTGCAACTTTACTAACAGGGCATGTTGCTAAAGGTCATAGATGCTCCCTTTACCAGTTACCTTGACCAAAGTTATCCCTAACTCCAACCAAGGTTGCAACAAAACTACGGTAGGCCAAAGCGACACCTTTATGCTTCCCAAACTTTTGGGAGAAGCATGATAAAAGCTTAATATCAAAATAAATGTTTTCATCAACCTCTCTATTGCATAAAAAATTACTTAAAATTTCCACAACATAAACTTCCAGTTTATAAGAATTCTACATTCCTATCTGCCATGACCTGAGGTTAGTTTTGTTCAATGACTGCATTAAGTGGTTTATAGTGCTTCAAGTGCCTTAAAAATAAGGAAGAAATTTGGAATAGTCAACATGGTTGGACAAAAAAACTTTTCATGATTCTAACTAATTAATTACTGACATGTCATGAGGATAATGACACTGACAAAAGTCATGTCACATAGTAACCGTGTCACATAGTAACCGTGTCATAATGTAAGAGCTGGTAACATGAACATTTTCAACAGTATTACTTCAGGCACCCGGACATATACACGGCCTTCCTCATTAAGCCAGATGGATGACTTCCAATATGCTCATACATGTATATGATTGAGTACATATATTTGGAATTCATAACATTATGGGCTAACAGCCTATCAAATACTTGAAGTCAGCTTTCTGTACATTTACCTTAAATTTAACAATTTATGAAATGAGTCGCATCACAACAAAACCAACATAGTGCGTTTGCGACCAGCATGTATCCAGACCAGCCTGCGCATCCGCACAGTCTGATCATGATCCATGCTGTTCGCTATCAGTTTCTCTACTTGTAATAGGATTGGTAAGCGAACAGCATGGATCCTGATCAGACTGCGCTGATCAAGGCTGGTCCGGATCTATGCTGGTCGCAGTTTTGTCTTGAAGCGGCTCAAATATTCCTTACTTTACAACAAGACAATGTCGCTCTGTTTCAGTACATGAAAACTATAGTACATGTACAAATGTTTTTCTTATTTTCTATCAAAAGTCTTGAGAACTAGGTCTCTACAACATTATCACAAATACATGTACATGTAGAAATATATACAGCCTTTGGCTTTGCTCTTAAACATCTTAGCCCCTCCCTTGTCATAAAATATATTAGTCATAGTTATAACAAAGCTTTACAGAACGTCTGTATGTGTCAATGACATTAAGACAGTTTAAAGTCCACAAAAATCATGAATAATCACGAGTCTTCCTCGTACTTTATTATTACAACACCCATGTTATATATCTTGACATATCATGGGAAAAGTTGGTTACCTTTCTTTCCTTTCTTGCCACCTTTACCCTGAAAAAATAAACAACAAGATAAGTTATAATTATATATGTGACATTTTCAAGACAGAATCATGTCTTCATGCCAAGCGTTACTTAATGCTACATACCAACAATAGAAGAACTATTTAGAGTGTTTTATAAAAAAAATATAGCTGTTGACATTAATGCTTATTTGGTTATACATTCTTTATTGTACATAAGTGGGCGTTTTTAAATTCATAACGATTGTCAGAGATATTTTTCAACATAAATAGACTTTATTTCGTTTGAATGTCAAAAATATAAATTTCTTATACATAACAAAGATAACACTCTGTTTTTGCTAACATTACAAAATTAACACATGGTAGAACTACTTTCAATCATTTTGTATAAAGTCCGAGATTATTATGAATAATTGATAAGGTGTTCAGATTGTTCCGTACTGGTATTAATTGTGTCATTGTGTGCCATTCAAAATTTCAATATTAAATGACATGAGAATTCACAGTAAGCTATGTATCCAGTGTCAGTTACTTTAAAATAAGGCATTTATCAGACTTTGATAAGATCATTGAGCATTTAAATATACAGAGAATGAATACAAACTGATGTTTAATGTTTACAAATAACAAACTTATGTTAATGTTTACAAATAACAAACTACCTTTTCAACTTTTCTTCTTTTAGCTGGTAAGTCCTGAAAGTAAAGAAATGTCACAATAATTATCTATAGTAAAGGTGAACTTTGCTTTTATAACAATACTGTCAGCTGTGTTCTGTAAATTTCTTGCCTGTTCATCAGTTCAGATAGGCTGATTACCTATTATAATAATCACAAACTATATAGTATGGATGTTTTTCAGCCTTGATATCAAAAAAGATATGAGCTGTGCCATGACAAAACCAACATAGTGCGTTTGCGACCAGCATGGATCCAGACCAGTCTGCGCATCTGTGCGGATGCGCAGGCTGGTCTGGATCCATGCTGGTCGCAAACCCATTATGTTGGTTTTGTCATGGCATGGCTTATATGCCCTTACAATACATGTTATCAAAAAATTCAAATTTAATTAAGGATTTCATTAAGAAAATAACATACCCAATACTAAACTGATTTATTCAATTATTAATAGTGGATAAACTTCAATTTTCTATTTGATATAAAATTTGGACATACTATATATAAGGATATTTCATTATAACATGCTACATTTAAATGTTATACATATACAATATAATACTTCAAAATATATTGAAAGAAAATAAAGTGTTTAAAAAATATATACATATACATGTATACTAGTATATGTTTAATCTATACAAAAAAAAACACTCATCTTTCCCTTTTTAGCATTAAAAATATAGCAGTTTTATTTTCCTGTAAATTAATCAATGCTGGCAGTATATATATTCTGCTAATTGAATTAAAAATTAAAACATAAATATTTAAAACCCAAAGTATAAATAGAAAATTTTGCTAGAAAACTGACTGCAACATCTTTCATTATTTAGTGAGTCAGTTACATGTACAAATTATGACATAATCACGGAAATTGTATGACAAAATTTGATGACTGAACTTCCAGCACTTACCTCAAATTATAGACTTATGTTAAATTACTATAATGAGCATGAAATTCACCAATTACAGTTTTATATGACGCATGTATTGCATTTTTTTTATTTACATGTAGGGTCTGTATATTGAGTAATTCTATGTAATATTTTGTCAGCTTATAGTTACATATTCATAGTTGTGATATTAACAAATTCTGTTAAATAGGTCATAACCTTGTTGTACAACAAAACTTTTAAACAAACTTACTGTATGTACAAAATGCTACTTTATAACACTTTACACCACATTACTTTTGAACAGTACAGTATGAATATAAATTGTATGTATACAATTTTATGTTGAATAAAATATACAATGTATATTATGTTATATTAAAGTAGATAACCTGTTAACTATAACAATTATATTACGTGTATATAATTTTAATCTAATTCTTTAATCGCCCCTTAAGAGCTTTTACTAAACAAGAGCTGTCGGTAGGACAGCAACGCTCGACTATTCTTAGTGCTTGATAGTAAAAAAAATGCTTGATACAGTTACCTCCTACTGTTTACAGGTTGGGGTCATGATGGTGAACAAGTGTGCAAAGTTTCAAAGCCATATGTCAATGGACTTTGAAAATATTTGAACTATTACAAAAACTTTAACGTAAATTCTAAGTCGAAAAAGGGGCTTAATTCTGTCAAAATGCTTGATAGAGTTACCTCCTACTGTCTACAGATTGGGGTCATGATGTTGAACATGTGTGCAAAGTTTCAAAGCCATATGTCAATGGACTTTGAAAATATTTGAACTATTACAAAAAACTTTAACGTAAATTCTAAGTCGAAAAAGGGCATAATTCTGTCAAAATGCTTGATAGAGTTACCTCCTCCTGTCTACAGGTTGGGGTCATGATGGTGAACAAGTGTGCAAAGTTTCAAAGCCATATGTCAATGGACTTTGAAAATATTTGAACTATTACAAAAACTTTAACATAAGTGGTTACGCCGACGCCGACGCTCGGGTGACTGCAATAGCTCTACTTATTCTTATCGAATAGTCGAGCTAAAAATCATATTCTTTTTCCTAATTTTTGATAAAATTTTCATTTTAAGTGCTAAAAATAGAAGTGAGTGAGATAAAACTCTCATCTTTCAATATGACTGATTTTTTTAAAACTAACTATTGGCTATGAATATCAAAGTAATCAGTTCTGAACCAAATATTCCAATATTTCAATTTTCAGTAATAATTTAATTACATGTATATTATGAGGGAAAGGTACGTTTGACAGGAAGAGGAAGGATTATCTTGTTAAAGGTTTAAGTAATATTACGCCTATGCAAGTGTATTTAGTGAGTGAACAGGTGAAAGCCAGAATAAGATTTCATTTTGCCACAATTCCTTTCGATTTTATAATTTACTTTGTATGAACAATAAATAACTCATGTGACCCAAGGAAATTTCTGTACTTAGAAATAGTACATTATTTTTTCATTTCTATAAGGAAAAAATGTGCAGTATAAAATAAAAGGAAGTAAATATATATTGTAAGTCAATGGCTAACTGTTATTAGTAACTTTCACTTTAATTAGAACACTATTACAGTATGCAAATGAACGTAGATATAAAGTTCATAAGGAAATTAAATGCTAATGACTAGAAAGTACAAGAGGAAGTTTCTCTGTTGAGATATATTATGGAAAGTACAAGTGCTGTGAAACAAAATCAAAGTTCTAGAATATTGAAAATTTTATGTTTTCATTACATGTACATAACTTTGTTATACAAGCACAGGGACATTATAATTATGGAAACAGAAAAAACATGAACCAATGGACTAATCTTTTAACATGTCATCACCTCTAAAAATTCCATTTTATCCCTTTTTACCATTTTTTTTTTACTCCTTTTGGGCACAAATATTTTGTATGTCATTTTTCATGCAATGTATAAGAAGTAACACACTGAAGTTTCCATTATCACCATCATATGAACAAAACTGTGGACCTTTCCAAATTCTTCATTTCAGATAAGACTTTGAGTCACTTAGTTTTTACTTCAACCTTTTTAGGGCTAATTAATTTCTAACCTATTACTTTTGTTACCAAATAATTTTTTTCCCCCCAATTCAAATAGTATTTTCCAAATAGTTTCCAAATTAAGTTTTAACTACATTTCTAAGATAAACAAGAAATGTCGAACGACATACATGTCCTCTTTTTTAGCCCTTGACACACATTATTGGTTATTTTGTTATAAAGAATACAATGACCAAAATTCGAACTTTAATTAGGGAGAAAAATCATGGGTAAACTGTATGACTAATATTGTGAAATTTTATAAATAGCTTTCAAGATAATGAGCGGAAACCATACTACCATTCAAGGACCCTGTGAGCTTGACTTTTGACCTAGTGAACCCAAATTTAATAGGGGTCACTTACTAGTTATGACCAATCAGTATGTGAAATATGAAGACTTTGTGATAAATAGCTTCCAAGATAATAAGCGGAAACCATTCTGACATTCAAGGCCCTTGTGACCCTGACCTTTGACCCTAAAATCAATTGCGGTCATCTACCGACGGACCGACAGACCGACATTATCAAAACAATATACCCCCTATTCTTCGAAGGGGGGCATAAAAACAATTTAATATTTAGATTTTAATCCATTTTAGTCTGAACAAATTTTTTCAAATTTTTTTTCTGAAAAAAAAACCAAAAAAAATCAAGAGGTAAAAATGATAAAACAATGCTTAAGTAAGTAGAGCACTGTTAATCTAAGGGGTGTGGACTGTAGATTGCATATGTCATTGCCATACATGAACAGACTAGATCAAACCAAGCCTGCAATATGTCCATTTTTGCCATTTTGGACCTTCTTTATGGTTTCCATTTAATCTATTTTAGTCTTTAAAATATCTTTAGCCTAAATATATCTCTTTTTTTTTCATTTTCCAACTGAGAATCAATTTTCCATGTGCCTCAGACCTTTTTATGTCTACAAGAGGCACAACAATTCCATATCATCAATGTAAACATTATTATTTTTCAAAGAAAATAAGAAAATTGATTTATCAGCTCACTTTCATCAGAGGAAATAAGACAAGACATATTCTGGTATCTATAAAACATTTTTTGCCTGTTTTTTTAAAACGAGAAAACTTATTCTGAGAATAGCTTAAGTGGCAGCTGTCCTTAATTTACATTTTAAGTAAGGTCATAAGGCAACTTTCCATCTTTCCTATCGAAGGAAGATTTCAGTTGCCACTCCCTACATTATTTCAGGAACAAACTGACAAGTGGATAGGTAGAAATAAGCTAGCTGAAAAGTTTCCTGTTATAAAAAAAAGCAAGTTTTTTTTTTTATTTTTAAGATATCATATTCATGCAAAGATTGTTTCTATGGTTAAAATCAACTTACCCCTGACTGTCCTTCGTCTATATCTAACGCTGATATACTGTTAAAATGAGTCAAACTGTTCAATGAAGAAATTGTAGCCATCCTTTGCTGTGAATGCTATAAAAATAGAAAATTATTAATAATAAATGCACTATACTTGCAACTTTAAGTCTTAACAAGGCTATCTTTAAACTTATCATAAACAATTATAATAAGATCAATTAAAATGGTCTAGTTACAAAGATGATAGTACTTTTGAAAAGTTCTTTTTTTAATGCACAAACAATGACATTTACCACATCAAATGTCTCTTTATATCTACATGTATTATAATGTCTTTTCCTACAGGATAACAGTTTTCAATGTCAAATGATTAAATATAGGGGTGTCACCTTTAAACTGGTGCTTAAACAGTAAGGAAAATTAAATAACTGGTAACCAAGGTTAGTATTTGACTAAGGGGCGGAAAAGTTTTAAATTGTTTCTAAATATTACCTTAGTTTTTTTATGACAGGATATGACAATTATTTGTACTTTAGTTGTACTCAACAATGTATTATTTCCGATCTGATCCAATATGGTACAACCCTAGCAGAAAAAAGATACTCCATATTCGGATATGTTGTAATCATTTTGAGTACAACAAAATAAGAACAAAATGGCATATCTTGTCATAAAGAAACAAAGTTTATGTTGAAAATCTAAGTATTTTATTAGTATGGTAGATTAAACGTTTAACAGGGTAATTATGTTGCCGTTTAAACGTTAAGCATATTTTCTAACGGTGACACCTCTAATTAAATATACATATGATACTTAAAACAAATATATATATAAAAGTATTTTTTCATACAGATATCCCTTTAATTCTTTATCTCCACCATAAAATAAATAGTAAATATTATTGCTTTCAAAATAAAGCAAGAGATGCTTGTGATTCATGTATGCCACTCCCATGCAATGGTACCTAATTAGCCATGTTACATGGATGTCTTAACTGTAAAATTAGTATATAGATCTACAGGTTATGAGGAAGAACCTCCTATTAAAATTTTATGTCAGTACACGGAGGTCAAAGTGTTCTGTCATGACTAACATCCCACCTAATCTAAGTTCTGTTGACCAAGCATTTGCTAATTATTGATTAGACAAGCCTTTATTTTTGCACTGACCTTGACATTTGACCTTCTGGCCTTAAAAGTCAATTGCGGTCATCTTTAAATTATTATCTATAGATAGTCAATCATGCTTGTGCAGTATTAGTGTGTATCTGTATGTTATGCTTTACAATGTGTGGAAACTTATCTAGCCATATTTAAATTGATTATCACAGTTTACTATCAACATTTTAACAGTTGTAACTGGTTGTTCGGGACATTATAACAGAGTATAAATTTCATAACAAGATCATGCTGTTAGTAATCTATTTACTATACTTATATAAAATATTTTAAAACAAGAGCCATGTCAACATGGCCATCCCCCGCCGAATGTTTTTGCTCATTGGAAGAATGTATATGTAGTAGAGCAGAATAATTCCATTTTAAGAGGTCTTTTGGTAATGAAAACTGATGGCTATAGTGATTACAGATTTGAAACCTATGTGAATACTGATGGCTGAAAATAACAAAGGGCAATAACTGAAAAATAATGCAGGGTAGGTTATCATCCTTGTGTGCTGCATCCCTCCTCAGTAAAATCTATCCACCTATGAAGTTTCAAGTTGATACCTCAAATACTTTTTGAAAAAAAAAATGAATTGAAAAATTAAGTATGAAAAATAACAAAGGGCAATAACTCAAAAATTATAAAAGGTACAGTTATCATTCATGTGCAGTGCACACCTCCTGAGTGAGATCTATGCACCTGTGAAGTTTCATTTTGATATCTCAAAGGCTTTTTGAGTTATGCTCTGGACAAAAATTAATTTTAAAAAATAACAAAGGGCAATAACTCAAAAATAATGCAGGGCAGAGTTATCATTCTTTAGCACTGCACTCCTCCTCAATGAGATCCATCCACCTATGAAGTTTCAAGATGATACCTCAAATACTTTTTCAGATAAGCTCTGGACAAAATAGCATGAAAAAAACAACAAAGGGCAATAACTCAAAAATTGTATAGGGAAGAGTTATCATTCTTGCGCACAACATTTCTCCTCAATAAGATCTATCCTTCTATGACATTTCATGTTGATATCTCAAACACTTTTTGAGTTATGCTCCACTCAGGTGAAAAATTAGGTATGAAAAATAACAAAGGGCAATAACTCAAAAATTATGAAAGGAAGAGTTATCATTCTTGTGCACTGCACACCTCCTGAGTGAGATCTATGCACCTATGAAGTTTCATGTTAATATCTCATAGGCTTTTGGAGTTATGCTCTGGACAAAAATCAATTTTGAAAAATAACAAAGGGCAATAACTCAAAAATCATGCATGGTAGAGTTATCATTCTTGTGCACTGCACTCCTCCTCAATGAGGTCTTTCCACCTATGAAGTTTCAAGTTGATAACTCAAATACTTTTAGAGATATGCTCCGGACAAAAATTTCGGACGGAAGGACGGAAGGTCGGTAGGACGGACGGACGGACGGAGACTATTACTATATCCTCCGCCGAAAATTTTCGGCGGGGAATAATAAGATTAACTAGAACTCCGTGAGTCGGATGTGTCGCCTTGTGAACAATTTAGTTTAGGATAAGAAAATTAACAAAGGGCAATATAAAGTCAAAAAATAAGAAGTGCAGAGCAGCAGTTTCTTAGCACTGTACTTCTTATCATTAAGATATATCACCCTATGAAGTTTCAAGTCCATAGCTTTTATAATTTATGAGAAATGGCCTGGACAAAAATAAAGTATGAAAATTAATAAAGGGTTATAACTCAAGAATAAGAAATGCAGAGTACCGGTTCTTGTACACTGCACTTTTTCTTAATGAGGTCTATCATCCTATGAAGTTTCATGTCCATAGCTTTTACACTTTAGGAGAAATGAGAAATGACCCAGACAAAAATAAAGTATGAAAATTAACAAAGGGGAATAACTCAAAATATAAGATGCAGAGTACCGGTTCTTGTGCACTGCATTTCTTCTTAATGAGATCTATCATCCTATAGTCCATAGCTTTTATACTTTCAGAGAAATGGCCTGGACAAAAATAAAGTATGAAAATTAACAAAGGGCAATAACTCAAAAAATAAGAAATGCAGAGTACCAGTTTTTGGGCAGTGCACTTCTTCTTAATGAGACCTATCATCCTATGAAGTTTCCAGTCCATGGCTTTTATACATAAGGAGAAATGGCCCAGACAAAAATAAAGTATGAAAATTAACAAAGGGCAATAACTCAAAAAATAAGAAATGCAGAGTACCAGTTTTTGGGCAGTGCACTTCTTCTTAATGAGACCTATCATCCTATGAAGTATCAAGTCCATGGCTTTTATACATAAGGAGAAATGACCTGGACAAAAATAAAGTATGAAAATTAACAAAGGGCAATAACTCAAAAATAAGGAAGTACAGAGTACCGGTTCTTATGCACTGCACTTCTTCTTAATGAGATCTATCATCCTATGAAGATTCAAGTCCATAGCTTTTATAGTTGAAAAGAAATGGCCCGGACAAAATTATAAAATTTTCTTAAATTATATAAAAATGTAAAATTTCTTGCTTCAAAGTAGATTATTTTAGATTTTTTTTACCGGGACATAAATTATCTCCGGGACACCTCAGGGACAGACACCTTATTTCCTGGACTGTCCCGGACATCCAGGACGTTATGGCATGTATGTGTTACATGTGAAACAGAGACAAGATATGTTTTTCCAGCTACGGTTATTTTATTTTATCTTTTAATTATTTATCTGGTTAGAGAGAAAATGTTTATTAATGAACAAGACTTACTTTGTCCTTTTTTGTTGTGTTCAATCTCACAAAATGCTCCTCTTCATATCTATAACACAATTTTTATAATCATAATGTAATAAAATTATTTACAAGAAACTTATAATTCATCATTGATTTTCTGTTTTATATATAATAAAATAAACTACGCAATGGATGTACTATTCTAAAGGTATTGGAGGTAAAAATAAACAAATTTAGTAGATAATTGACTTGATATTAATGTGTACTTGACATGGGCCAAATGTTATAAAGTTTGTATATGTATATTGTTCAATCATGTTCTAGATTTGTCACAGGCAAATTTTACTTCTCTTGTAGTGACTATATGTCAAATCCAAAAACAACTAAGTTTTGTCTTTTTTTATTGAAGTACAGACAAATATGTATATAAATAATAACAAATAATTGAGTCGCATCATGACAAAACCAACATAGTGCGTTTGCGACCAGCATGGATCCATCCCAGCCTGCGCATCCGCGCAGTCTGATCAGGATCCATGCTGTTAGCTTACAAACTGTATAACAAGTAGAGAAACTGATAGCGAACAGCATGGATCTTGATCAGACTGCACGGATGCGCAGGCTGGCCTGGATCCATGCTGGTCGCAAACCCATTATGTTGGTTTTGTCGTGACACGGCTCAATATATTTTTTCAATTGATTATACCTACCTTGTTTTTTCTTTTGTCTTTTTGTCTACTTTCATTCTGTGTAGATCTCTGTTTTCCTACAGCATTAAATAAATTCATTATATTTGACACAACACACTTTATTACAACATACACATAGTTAAACTATTAAAGGGAACTAAATCTGTAATTATGCAAAATAAGAGTAAAATTACATCCCTTGTCAAAAATAATTCTAAATTAGATTTGTAAAGTTCACTTATGTATTCACTGTTTTAAATTACAAATCAATCTATGTGTACAGATAGGTAAACCATGATTATATTATAAACTTTAAAGATGTATGACAGGTTATATGGTCTGATATAAACATTTGTTTGCATTATTATCATATATCCAAGGAGCTAGGTGAGGGTTATTTTGCAAACAACCTTTAATATATGGCCATATAACTTTTTAAAAATCTTTATAACAAATTTATAATACAGCAAACTTCTTTTTCAGAGAAAAATACAAAATTACTCTATAAAATGATAGAAGCTTGGACTTCTTGGTATACATTTTATATATGCGTCAAGATTATCCAATCAAAAGCGATGTTACAAACTTCCAGTATTACAAAATATGTACATACCCTAATCTCTTGAGGTCCATCATAATACTGGTCTTTAAGATCTTGAAGTATATCACTGTTGAGTGCACGTTTTCTCAGACTCTCCATCTGTTTATCTTTCTTACTGGTATGACTTTCATCTCCATCTATAAAACAAGATATGTTTGTAAAACATGTATGCCCCCAATGGGCAGCCAATTAGTCATGTGATTAGATTATTATGCATGACTTCTGACCCAGTGAACAAAAAATGGGTCAAAGACAGAAAAGGCCGGGTTGCATATGTGTACAAAATATCATGAGGCTGTGATGTTACTTAAATTTTCTACCACTGTCTGACCATTGATGTTGAAAATTTAACTTAGTTGGTAAACCTGAAAAGAATGAGCATCAGACCTGAAATGGAATCCAACAATATGGGACCACAGTCATGTCAATGCTGTGAACCACATATCAAGAGGCTGTGGTAAGAAGTTGTTGAGAAAACTGTTACGAAAATTTCCTACTATCTATTGATCATTAATTATGTCAAAATTTAACTAAATCGGCAAACAGGAAGTGGATGAGCGTCAGACCTGAAAACAAATCGCACAGTATGGGACCACGTGATAATGCTGTATACAAAATATCAAAAGGCTGTGATAAGAATTTGCTGCGTAAACTGTTACTAAAATTTCCAACCATTAATGTCAAAATTTAACTAAGTCGGCAAACAGGAAGTGAATGAGTGACAGACCTGAAATCAAATCCCACATTATGGGACCATGTGTTAATGCTGTATACCAAATATCAAAAGGCTGTGATATATAGTTGCCAAGAAAACTGTTACCAAAATTTCCTATTGTTGACCATTAATGTTGAAAATTTAACTAAGCCGGCAAACAGATAGTAGATGAGCGACAGACCTGAAATCGAATCCCACAGTATGGGACCATGTGTTGATGCTATATACCAAATATCAAAAGGCTGTGATAAGAAGTTGCTGAGAAAACTGTTACGAAAATTTCCTATTATTGACCATTAATGTTGAAAATTTAACTAAGTCAGCAAACAGGAAGTAGATGAGCGACAAACCTAAAATCGAATCCCACAGTATGGGACCATGTGTTGATGCTGTACACCAAATATCAAAAGGCTATGATTAGTAGTTGCTGAGAAAACTGTTACGAAAGTTTTTCCCCGCCCGTCCGAGTTTTTCCCCGCCCGCCCGCCGCCCAACATTCACCATACTATAACCCGGGTTTGCACCAGTGCAACCCAGCCAAAAATTAATAAGGGTTATCTACTGGTCATGACTAGTCACAAGGTAATAATTATTGTGACCCCATAGGTTGTGTGCAGCAATTTAAGTTATTACAAATCTTACCAAATAAAATATGCATTAATTTTATGAATCATGTAGGCCTCATTAATGACAGCCAAGTTGTTATATTACATAAGACCTTCAAATGTGTATACCAAAAGCATTTGTAGTTTAATATAAAAATATCAACCAAGGCAACTTGACTTGTTGAGATATTGGTCAGAAACCATCTTAAAGTACAAGGTTAATTTGACACTGACCCCTTGACCCCAAAATCAATAGGGGTCATCTACTGGTCATGACCTATCATCATATAAAGTTTGAAGTTCTTAGGCCTAAGTGTTCTTTAGTTATTGATCGGAAACCGTTTTTACCTACAAGGTTGTGACCTTGACCTTTGACCCCAAAATCAATAGGGGTCATCTACTGTCATGGCCAATCGTCATATAAAGTTTGAAGTTCCTAGATCTAAGCATTCTATTATTATTTATCTGAGACCATTTTTACTTACAAGGTCAATGTGACCTTGACCTTTGACCTCAAAATCAATAGGGGTCATCTACTGGTCATGACCAATCACCATACCAAGTTTGAAGTTCCTAGGCCTAAGCGTCCTTTAGGTATAGAGTGGAAACCATTTTTAACTTCAAGTAAATGTGACCTTGACCTTTGACCCCTTGACCCCAAAATCAATAGGGTTCATCTGCTGGTCATGACCAATCATCATACCAAGTTTGAAAATCCTAGGCCTAAGCGTTCTTAAGTTATTGATCGGAAACCGTTTTTACCTACAAGGTCAATGTGACCGTGACCTTTGACCCCAAAATCAATAGGGGTCATCTACTGGTCATGACCAATCACCATACCAAGTTTGAAGTTCCTAGGCCTAAGCGTTCTTTAGTTATTGATCAGAAACCGTTTTTACCTACAAGGTCAATGTGACCTTTGACCCCTTGACCCCAAAATCAATAGGGGTAATCTACTGGTCATGACCAATCACCATACCAAGTTTGAAGTTCCTAGGACTAAGGGTTCTTTAGTTATCACTCGGAAACCACTTGGTCTACGGACCGACGGACTGACAAATGCAAAGCAATATACCCCCTCTTCTTAGAAGTGGGGGCATAATAAAGTTTTCTTAGGTGACTACTTCCAGATGTGAAATACATAAAAGTTGAAACAAAAGCAAAAAAAAACAACAACATTATCCAATGTCAAACACTAGCTTAAAGCCCCTCCTTTTATTAAAGATCCTGTAACACAATATTTTTATGGTTTTATATCATAAATATGATGCTCAAATTAAGATTTATCAATATTGTAAGTTCAAAAAAGCATTATTTATAAAGATATTACCGAATTTAACATTTCATGTAAATAAAGGGAGGTAATTAGAAATTTATTTTCTATAAAGTCTAAGTCAAATTTGTCAATAAGAAATGAATGCATATATTTTAATGATTACATATAATGTGCACAAATATTTGCTGTAAATATTCTTCGATGTTTGAAAATTGTTTTATAAACATAAATACAGTCGAAACTGTCTTAAGCAGCCAGCCAAGGGATGCAGTCATTTTGGCTGCTTAAGACAGGTGGCTGCTGAATGGAGGATCCAGTTTTTATCCAAATAAATTATTCATTTCTTTGTAAAATAAATCTGATTTAAGTATAAATAAACCAGTCTAATTCATCATCATCATCATCATCATCAGTTTTTAACCATTTGCAAATGTATGCTTTTAATGGTTTAACATGTACACAATCCTTCCAACATATAAAGCTTTACATGAATGTAACACAGATAAACAAATGCACTCACGATTTATTATGTCAATAATTGAAACTATTTATCCCATAAAAATATCTTCTTGCACAATAATTTAAAATGCGTAATATTTTTTTCACAAAAAAGTATGACAGTTTCTTTTTCTAACTTTTGATCAAATGAATATTGTGTACACGTCATCTAAGTGTCGGCACTTCCTTTGATGTTTCGGATTGAAACGGCAGGGCTACAGGTTTGTAAACATCAAAGATTCCTTTGAAGAGACCGCTAGTTACCTCTTAGAGGTCATCTAGTGTGTAAACTTAATGGGTGTGATTTAACAGTGACCTCATTATATTCATGCAATTTTATTTTCACACATGGAGCAAGTGTTTTTATAAATTTATTACTGAGGAATTTAGTCAATCGGCGATGTAATTCATTTTCATTTCTTTGGTAAGTACCATGTACGCACAAAATTTATCTGAATCGGGATAAACTGAAAATTTCTTTCTGCCATCGACAATGCATTTTTTTCTTCTTTTTTTTCTTCTTAAAATCGGTAAATTGAAAAATAAAAAACTAGCGTACAGTAACTCAAAAGAACGAATTGCAAGTGCGTTGAGACGTTCCAAACGTTTGTAATTACGACACGGGGAGCAATTATGCAAACTTCTTGAAATGTTGTGGTTTGTGTTAATATCTAGCACCTGACAAGTAACTTCTGTTAATCCGTGACACGTGTCATCTTTGAAAATAAATGACAGAAGATTGCCTGGTCGTTTCACCTGGCTGACCGCAGAAGATTGCCTGGCCGTTTCACCTGGCTGACCGCTTAAGATGACCGACTTTAAGATTCGGGAAGCATTTTAGGTGACCGTTGACCGCGGACAGCAGGTGATCGTTGAACAGATGTATAAAATAGAGTGGTTTTCGTCGGGAGCGTCACAAAATGGCCGTTAAGGTCAGGTGACCGCTGATAAGAGGTGACCGTTAGTACAGTTTCGACTGTATACACAAATATAAAATTTCACTTAAGTGTGGTATAAAACAGAAAAGTTGACTATGGCTGACCTTGGAAACTTCAAACTTTAAAGCAATAGGGGTCAGAACCAGCTCACCTGCTGGAGCTAAGAAATGCGTAGACTCCAGATATTAGAACCAATTTAGCCATCTCTTACGATCATCCAGGTATAAACAGTGGCTGCAATTCTAAAGGCTCAACCATTAAAGGCAACCCCTCAGCCACTAGGGGTACTTGTACTTTAACTAACAATCCAATTTAGCTTGTTTTGATCTTTCTTTGCATAATGCATTTGATAAAACATCAAAATATATGAGGGGTTCAGGCCATTTACTGTTACAGAGGTGGAGAGTAGCACAAGTAAGTGATAAAACACTGTTCTAATGTAATACTATAACACAATAAAATACAAAGATGGTTGATGGACAGTATAAACAACTGCTGACAGTTAAACATGTTTGTAGATATAAATTAAGACAAAATATTACCATAATGAACAGCAGATAATTTTGGTGGTCTATACAATTTACTGGACTTTTCTTCTCCATCCTCCTCTACATCACTACCACTCTCTGATCCATCACTCTCAATCTAATTATTTTATTGTAAAAAGAAAACAAGATAACTTACATTTTACAAGAAAGCTTTAGTACTTGCCTAAACTCATTTGTCAATTAAAATTAAATACAATAACCCACAGATACCTATAATTAAGAGTAACAGACTGCCCTGTATTGTCCTGTCCTATCTAAAGTTCAAGGACATCAAGATAAAACTACTAAAATTTAGCATCAAGCAGATTTAGACAACTGTCACTGTATGTAGAAAATTATCTAACTCATTTATATGGATTCATTAAAAAAATCTCTCCAGAAGTTTCGTGCTCTAATGAACTGTACAGATACAAGAAATGTGTGACCAAAATCATATAATCTAGAGAGATATTAGAAATATTGTACTGCAATGTACTGAGAGAAGAAACTGTAAGCTAAAGTAGTACACACACACACAATTCATATAATATTATTATATACATAAATTATTCATTACTATACAAAGATATTACCTTGCTTTCCAAACCATCTGGATTTGCCTTAAATCTCATAGGATCATTGGAATCTGAAATGTTCATACATTCATTAAACATTACATTGCTGTAGAGAAATAACATAAAATAAACATTTATGGCTAAAAGGAAATGGCTAACAAACATTAACAACTATATGGTAATGGCATAAAACAAACACAAATGGCTATATACGGAAAAAAAAAAACAAGAGCTGTCAGTAGGACAGTATGTTTGACTATTCTCAGTTTTTGATAGTAAAACAAGAGCCAGGATAATGTAGAATTTTCAAAGCTCAAAAGGGGCCAAAATTCTGTCCAAATCCATGTTAGAAATATGGGCCTTAGAGAGTGATCTTTTGTTATGCTCTAAATAAGTGTGTGCATTTTCAACCCATTACCTTCAGTAGTTTTGGAGAAACCAACTTGCACACAAAAATTTAACCAAAGAGTGATGCCAACATCTGGGTGAGAACTATAGCTCTCATATTCTTCCAATAAACAACACAAAAATTAGGTGTAGTTTTTATCACTATCAAATCAAATATTTCTCCATTATTTTATTAATGGTTAAAGTTAATTAAAATATTTAATACAATTAGGATTTCATTTAATATATTTCAATTTTATCAACCTGTCAATTATGAGTACATTATAATCTATTATCATTTTAAATTAATTCATATTTTGAACCAACTTTTATCCCTTGCTGTAAAAAACCTTGTCAAAGCCTCACAATTTCAGACAGCCGTTGTCTTGTTTTTAAAAGTTTTGACTATTCATTGTGTAGAGTACATAGTGCACACTTACCACATCATTAGTAAATGACAGGTTAACAACACACACTGTAATATATTTTACAGTTACCATTATGCTGAGAGAAAAAATACTTTATATGATAATGGGTAATAAGCTGATGTATATAGTATAAATACCTTGACCACCTGTGGCTGCTATAGCAATTACTTTGTCCACCTGGTATTTCAGCTTCTGATCTATTGGTCGCATCTTCTCTAAAACCTGATATAAAACTACATATGCAACATTAATACTATAATAGTAAATACTAAAGTTTATGAGGAAACACTGAATTAATTTCACGATATTTCAACATGACACCCTTTATAAATAATAATCAGTTTTATTCTACTAACAATTGCACCAGTAAAGCACACAACCAGATTTATATGCTACATAATTCTAAATTTCTGTCTTCTCTTTCACTACAATCAGTTTATTTTTATGATACAGATGATCAGTTTATCATGAAATCATGCGATTCTTAATTTATGACAGTAAAACACCTTAAAATGATCCCTGTTTGATTATGTGTATTATTACTTTATTAATTCATTAACTTCATTCAATTACAAGAATAAACACACACAACATTACATTGTTACTAAAAATCAATACATGATAATCCTTCTTATATCTTAATATTAGCAGAAGGAATTGACGTGAATGAAATCTGATAAAAACATTTTTATTTCTTACTGTTCTTATCTCTACCAGTCTCTCTATAGACTCGTCACCTTCTATTGCCTGCCCGTGTGTCTTCTTCAGCATTACATATGTAAGGTTTGTTAGATAACTCAATAAAAGCTGGTACTTCACCTCCAAGAAGCTAATGCCCTGCAATTATTACAATGGAGAAGTGGTGGTGATGTTGATTACAGGTAGTTTACCTCCTGATCACTGCATTAAGACACTTTAAATCCATCAGAACACAGTTATATATAAGCCATCGCTTATTCCAAAACTGCCTTCACATTCGCAAGGAACTGTTTATAACTTCTATACATCCAAGAGCAGATGCAAAATGACCATAGCAAGAACATGTATTTCATAATCATGAAAGCGACCACCACTATGAGGGAATCAAACCCAGATCACCCTATTCACTGCTCTACCTATTGTGCTAACCTAATGGTTCATAGTGGATAGATAAGTAACCAGGGTCCGTGGTCATAAAAACATTTCCCAAGCTTAAACTCAGATCTCAGGCATTGAATTGGTCTGAAAACTGACACAGAATCTGCACTGACCAATGTTAATTCTGAGATCCAAGACAGATCTTGGAAAAAAAAGTTTCATACATGTAACATTGAGGCCTGGTTTTCTCATATGTATTCAATATATTTTATATTTCTATACACAGATTATTAAGCAGTTTATCGGCAGCATGTCAGTCTGAGAAAATCATATTCTTACATAGAATAAATCACACCAAACATCTTTCAATATTTAATATTTATACCCTATTAAAAGAAATAACTGACATCTTAATTCTTTGCAAGATCATTCACTTAAATATTTACTTTTAAGTTTAAAAACCAACAAACTGTACTAGGTAGACAAGCAAACATGTGCATTTGATATCTAATCACTCCTTCACCTATGAGTCTACCATTTATATGTTATAAAAAAATCAACTTTGCATCAATTCATTGTATGCATAGCATCATGTATTTTACATAGAAAATAGACATTAATTGTTCATAAAACATTTATCAGTATAATGGAAAAATTTCAAATTTCAATTATAATAATTTAAATCTCTAATATTACCTTTGATGTATTAAGATCTCCATTTTCAACTTTGTTGACTATATTTTTAATATGGGATGTAACATCTTCACACTTGTGCCTCACATCTTTCAAGAAAGATATTGCTTTTTCCACATCCCCTTCCATACTTTCTCACTGAAATAACAGTTGTACTTTAAATACTACTGGAAGAAGATCAATTCATTCAATATTAATAAGGAAATCCATTTAAAACCTTGAATACCTTTATCTTATATATTATACCTGAATTATTACCAACATTAAGCATTTGTAAATGAACTGTTTTTCATTTTATAATTATTGTTGAAGAATTATGTCTAATTTAATCTTGTTTAGACTTAAAGTTGTATAGTTATTGTTAAGAGGCCTAATCCTGGGCTGGTGAATATATCATTAGCGATTTTATACACCATGGAGAGCATATAGTCAATATGAAAAAAATCAAGCCAGTGCTATTAACTGTTGCATCTGGATTACATTGGATGAGCTGTCAATGCCAAATTTTGCAATATGCACAGGTCTGCTTTAAAAATGATCAATTTGGAATTGACTATATGGGAACCATACTTCAGAAATAAATAAGAAAGTAGGCGGCATCATTTTTCCCTCATACATGTATGTACAGTAAGTTTATTATTATTGAGTATAATCTGTATAATATAAATAATATTAAAAGTTGCAAGGTATTATATCTTACATCATATGTCTAACATTAACTGGTATCAAAATTTAAAAAACAACATATACTCGAACCCCATGATACCGGTGACTCCATGGTACCGGTATATTCACATATCTCGCGATATAATTGTCAACGCCACCTACCGAGTGTTTATATTGACATGCTCCCAGTAATATTGGCTATTTCAAAGTTTTTTAACATTTTCATGAGTTTCAGACGGAAATATTTCACATATCCTACCTTATTTTTATTTTACTATCCTATTCCTCCATTGCATAAATTGGTCTCTTTACAAAACACTTTTTTTCCCCAAAAAATATAAAATGACAGGTGCTGACGTCATTCGACCTCCATTACATGTCACTTGACCTTTTGACATCATTTTTGGCGGGAAAAAATTAATCTATGGAAAGCCATTAGTGCATATAAAATAGTTAGTGAAAATTAAAAAGTCAGTTTCATTCAGTCTTTTAAGGGAGCCTGTGTAAAGTGCCATATTGATATTTAATCTTCGTCATTTAGAAATAAAATAGATTCAATAGTATAAAAGGACTAGAAAATCACAACAACACTAAAATTAAGTGAAGGGAAATTTTTGAATCCAGCCACATGGTATATACGTATGTACACCTGTAATTGGGAGTTAAAGATTCTAAAACAGAGATCCCTTGGGGTGATAAAAGAGGAACAGTAAACCATTGAAACACACGTTTTTATGTTGGTTTTTCTTTCTTTTTTTAGATATGAATACAAGAATGCTAAAATGATATTTTTGCTATTAAAACTGCAATGGCTTTCCATTTAAATAACATTTTTACCAGTGCACCGGTAGCATGAAGTCTGTTTAACTACGTCACACAAAATGGTCGACCATTGTTTACATTTGTAGTGAGCGAGAAATTCATAGTAACAGAACTCTGTAATGTATTTTTAAGAGGATTAAATGTTAATGAAGTTGTTTATTCCTTCTTTTTTTTAAGTCAGTAAAATTTTATATGAAAAACACCTGGTATAAAATATCTACACCGGTATCGTGGAGACCCGGGCTACATAAATGTTGCTATCCGAAATTATATACACTTACACTCTTTAGGTTTAAGAATAACTCAATGGTTACATATCTTAAAAAATACTTGAGTTTCAAAATATTTTTTAGATTATGATAAATACAGCAACTTTAGACAATTCAGAGATTAAATTTCTTCAAAATAAGGTAATTGGTAACACAAATTCACATGCTGAACCTACCGGAAGTTTACAGTAATAGACCTCAAAGATTTATAAAATCACAAAAGTGATTTAATTCTTTAATGTGTATTTTAGTAAATTTGATTAATAACTATCATTTTAATGCATAAAAATATTATATGAGATAAAAATCATCACAAACTGAATGTTTTAATAGACAAAAAAGAATATAAAAACAAAATCTTTTTGCTACATATTTCTTTTTGCTAATTACTTGGGAGTAATCATTAGATACATAATATCATTCAAATTTAAAATGAAGGAAAAACTTTCATTAATGTATTATAAATAAAATAACGTATTTCAACCGAGGTACATAGATTGATTTTTGTTTTGTAATTAATTTGTTTGATGTCATTATAACTAAAATCTGTCTAAATTTAATAACCCGTCCCGTCAGATGCTGATGCTGATCAATAATTTCTGAAAACATGAAAAATGAATGACATCAAATTATATATTGCGCATAACATGTTGTTTGTGAATTGAATACGTTTAGAGGTTTGAATTAACTTATTCTATTAAGTTTGACTCATTTATATTTCACATTGACACACTGTACAGGATACTGTAGAGGCAGACAATGTCAAAATGTTTAACATTTTTAATTTTATCTATTTATCATTGTGGCATTTTATATTTTAAAGACTTTAGACTTACGTAACATGGAAAATAAAAACTGTAAAATATCAGATTAATAAAGGATAAACATAAAATAGGTTACTCATAGGTCTTATAATTTACAGGCTAACAGTGATGGAGAGAAATTCTAAATTGGCGTTGGACCTTTATAAGCACACATTAAATATATGTTCCTATTGTTGTTAGACAGGTGTAAGAAGCCATTCTAAGAGTTTTTATATTTTAGAAGCACAAAGTTCTGGATCTTTATTGCACCAAGGTAATGATTACACATGATCAACTTCACCCATAATCAAACTGGCATATACCGGTAACTAATTGTACTGTGAGATGAGATATTGTCCTATTTTGTGTCTGGCAGAGATTCTGACCCAGAACAAAAATATCTCAGAATCTAGCTTTGGCACATCAATATATTTTGACTACAAGTAGACCAGAAGTCATACAGACTGGACTACAGACACAGTATTCCTTCTTTAAAAGACTTTCCATTTTCATTTTATTATGTTTATTATTTTATCATGTTTTAGTTTTACATTTGTTGGAAAATGCAGATTTTTACGCAGAATTGTGTAAAATTATATAAAAGTAGAATGAGTTTTTTTTAGAGGGAAAATAGATTTATTAAAAGCATTAATTGTTAACTTCTGGGAGATAATCATGAAAAAATCAAGTAAATGTACAGTTTTTGTTAAACACTACCCTTCCTCTCACTAACCGCTATCACTATGTGAATTTTAATCAAACTCCTTAATTCAATACATTTCAAGTTATTCTTCATACAAGAGTGTGACAAAAGCCAGGATCTTGCAAATTTTTCCACAGTTCAGACTGTAGAGACAAGATAGTGAAAGCGCAGTACAAAACAACTCTAACTCTACATACATGTAGCATAGTTAACCAGGTTTTCCGAAGGAAAAATCTGGTTATTAGATTGAGGTATGTCGGCAGGCGGACGGGCGGGCGGGCGTAAACAATTTCTTCTGTGCGCAACTTCTCCTACATTTCTCAACGGATTTTGACCAAACTTACACCGAAGCTTTGTCATCCAGTGCCCTGGTGCATATTGTCAGGGTTTTGTGATTGGATAATATTTGACCTAATTATGGCCCTTTGTTTTTTCCCTTATACAGAATATATAGTGAACAATTTCTTCTGTGCGCAACTACTCCTAAATTTCTCAAGGGATTTTGTTCAAACTTTAACAGCAGCTTTGTCATCATGTGTCCTGATGCATACTGTGGGGGTTTTGTAATTGGATAATTTTTGACCTAATTATGGCCCTTTGTTTTTTTTTCCCTTGTACAGAATATATAGTGAACAATTTCTTCTGTGGGCAACTCCTACATTTCTCAAGGGATTTTGTTCAAACTTTCACAGAAGCTTTGTCATCTAGTGCCCTGATGCATATTGATGGGTTTTTGTGATTGGATAATAATTAATTTTTTAATTAATTATGGCCCTTTGTTTTTTTCCCTTATATAGAGTATATAGTGAACAATTTCTTCTGTTGTCAAACTGCTTTTACATTTCTCAAAGGATTTTGTAAAAAATTTTCACAGATTAGCTTTATCTTCAAATGCCCTGATGTGTATTGTCAGGGTTTTATGATTGGATGAGTTTTTACCTTTTACCTTATTATGGCACTATGTTTTTCCATAAAATTTATTTATTAGTGTAATATATCCTATTTATCATAACAGACTTTATTAAGTTATAAAACAGAAACTATCTAGGTTGTTGCATGCCTGCCAGCTCATCTGCCTGCTTTTGGGTCCTGTAGAGTCAAGGTCATTGTTGCTTAAAATAGAAAATCTGTTTCCAGTCAGGTCACTGTTACTAAAAATAGAAAATAGTTTTCCGGTCAATTACTAGTTTGGAATAAGATATTTTTATGAAATTTGGTGTAAAGCAAGTTTTTATGAAGACCTCAATCGGGATGGCTTTTTGGCCTCCAATGGTCAAGGTTACAGTTACTAAAAATTAAAATTCAATATTCATGATTTACATTGCACATAGTTACATTGTTTGTTGCTTGTATTTGTATTTCAGCTACAACATATTTATCTACAATGGTGATAATTAAAAACCTGGTTTCATGGCATTGCCATGTTTCTTGTTTTTTTTACAATGCTTAAGTCCACAAATTAACTTGAAAGTATTGAAAGTAAAAGTATTACGGTAAATGACTTTGATTAAAACTTCACAGAGAGATCTATAGACACAGTGTTCAAATATTATCATTCAACCTTGCTTAAGTTTTGAATGATCTCTCATTATAATAATTAAAAACACGAAATGCTTGTCCTGAGCCGTGCCATGTCAAAACCAACATAGTGGGTTTGCGACCAGCATGGATCCAGACCAGCCTGCGCATCTGCACAGTCTGATCAGGATCCATGCTGTTCGCTTACCAACCCTATTACAAGTAGCAAAACTGATAGCGAACAGCATGGATCCTGATCAGACTGTGAGGACGCGCAGGCTGGTCTGGATCCATGCTGGTCTCAAACCCATTATGTTGGTTTTGTCGTGACGCGGCTCATTTGTAATTTCTATTTTCTATTCTAAACAGTCAATAATAGTTCCCATGACTTCACACATTTTATCAAGACAAAGTTTGAGATTTCAGTTTGATAAAGTTATGGCCCTTGATTGTAGCTGTTTGCTAGTCTATCAAATCAAGTGTGTAGTTAAGTTCAATGTTTGTTATTCAGTTTGTATTGGATTAACAAGTAAGTCTGCTAGAATGAACAACTTGGAAGATTCTACAAGGCTCTGTTCCATGATAAAAGAGCTTAATACACAAGAAGTTTCAGATGTTTTAAACAACAATCAGAAAAATGGAGAATTATTTTCAGTATGTTTTTTGTTGTTGTTATGTGTGTGTCTTTTAATATAAAAATATAAATATTAAAGGAGTTATAATAGCAAAAAATATATGCTTCTGCCAGATTGAACAGATTGAATTTTTTTTCAAATATTTTGATTAAAGGTTTTTTGTTATTGAATTAATACCAGAATGCAGGTAAAATATAAGTTATGCATACATGTATGTAATGTATTTAAGTGCTCTACTTAGCTATCTGGATAAAATATTTGAACAAATTATGAACATTGTTGCTTAGAATTACAATGTATTAATACATAACAAATCATTAAATGTGTTTAGATTTTAAGGTGGATTTTAATGTCACATTATTTTTAACTTCACACACTTGTTATCTGTGATTATCTGACATGATGGGCTTAGGTCAGGCCATCCTTAAAAAAATGTTTGTTTGCAGTAACCCGACCTAGAATTTTCAAGGTGGGTAGGTAGGTCGATTTTTTTTTTTTTTTTCAATTGAACTGTACTCCCAAATAAACATGGAATTTCAAAATGCTGGACAATATATGCTTTGATAATCTGGTAACAATTAATAAATTGATAACTGAATTCTAATTTAGTAAGAACTACATTTTATTTCTTCTATTAACCTTTAAAAGAACGAAAACAAAGCACAAGGCATAATTTTCTGATTAAAAAAAATAAAAAAATTTTTTATCCAGACCATGAAAAAAAATTTGAGTAGGGGCAAATTTTGTGAGTCGGTCGCGTTACTGCAAACAATCATTTTTTTTATGGATGGCCTCACATACATGTAACTCTGAGTTACGTTTTTATAGTCATGTCAATATTCCTTACTGTCAAGCACTGAGAACAGTCTAACATGCTGTCTTACCAAGAGCTCTTTGTTATTAGTTAGGCTTTGAGAAATAACTTTCAAAAGTCATATATATATTATATTTCAGAATCTTCCAGTATATCATATATTAGTAGAAACTTTGATACACAAACAGACATATGACAGTAAGAATAGTGAAGATTCTGCGAGGGCAGCTACACAACTAGTTTACCTTTTGTCAATACATGGTGCAGATATCAATGTTCAAGATGAGGTAAAATATTTATGTAGGCAATGAATTGTAACAAAGCAATTGTTTTAATGTCCCGACTTACAGATTTGCCCCTGTTTGTCCTGCTGTCACATGTCATTGTTGTCTCACAGTTTGCCTGTCGGACCTTAGACTGACAAAACAGGGGAGTGTGGGAACATTTGTGTGCTATGGACACATTTCTAGTTTTTTTATACCCCTGCACAACAAAGTTGTAAAGGGAGTATACTGGAATCAGCTTGTCCGGTGGGCCGTTACCCTGTCCGACCGGCCGTCAGTTTTTTTTGTCCACCCAATAAAGTTATTGGGCAAACAAGCTTTTTTTAGTCAAGGCCCCTGTGACCTTGACCTTTGACCTCAAAATCAATAGGGGTCATCTACTAATCATAAATAACCTCCATGCCAAATATGAAGACTATGGGTCAAAGGAATCTTATGATATTGGGCGGACAAGCTTTTTTTTAGTCAAGACCCCTGTAACCTTGACATTTGACCCAGTGACCTCAAAATCAATAGGGGTCATCTACTAATTATGACTAACCGCTATGCCAAATATGAAGACTGTGGGTCAAAGGAATCTTAAGTTATTGGGCAGACAAGCTTTTTTTAGTCAAGGCCTTTGTGACCTTGACCTTTGACTTGGTGACCTTAAAATCAATAGGTCTCATCTACTAATCATGACCAGTCTAAATACCAAATATGAAGACTGTGGGTCAAAGGAACTTTGACATACAGTCTTCATATTTGGCATGGAGGTTAGTCATGATTAGTAGATGACCCCTTTTGATTTTGAGGTCACTGGATCAAAGGTCACAGGGACTTAGATTTGAAAAAAATTGTCCTCCTAATAACTTAAGAAACCTTTGACCCACAGTCTTCATATTTGGCATGGAGGGTGATCATGACCATAAGGTGACCCCTATTGATTTTGAGGTCACTGGGTCAAAGGTCAAGGTCACAGGGGCTTTGACTATAAAAGCTTTTCCTTAAGTTTAAGAATGCTTTGGTCCACAGTTTTCATATTTGGTATTGAGGTTGTTTATGACTAGAAGATGACCCCTATTGATTTTAGGTGACTGTATCAGAGGTCAAGGTCACAGGGATTTTTACTATAATAAGTTTGTCTGCTCAAATGCTTAAGAATGCCTGTCCGCAGCATATTGATTTTGACATTTTCACATTTGGAAGCATGTAAAATACATAATTTAGCAATGTACTGGCTTAGTAACATCAGATTTGGCAGGGAGGTAAAATGTCATTGAGCTCTAAATGACCACTGTTGATTCTGACAAAGTGGTATGCAAGGGTATTCATGCCATGAAAGTGGCAGTTCTAGTTTTTTATGATTAGTTTTTTTGTAATGATTTCCTGTATATGTGAATATCTTTTTTATTGAAATAACTTTAGACAACTGTTATGCAAGTATTCAGGATAAAATGTTTGTTTTACTTGCCTAAATTGCTGAAGTGAGCATGATTGTGTTATATTTGATGCATGCTCTGAACTTGACTTTGAATCTTATGTCAAGAATACAATTAGGTTAACCCCTTTTTAGCTCCTTTTCAAAGGAAAAGAAGTAGTTATTAGCATGGCCCACTAAATTTATTGGCAGCATCAACATTTCATTGACCTTTTGGTTAAGTTTCCTTTATGGTTATAAATGTACATTTGTAATATAACATTGAATCTTTATATGTGGATGCACAGTTAGTTCTACCTGCCAAACCCAATTTAGGTAAAAAGGGCAAGATCACTGGGACCTGTTAAATATATAACCCCTCTTCAACCCAATAAAACTGGCCATTTAATATAAGTGCATTGATCTAATAACTTGAAACTTTGTATGTTGGTGTACCTTGATAAGTCATACCCATCATTGGATCAAAGGCCAAGGTCAATTTTACCTTTAATTCAAATTATTTACTTAGATAATGCCCAATTTACTATCCAGCACTGAGAAAAGTGGAGCATGCTGTTACTCAAAGACCTCTTGTATATTTTTATATTTATGATATATAAATATATATAGTATTAAGTCATAAAGTTTGCCTTAATTAAGTTAATTTATTTTGTGATCACATGCAAATATAGGTACATGTATTTAGTTGTTAATTAATTATACATCAACTATTTTGTCTTAACACATTAATCAGTTAGAGGTTTGTTTATGAAGGATATTTATTAAGAGTGTGAGAGTTAAGGTTTACCTATGTTGTTTATTTCTATTTATAGAATGGAGATACTGCATTACTGTGTTATTTGAAGGCAGATCTAACTTCCCTTATCTCAGATTCTCTTGTTGTAGCATTTCTGAGATGTGGAACTGATAGCTGCCTAAAAAACAAGGTAAGTTTCAATTGATTGTATACCTGTATTTATACCTGTGTTGAATAGAGATATTCTATGTTCAAGAATTTGATAATGTGCCAGAATCAATTAAGCATTTTGAATCCATTTTAAAAGGCATCAGAATAAACACTTGATTTTTAGTTTACTTCACAAGATTAGACCTTTAAGTTTTACCACATATTTAGGGATTAATGTAAAACTGTCCTAACTTATATACAGCTTTATTGCACAAATTCATAAATTTATAGAATATAATCAGTTCATGGCTAAAACTTCTACTACAATATATTGGTTTACAATTACAAGTTATTTTTGTAAGTGGAAACATATCATCATCAAGTTATTTATGTTTTATATGGATTTGCCTATGTCAGTTAATGTATGTTCCTAGCTGTGTTAACAATTCTGTTTCCCTCATAGTAACCCATTTCAAGATTTCTTTGATCTTAAAAATTACAATATAATTATAACAGTACTATTTTTGTAAGTCCTAAAGAATGTCTGGTTGGCATTGCTTCGTGTTGTTATGGCTCTTCTATATGACATAAAGTATTCAATACATGTGATTGGGCAAGCACAAGCTAGTAAATTGATTGACAGCACTGGTTTTTGTGATTGACAGCCAATGTTTTTGCTCCTTCTATATGGCATTTAAGTTTTCACTGCATGTAATGGGAGGAAAATTACTTTAATTTGATTGACAGCACTAATATTTATTATGTCATGTTTATTTTTTCAGGATGGTTTAGATATTCTGCAGCAAATCTTACAACGAGATGATCTACCTAAACAGATTAGAGCCAGGATACTGGAGTATATGGTATGTAAAGGTATTTTAACTTTCTGTAAAGACATGACAAAATAATCATGTGATAACAAAATTGATATTTAATCGTAGATAGGAATGAATGTTTGTAAATTAGATTCAATTAACAGGAATTTTGGTCGAGCGGTTAAGGTTTCTGCTTCTCAATCCAGGGATTGAAGGTTTGAGTCCAAATTGGGTCATAGCCATGTTTTAGTACTGGGGAGTACCAGGAAATAAATTTAAAAGTGAGTAGTGATTAAAAAATTATAGTAGGTTCAAATTGGATTTAAACAATCGGATATGATTATACATCTTGAAATTAAAATATATACTTTGTATTAAAATTTTACAGCCAGGTATATGGCGTGCTGTTGACTCTGATGATGCTTGCACAGTGAGACGGTTGATTAATCAATGGTGTAATATCAGAGTTATTAAGGTATGTTGTATTATATGGTGTGATATAAAAGTTATTAAAGTAGGTAATAATGGTGATATATCAAAGTTATTAATGTTGGTAATATTTGTGAAATATCAAAGTTATTAAGGTTGGTAATAATAATGTATGATCAAAGTTATTTAGATAAGGTAAGATAATAAGGTCAAGTGACTATTACACTAGCCTAGGATTCAGACATTGATAGTTTTTGCTTTTTCATTGTGCTATTTTGTATGAGTAAGTTGTTGAGTTTCTGATAGTATCAACAAATGCCAATTAGAAGCATTTGAAAAATCGACCGATTTGAACCCAGGCTAATATTATACATACTAATTTTATTTTCCTGATGTATAAATTAAAAAATTCATCATTTAATATAAAACATTTTCAATAAAAGAAATATGTTGTCATAGATAGCTGTTTTGTTTGTGCTTGTGTAATGTAATAAGATTAATATATTACCAGGGTGGTATGTCAGTGTTACAGCTAGCTTACAGTAAAGGAACAGAGAATATTATAAGGGTTGTCTCGGGCATAGGACCCTCCATGGTATGTTATACTACTTCTCTGATATTCCTGAAACAAACAAAAATCTTTTCCTATCTTGATTTAGTTAGTTTAGTGTATGTTCACATTATCATAAAATTTATAAAATAATAGATTACAACAGACAAATCTGAGTGGCTGCCTAACTGTTAACCCAACAGCACTTGAGTTATTGGTGTTATAGCCATCCACATAAGTCGCATATGACATTAAGTTAACTTTGTCTAGGAAATGTAATTGATAGTAAAATTATTAGATTGAAACTGTCAAAGATAGTGAATATTGCAAAGTTACAGACAGGTAGTTCCACTTGAAATATCGCTTCTAATGTTTTCACAATGTCTTATTGTTCTGTAAACCAATTACAAATTTGTGTAAGCGGCTGGGTAGCTCAGTTGCTAAATCTTTGAAACGGTATTCCAAGCATCCTAGGTTTGTGTCCTGGTCAAGCAACACATTTTAACAAATGTAATACTATATGTACAAAGTGATTTTTATTACAGGATATGGCCCATAGTGTATTAGCTGGTGACAAAGTTACAGTGAAAAAGTTGCTACAGTCAAATAGTCATGTCAATATCAACCTGAAAAACATGGTAAATTATATATTGTTTCATTTTTTTGTATTTTCATTTTTATTGTGTTGTATAATTTTGTCAAAATACACAGAAAAATTACATATCTACTATGATTATTTTTACAGTGTTTTCAGAATTATTATTTTTACAGTGTTTTTAGAAGGTCAAGTTTATCTTGCTTAAAATTAATTTTATGAAAATTACTTTCCATATCCTGATTTCAGGCTGAAATGGGAGCTACCCCATTATTTTACGCAATATGCAACAATGATAGAGATATAGCGGAGTTACTGTTGAGACATGATGCCCGGCTTGATGCTGGTATGCAAGGAGAAAATGAGGTATGGTACCATTCAGTAATTGTGTATGTAAAAAAAATTAAAAGACCAAATTTTTTTTGTTTTTAATAATTTTCCCCCGCCTTTTCGAAGAAAAAAGGGGGATATAGAATTAGGCTCCGTCCTTCCGTCCGCCCGTCACACTTTCGTGTCTAGTCCATAACTTTGTCATTTATCAAAGGAATTTGAAATAACTTGGCACAGATGTTTTTTTCATAATAAGACGATGTGTCATGCGAAACAACCAGACCCCTACCTCCAGGGTCAAGGTCGCACTTGCTCATTCAAGGTCAACATTGTCTATTTGAGGGTATATGTCGTATCCGGTCCATAAATTTTTTTATCTTTGAAGGGATTTTGTAAATACTTGCCACAATTGTTCACAATAATGAGACTATGTGTCATGCACAAGAACCGGTCACCTACCTCCAAGGTCAAGGTCACACTTGGAGGTCAAAGATTAACGTAGACTGTTACAGGGTATATTTTGTGTCCGGTCCATAACTTTTTCATAGATCAAAGGATTTTGAAAATACTTGGCACAAATAATCACTATAATAAGCTCCAAGGTCAAGGTCACAATTAGAGGTCAAAAATTAACATAGTCTGTTTTAGGGTATATTTTGTGTCTGATCTAGAACTTCTTTATAGTTCAAGGGATTTTAAAATAACTTGGCACAAATAGTTACAATAATAAGACAATATGTATAGTACAACAACTGCACTCCTACCTCCAAGGTCAAGGTCACACTTAGGGGTCAAAGGTTAACAGAATCTGTTATATGGTTTATTTTGTGTCCTGTCCATAACTTCTTCATAGATCAAGGGATTTTAAAAAAAATAGTTACAATAATAAGACGATAAGATGCACAACACCTGCCCCCCTACCTCCAAGGTCATACTTAGAGGTCAAAGCTGAACATGATAGATTTTTAAATTCCGTGTTTCGTTTTATTTCTTTAATAAATTTATTGTTGCATTTTCAGATCTAGCATTGATCATAATTTTGGACTGAAAGTCTTGAGATCCATACCTCAATCTTTTGAAATAGCACAATTTTATGCTTCATATAAAACTTCCCTGAGACAGGGGACGTTGGTAGCTCTGTTACAAATTCTTGTTGTTTTTGATGATTGAATTATTAAGAAACATGTAGAATAATATTAAATGTTTTTAGCAAGCTGTATTAAGATAAAAAAAATTTTAGATAAAGTTTTTATGTAATTATTTTAAAGAAACCTCTCATTTTGGATGTTACTAAATTCATTGTGTTGAAATTACGAGATTAGAAATTTAGCAGGCTAGCTGTATACAGGATGCCTTGATTTTACCATTACTTTCACTTTGAGATTGTATATACATACACATGTATTAAAGCAGACTTTTATTGTATCATAGATGGAGTTACCTCTATATTTTGCTGCTCTATCACACACTCCTGCTGTAGATACAGATATGTTAAGATTTACAATACCAAAGAAACCAGTTCCTGTTGATCAACTCAACTATAAGGTACAATTATCACTAATAAATATTTTTTTTTAAAATGTTGACATGAAATACTTAGTTTAAATTAGTCTAACATGGTTAAATTATTGATGTTAAGTGAAAACTAAATGCATGTCTTTACTTATATTTTACATCACCAGTTAAATATTACGGGGAAAAAAGAAAAGATAATATATAAAAGCTTAATGTAACTGATGTAACTGCTATGTGTTCTTTAATTGGAATTTTTATTCATAACATGTATAGAGAAGAATGAAGGGGTTTTTTGTTATTACTAGGGAAAGAATGTAATATTTTACTGCATAGAGCACGAGGTAGACATTGACCTGTTTAACGATATTCTGAAAGAATGTTCAGCCCATGTTCTAACACAGAGGATTGAGGTAATCTGTTTACTGAGTTCTTTTAGCGTTTAATAAAATCTTTACTTAAAAATAAAAGTTATATAATCCTTTATAATGTCTCAGATATACAAGTGAAAAAAAAACTTTTTTTATTTTTTTTTCAGTTATATTGTTTAAATATCTTAAGAAACTGTTAGCTTTGATATTTACATAGTTTCCTAGATATTTATAAATTTCATTTACCAGTACATGGACAGGTATAGTGGTGTAGGGTTTATATTAAGATTCATAATTCTGTTACAGGGTTGTTTATCTATGACTTGGAAATGTAGGTTTTAGTCCAGGTTGGAGCATATATTTTTTTCTCTGAAAGATATTTAATGCTATTGATTATATACATCTTGTACTGATGTGTCAAATGATTACGATACTAGAAACTTACATAGCTCAAATGGTTATTTCAGGGTAATATCAATGCAAGAGAATATGCAGTTCTGTTATGTAGAGGACAATATGTGACAAAAATTGATGTGGTAAGCAATATTTTTCTTAATACAAAAGGAAAGAAAAGGCGCAAGAATGGAAGAGCAAGATCTACTGTCCACATATTCTTTTTTAGATTACCTATACCATTGTTATCTCTCCAAGGACTTTCATGTCCATTTATTACTCATTTCAATAGGCGACTGAAGTATAACTGTGAATTATAATCATTTTATGCTGACCAATGAAATACATGTACTGGATTTTAGCCATGAAATACAACCCATATCGCTCACAGTATATCATACTGTGTTTTTGCTACACAATACACTTTTTTGTTGGTGTTTGTATTAATTTTTATGATTTGATAGTTTTATACCAAATGACTGTTATGTTTTGTTCTTTATGGCATATTTCTTGATTCAAATATCATTACTTCGCATAAATTGTAAATAAGTTTGATGTAAACAGTCATAAATTTACTGATGTTAGTTATTAATTGGGCAAAAAATAAAAGGAATATATGTGAGAGAATATCCACAATATCACTCATGCTACAAGCTCAAGAAGATACTTGCAATTTTTTCATTTCTCATAATCAATGGACATGTTTGTAGTTTTTGCCTTTGATTTGTTGTACCATTCAAAATGATATGGTAGAGTCTCATTTTACTTTCAAGGTTGTTTCTGATTGGTGCATCCAGGAGGACCAGTCTATAAATAGAAACACGCTTTGTCTCCATGGATACCCATATGTGTTGCCATTAACATCAGAAAATACAATCCCAAATGAACAGTTTATAAACTATATGCAAGTTGCAGAAGAATTAGAGGTATATATTTTTGCTTAATCAGCAGAATATTAGGGGCGTTCAATATATTCGTAGACTGTGCTTATAACTTTTTTGTAAAGCAAGCATAATTCATAAAATAGTTATGAAAGATTAGAACAGCAATTTGATAAATCATATAAGGCAATGCCACCTGACTGCTAGCGCCCTAGGCCACGATGGTGTTTCCTGACGTCAGCTATATCACTGGATGTTACATCGATTACTGACGTGTCATGCATCGCTCATAACTTCTCAAAGTAGCATCTATTACATTCCATACATCTGTTTGATTGTTTTGTTACCTATAATTAATTTAACTTAAAATGTGAAATTAAAGTTTATCAACTGGGGAACAGTCAGTTAAACATTATAGACATTATAACATAGTTTACATAGACCTGCAGTATCTGTACAAATTTGCTCTAAATATAAATAGCATTAGTCAAGGTATATCAAATTTATTTTAAAGTATCTCTATTGCTCTGATACACATCTACTTATTTACTTATTGATATCAATAATTACATACAGGTGTTATCTTATGTTTGAAGCATTTATTTTTCTTTGTATTGTTTTTGAGGAATACAAATATAGATTGAGGGAAGCAGTAGTTGAAGGTGATGCTGCTCTTGTCAAAGAAATGCTTGCTACAAATTCATGGTTAGACAGAGGTTTGAATATCTGTCTAGCTGATTGTAGGTATGTACATATTGTAATTGTAAAGAGGGGGTAGGGCACAAAATTAGTACATTTTATAATTGCAAAGAGTGAGTGCAAAATATTTTATCTTTTAAATTCTCAGGTTATACACATACATGTATATGACTTTAATGAAAAAGGGGACTGAAGGTGTGCTTCCAAACTTTTACTAATTTAATACTTTGACAATAAATTCTTGGAACGAATTTTCTACAAAAAATAAAAATAGTGTCTGTTTAAAAAAACAACAAAAAAAAACAACAAAATAAGTGTTCAGTTCTGTCAAAAAAATATAAACTGTTTCAGAATTAATATTTTGCTATATGTATATATATTTTTTATGATCTAGCAGTTTGAATAAGACCACGTAAAATAAATTTCTTTACAACTCTTGTTTTGTGTTAACTTTTATACATAATATAAATGTGAATGTACTCAAAAATTTCAATGTGATCTTGACCCATTAACATGAAATATTTTAAAACTGCTTTATGTGTTTGCAGTAACTGTCCTGAAATGCTACAATGATTAAAAATATTTGTAATAATTATGTCACACCCTATATGTACAGGGTATGTGGAGATGGTCAACCACTGCTACACAAGGCAGTGTTGTGGGGACATGATGAGGTTGTCAAGGAGATTGTACAGTATGTTATACAACATTCTAACAGAAAACTTGACAGTTTTAGAGATCAGGTATTGTTTTTATAACCCTTGATAAGGGTGTTATTTGAAAGTCTTTAATTATTTTATTTTTGTTATCAAATTAAACCTTTAACATGTATTCAAATTTCAAGAAAATCTCTTTAAATCTCCGTTTGAATCCATGTAAAAAATCCTAGTTCCATTAAAATTTTTATCATAGCCATATGTAAAAGAACATATTGATGAAACCTTTATATACTACATGTTTTCGTTCTATCCGACTAAAAACATAATCAAATTTTCATTGGCTGTAATAATTTCCCACATATAATATGAAGTACTGTTTTTGTGGTAGCATGTCAAAATATTGTAACAGTAAAAAGCAGAGCTTAAAAAATGCACACAATAACTGTATGAAGAAAAAAATCTTCATGATTAAGTGTAATAATTTCAATGACCATCCAGTGGTTAGTTAGGTGAAATTTATGTTTTTATTGTTTCTAAAACATTGTACACACTTCCTTTTTCAAGCCGAGTAACCAGGCCTATAATTTATTTGCAGGCTGTATTGACATAATGATTCATTGGATTGAGTTTTAACATTTTTGGGGTATATTTAATGGTACCACTCATGGTTTAAAAATGTTCAGTCTGTTAGTTGAACTGAATAAAGGTTCCTGAAGGTTCCTGAAGGTTCCTGCTATTTAAATGTACATATTTGTGGATTGCAAGCAACATATTATGTAGTATATACAATGTATGAAATATACTGTACCATTTAAAAGTAATATTTAGATTTCTTATATTCTAGTATTTTAGGACAGCATTGCACTATCTATATGGCATGGAATGTTACAAACTAATGGCAGATATTCTAGAAGATAGTGGCATGTCAGAATTCTCAATGGACAAGGTGTGTTACTTTATTTTAGAGATTTTATTTTTCTAAACAGCTGTGTTTTAAGTTCTCTCTCACAGTCTTACAGTTACCATGTTGGTAAGTGAAAGTTACCATGTTGGTAAGTGAAAGTTACCATGTTGGTAAGTGAAAGTCTCCATGTTAGCAAATAAGAGTTACCAATTTGGTAAGTGAAAGTTTCCATGTTGATAAGTGAAAGTTACCATGTTGGTAAGTGAAAGTTACCCTGTTGGTAAGTGAAAGCTTACATGTTTTATGTAGCAAGCTAACCTGTGACAGACAGGCTGTATTGACATAACGATTCATTGGATTGAACTATTTTTGGGTATATTTAATGGTACCACTCATGGTTTAAAAATGTTCAGTCTGTTAGTTGAACTGAATAAAGGTTCCTGAAATACCATTTTGCAACTTTTATACTTAGGCTAGCAGGCCTTTACTCTATAAGTTATTAATTGTGTATGGTGACTACAAACATACAGCTGACCTTAGATCTTGCCATGCTTTACAATATATATCCATTATGGTCTACCATACCCTTTAAAATATCATAGAATTTTATTTTATCCTTTATTATTTATGTTTTTTTACTCTAATTTGGTATATTATATAGGATGGAAGATCGCCTTTAGCTTTTAAAGACAGAAGAGGACTGTTGGAGATGAAAGCCTTGATAGAATATCATCAAAGACAGGTATGTTTAGGAACAAGATACTTCTGAAGTAGTTAGTGGTTTATGATTTACAGAACAGAACAGAACAGAAATTTTATTAAAGACTTAAGCATACAGCTCATCGTCATAACATACAATAATACACACAAATCATATAAATTATAAATAAACTTTACAACAAATATTTGTCTAAATTCAACAGTTGAGAGTGATCTGAGTAAGCATGTTATTAAAGTACATATATCTTTCATAGGAATATTATGGCGTTGTTATAATAATAACAAAAAAGATTTATAAGTTATTTAATTGGTCAGTTCTCTGCCTAAAGCATTTAATACAATAAATTGCAAGATTATGTAGAGTCTTTTTACATTTTGAATTTAGCAGTTCTATAAATTTAAACATACTTGGACGTGTATAGTAGAATCTAGGAATATATTTTCTCCTGTTTTCATGATAAAAAGGGCAAACTAAAACAAAGTGGAATTCGTCCTCGATATCATTTGAATTGCAAATTAAACAATAACGACGATTTCTTTCAATATTGTTATGTCGACCAGTTTCAATATGCAGGTTGTGTGAATTTAGTCTTAATCTAGCAATAGCATTTCTGTATCTAGGAATATCAATAATAGTGAGGTATTCAGAACGATTAAAAATAGACTTAATATGTCTATACAAAAATAACGAACTGCATGTCTGAACACTAGCATGCCAATTAGTGATATAAATATCCCTAAGGCGATTATTAAACACTGGTATAAATACATCTATATTAACTGACTCTGGAAATTCCCAGACATCACAAAATCCGGCATTTAGTAATAAAACACGTATTTTCGACGACCAATTAACAGTAGCAGTATTATGAAAAATGTCTAGTCTTTGGTCTGTAACAATAGTTCTGATTATACAGTTTTCCATTTTTCGACCATACAATTTTAAAAAATATTTAACAATTCGAACATATCTATTAATGTACAATGGGAATCTGCCCAGTTCTGCATACAGAGATAATGTATTTGTTGTTCGTTTTACATTAAGCAACCATTTACAAAATTTTTTATGTACCCGCTCTAAATTCTCAGCCTTTAAAAAGCCCCAGACTTCGCAGCCATAATTCATTACTGACAATACGTAAGCATCAAACAAATTAAACATTATATTTACAGGTACATTCATACCACGTGTTATATTAAAAAGTGAATTCATTGCCTTTATTCCTTTCCCAGCCAAAGTTTTTGTTGCATTGTAAAACGAACCCCCACTTGAAAAAACAACCCCTAAATAATTGAATGAACTAACAATTACTATTTCTTTTCCAGCAAATGTCCATTTAAAAGACTCACTTATTCTACCACCCTTTCTAAAAATAACAATTTTAGTTTTTTCAATATTGACATTAAGATTCCATTTTTTACAATAAGTTTCTAAATTATTAAGTGAATCTTGTAAACCTTCTTTTGTTTCAGAAAACAATACAGCATCGTCCGCAAACAGTAATAAATATATAGATAATTGGTCCAGAGTAATACCTGCACTGCTACTTTGCTGTAGATGCATTTCTATATCATTCAAAAACATGGAAAATAGTATCGGGGAAGTTATCTCCCCTTGCAAAAGTCCTAAGTTACATTCGAAAAAATCTGATAGAGAATTCATATGACTTACACATAACTTGACACTGTCATACAGGTATTTAGGTATTTTAGATACACGTATGTCTACAATGGGCACATTTTCCATTAGTTTTTTAAATATTGATAAAAACAATAGAAATGTATCATTCGGATTTTCTTATAAAATGCTGCTTGAAAAAAAAATGTTGATAAAGTTTTAAGAATGATTTAGAATGACCATTTATCTGATGAATAATAATATTTTGTTCTAAAACACTTTATAGTCTGCTATATTAATATATGTAATATTATGAACCTCACACTTTCCAACAACTTTCATGTATAATATTTTTGTGGTTTGTTGTTGTGTCTTATACTAAATATTATCAAAAAAATTATTTATTGCATTACAGACCTTTCATAATAGACCAATTCACTTTTATGCTTTCTGTCATACCTCCCAATCAATAAAAATACAATTCATATGATTTAGCTGTTATCTATATGATTCATTTGATTATTATCATTATTATTATAATTATTATTAACAACAGTAAAACATTTAAACAAAGGCATATGAGAAGCTAATTGTTACACCTGTCAGTGTTTATTTAACAGCATGAGAGAAAGTGAGCAGTTTCATTCTAGTAAATTTGTTATTGAATCAGATATATACAGATGGTATATGGTTTTATTTACAGGACTTTACTGACCCTGAGCCAGACCCGTGGTCAGTCAGTTTACCAATGCCAATTACAGGCTACTTAAAACAGTGTCTACATGAACATCATATGAGGAAAAAACAGGAGAAGTATGATGTCATAGAAAATGGCAGAATAAACAGCAAGTCAAAACATAACAAAAAACATCATAATTCTAAAGAAGTGTCCAAATCACAGAAAAGTATTAACAAAGGAGATGGAAATTCTGCACATGATCTTAAATGCAATCAAAATCAAATATGCAATAGCATAACTGGATCAATGGATGAAATCAAATTCAATCCAAATGTTGAACAGTTTTCTGGAAACTTTAATGTGAAGAGTATTTCAAGGGGAGAGAAATCCAGAGAGTATCAAAAAGTTGATACAGTTGTATCTATGAAGTATGAGAATGGGAACTACTATCGTTCTGATGTTTATCGGGAAAATGATTTCTCTTCGTTAAGGAGCAACGACAGTGAGACAGTGTCTGCTGATGATATGTCAGATTTGTCGTCTGCTGGTGGAAGTTTGTATGAAGATTATGAGGGGGACCAGTCTGATGTTGAAAGTGAGGATCTAGAAACCAGTCCACCAGATAAATACTGCACAATAGTTTGAAGATAGTTTGCAACTTTTAGCAAATATTTCTTTCTTTTTTTCTTCTTTTTTTTTTTGGAACGGGGTGGGGTGGGAGAAAGGGGTTGACTCTTTTGATGCCAAAATTGTTGTTAATTTATATGACAGGGTTATGTTTCTGGCTGCATCATTTCTTTATTTAATAAAGTAGTATCTGTTTTGTTATACAGGTTTGCTGTGACCTTAACAAAATATTCTAAATTTGGTAAAAAAAAAAAAAAAAAAATTTGATCTACATTTATTTTGAATAATTCATATAAATTGTGGTTATAGGAATTTAAAATTTCTTCTAACAATTTTCATCAGAAAATAGCTTAAATCAAGCACAAGCCCTGTGTCCTTAACCTTTATATCAAGATAAAGGAGAATATCTTTTTTCTAAAAAAAGAATTGCCAGAATGTCATTAGTTATATAATATGTTAATAGGCAAATATTTAACTTTGACACAAAGTAAATCCAGCTATGTCATGATACAAATGTATGTAGTGATCTACCCAATGATGTCCAGCCTGTACTCATGTTATTATCCCCCGCCGATGGAATCGGGAGGGGGATATAGTTTTGGCGTTGTCTGTCCTTCCGTCCGTCCATCCATCCGTCCGTCCGAATTTCGTTTCCGGAGTAGTTCTCTGCAACTACTGGCTGGAATTCAACGAAACTTTATGGGAATCATCAATATCAAGAGGAGATGCCCATATCCTCGCCTTGTTAGGGTCAGACACTTTAACTCAGAGTTATGGCCCTTGATTAATTATGCAGTATGCATATAGAGCAAAAATCATTTCCGCCCTACTACTCTGCAACTACTGGCTGGAATTCAACAAAACTGTATGGGAACCTTCAATACCAAGGTGAGATGCGCATATCGTCGCCTTGTTCCGGTCAGACACTTTAACTCAGAGTTATGGCCCTTGATTACTTATGCAGTATGCATATAGAGTAAAAATTGTTTCCGCGCTACTTCTCTGCAACTACTGGCTGGAATTCAACAAAACTTTATGGGAACCTTTAATACCAAGAGGAGATGCGCATATCCTCGCCTTGTTAGGGTCAGACACTTTAACTCAGAGTTATGGCCCTTGATTAATTATGCAGTATGCATATAGAGCAAAAATCATTTCCGCCCTACTACTCTGCAACTACTGGCTGGAATTCAACAAAACTTTATGGGAACCTTCAATACCAAGAGGAGATGTGCATATCATTACCTGGTTTGGGTCAGACACTTTAACTCAGAGTTATGGCTCTTGATTAGTTGTGCAGTATGCATATAGAGCAAAAATGGTTTCCGCGCTACTTCTCTGCAACTACTGGTTGGAATTCAACAAAACTTTATGGAAACCTTCAATACCAAGAGAAGATGCGCATATCATTGCCTTGTTGGGGTCAGACATTTTAACTCAGAGTTATGGCCCTTGATTAGTTATGCAGTATGCATAAAGAAAAATATTTGTTTCTAGGCTACTTTTCTGCAACTACTGGCTGGAATACAATGAAACTTTATTGGAACCTTCAATACCAAGAGGAGATGAGCATATCGTCGCCTTGTTCGGGACAGACATTTTAACTTTGAGTTATGGCCCTTGATAACTTATGCAGTATACAACCAGAGCAATTATCGTTTCCGTGCTACTTCTCTGTAACTACTGGCTGGAATTCAATGAAACTTTATGGGATACGAAGAGGAGATGTGCATATAGTCGCCTTGTTCCGGTCAGACACATTTAACTCAGATTTATGGCCCTTGATTAGTTATGCAGTATGCATACATCTCATTGGCATTTCCAGATATTACTATTTAACAGAGTTATGGCTCTGTTATTGCCCTGAATATTTTTCAAGTTCAAAGAATATTACTGTTTATGCCATGATAAATATATAAATAAAGCCTGATGTCTTCAGTTGTTGTGTTAGTAATAACCAGTACTCGGCGGGGGATATAAATTCAACGAATTTGCTTGTTTTTTTTTACTATGCTTAATTTTAACGTCCATTTTTATGTTATATTTATGTATAGTTTACGCTCATGGATCATGACATAATGCATGTTTATGTAATGCTATTATATCAGATTATCGCTGTGTTCTTGTGTATTTAAGAAGTAGATATGTAAATTCAAAATCTACCAAGGTGTAAACATTATTTTTGTCGTTTGTTATTATATACCTTGTATTTATTGTGCAATAGATTTTATATTTATAAGACATTACTGGTGGGAAAATACCTCAAGATGCCCGTCCGTGCATTATTTAAGGCATGAGAGGGTATCTCACCAGGGTAGAACCATCTATATTTTCTGTTAGCTAGCTTGATAGCTTCTTCACATGAAGAAATCTAATTTAAAGTTCATTCTGCGGTTTAGAACCCACAGTGGTTAGTGCAACTGATTTGAAGTCAACAATCTTAACCATTTTGCCACGAATGCCCGACCTGGGCAAATTTTGCTTGAATTCAACAAAATGAAAATTTTATTGGACTGTCCTAATTTTGAAATCTCGTCCTTGTAAACAATATCCTCAGGTGAGGAATTAAGGGTAATCGCAGTCCTCTTGTTTTTTTTGTCAAGTGAGTTATTTCAACTGTAAAATGATATGTATACATATTAATCATAGTGCATCAATTTGTTTTTGTATTATTTATTGTAGATGGAAAAAGGTTTTTGAGATGTCTTTCAGTAACTTATTTTGTTTAGTTTTTACTTCTGATATGTATGCTTTAAACTGTTATGATCTCATTTTATATTGTTTTTTTGCATTGCTTAATTTTTATGATTTATAATTTATTTTGCACCTTTTATTGTAACAATGTGGGCCATTACAATAACTCACCCGAGATAAGTTGATAGAAATTGTTATAATTTTTCAGTGCACAAGTAGGTAATAGTAGGGAGTGCATTGGGGCATGTCATATTTGATCCCTCAGAAGTATGATTTATTAAAATTTTAAAGAGGTCCACTCTAGGAAATGCAACAATAGAGGTCCAATAAGAAATGCAGCATATAAAATATATAAGTTATGGTCATTATTTTATCTGAGTAGATGATTTTTACTATTATTTTTCCATACCAGTAGTTCCAGGGGCAGGCCTCTTTTTACCTTTGAAGCATGATTGATATAATGTTTGTAGAGGTGCACTAGACAACGTTACTTGTCAAATATCTAAGCTATGGTTATTGTAGTTTCACGCACATAGACTTTAATGACATTTCCTATACAAGACTATATACACCAAACTGTCCACAGGAAACTTCATAGTATTCTTGTTCACGTTATTCAAATACTTGTAATTTTATTTTGTGCAGAATGTGCCATGGCAACCAAAAGGAAAAAAATAGTCTTAAAAACATTTGGGCAGTTTTTGATATTTTACAGAAATGATCCTTGGTTAACCATATATCATGATTGTTGAAATAATTTTGATTGTTGAAATAACTTCATTTAGTATTAAAACATGGCAGTTATAAGGCAGGTGTTATTTCCCTATAATGTATACATAAATCAATGATAATCATTACAGTTAAATCTGTTGGTCAGATTTTGATAAAATTAGATAGAAATGGTTCATATGTAATTTACTACCAGAATTTTCAAATATTTTTTATTTATCAAAAAAGATGTTTAGCAGGTGGGGGAAGTGTTTCTCCTGTAACTGCAAATGTACATTAAACTCTGGTGAGTGACATAAGGCCAACTTGGCCTTCTTGGGTTATTTTGTCATAATTATCATTTGGCAGTAATGAAAGGTTTTTTCAACCCTTTTATAGAGTTGTTTTTTCTCTTTACAATGTACATATAAATTAATAGGTTTTTACTCTGTATAAATAAAGTAATTTATATTTTTAAACCCTATAATCACAACTTTATGCTCTATGACAAGCGAGGTTGAACAGAAAATGTTGAAGAATTGAACAACTAAAATAATAGATTATATCCTCATATGAGAGTGCAGTTTACCAGTGGTGTTTCTTTGTTCAAACTTTACATGTTTGTTAGGTTCAAGAACTCATTTATTACAGAGATTATGTATATATATATATATTTACATGTATATCAATGTTACCCAGTTGCAGTTCAAGTTTTGTCACTATACAATTCACGCGTTAATATATTTCATTTTTTACCATATGAGCCACGTCACGACAAAACCAACATAATGGGTTTGCGACCAGCATGGATCCAGCATCCGTGCAGTCTGATCAGGATCCATGCTGTTCGCTATCAGTTTCTCTACTTGTCATAGAGTATGTAAGCGAACAGCATGGATCCTGATCAGACTGCACGGATGCGCAGGCTGGTCTGGATCCATGCTGGTCGCAAACCCATTATGTTGATTTGTTGTGATGCGGCTCATGTATTTACATTTATATTTTAATATATCTTTGATGAAAGCATGATAAGCCAAAAATACACAAGTATTTTATATACTAGTACTGTATGAAAGGATATTGTCTCATATTTTCATGTTTATATACATGTACTTTAGTGATCATTCTTGTCTACATTATTGTTTTCTATGTTTATATATTAATACCAATGTTTTGTGATAGTGTGGGGTCAGTTTAATTGCCTCAAAACACTCCAAGACTACCTCCAAGGGCCACTCTAAATTACCAGGTTAAAAGATAAACAGTTTAAAGATGTGAACTGGTCTTTTTATCAATAATATTTATATGAAGAATTATAAAATGACATTATCATGAAAATTATGATTTAGGTTAGTTTAAAGATAAGTTATGTAATGTGGTAAATATAAGATCTGCATAACATATTATAATTGGCAGGGATTAACACTGATTTCAAGCAAATGTTTATTGAAGAATATGGAGTTTAATATATTTCATGCATAGAAGAATTTATTACACAGTCATTACATGTATTTAAATACGAACATATGATAATGATGTAGCATATAGATTAAAATTATGCATCCAAAGGAATATGTATTCAAATTCATTAAATTTACCTGGAAAGTGTTTATGGTCCATGCATAGTTACTACATTTATTATACACAGCTGACCACAGTAAACAGGAAAAAATTTACAGCTCACAATGAACAATCTGTTATACCAATTAACACTGTAAGTTAACTTTTAAATAAGTTATACATGATTAAATTTATCTAAAGTAAATGTACATTTGTAGTCTTAAAGTAGTCTTTGGATAATTAGACTGACCAATAGTGTGTACAATATTCTTTGTTATTTCATTTTCCCAAATAAATACATTTAAAAGAAAAAAAGTTGTCTTGTTGGTGTATAGAATATCATTGTTGTACACAGGATTTCTGTCATAGAGCATATTCCTTTCACCTTATGCAAATGGACAAGATTTAACAGCCTCAATACATGTTCAAGAGCTCACATGAAAGTTTAGTCATTTTTTGCTTTAATCATGGCATTTAAATGGTATACTCAGTCTCATGAGTAGTGAACATTTGTGAAAGAATCTTTCAATTTATGATGATTTAATGGTACATGCACACATTCATATCTCACTTTTGACCTTGATGTGACCTTTACTTTGTGCATGACACTCTACCTTGTAATGGTGAACATGTGCCATGTTATATTAAAATCTTGAAATGCGTGCTGAATTTTTACTTTAAAGACAAGATTTTTTTTTGACCAGTTTTGTTCCCGGGCTCTTTTGTTTGTTCCTTCTGCTTTGTTAAAAAAAAATTTAAAAATAACCTGGAAAAAATTCACTCACCAACCATTTTTTTAAAGAGGCTTTTAAAAAAATGAAAAGTGGGAAAAATTTAAAAAACAATCTTTTGTTTGATGCTTCACGTGTATGATGTGTATTTGTCACAAACTTGAGACTAGTTACTTAACAAGAGCTGTTGGAGGACAGCAACGCTCTATAATTTAGAAGAGTTGTCACAAGGGTGTTTCATTGAGTATAATAATGCTTACCTAAATGAATACATAAAATTAACCCAAAAAGGTACAAATACTTGTTATTAAGATGTTTTATCAGGTAAATCACTGCTTGATTAAATTGTCACAAAAAAAGGCACAAACCCTTCAGAAGTTATGTAGATTCCAGCTTACACGCAAAAACTTAACCAAGCATTTCTAAGTTGAAAAAGGGACTTTATCATGCAAAAAAGCAAATCAGAGTTATGGTACTTGTACCAATCATGTTAAATAATCACAGAGAAGAAGTGTGTGAAGTTTCAATCCATTCCCAGTAGTTACAGAGATACCAGCTTACACACAAAAAACTTAACCAGGAATTTCTAACTCGGGGGGGAAGGGGCATAAATATGTAAAAAGGCAAACCTGAGTTATGTGACTTAAGCCTAATTATGAAAATTAACAAAGGGCAATAACTCAAAAATTGAGAAGTGCAGATTACTGGTTCTTATGCACTGCACTTCGGGTCATTATAAGAAGCATGCATACCAAGTTTGAAGTCAATCCGACTTATAATGACTTACTTATGCTCTTGACAAGCTTAAGGGACACCGACGCCGACAAAAGTAACCCCTATATGTCGCTTTTTTCAAGGCGACACAAAAACTTCCCTTTTTATTTCATTCTGAAATTGATAGTTCAAATGTTTATCAGACACCACGAGGGTTAAGCTGGTCTTGCTGTACTGATGGATAAAGCCCATGATAAAACCACTGGCTTAGTTTATGCTTACAATTATTTCAATTGCCCTCAACAGTGAGAAAATAAAGCATAACAAAGTAATTCTTCTTTCTATTTTCATCTTTTATGAAATGACATGAGAAAAATAATGGTATTCATGTGAAATCACAATAATACAAGAAATGTGATAAACAAATGTTGAATTCTTGAAATATGTTTTAAGCATATGCCATAGTGAGAGAAAAGAACAATCAATTCTGTATTAGAATCTTTTTTATAAACCAGAAATTATCTATGAAACCTGCTGTCAAATTCTGAAGTACAATGCAGAACTTTGTTTTCATAAAGAATGCAACATATAACCTTAGACATAGCAGATTTGTCAGTAAAAAATCTTTTATATTTTAGGTTATGTCTATGATAAACTTTGTAATCATTTTTTTCACATGTAGCACTTTTAAGACATGAACTATCACAAAAACAGTAAGTTAATTATTTGAGATTGTTTTATTTCTTCTTCTCATCCTGGAATTTATAATGTAGATCTGCTGTGTCTGTTCTAGATATAAATTCCCATCCTGTCTCCTTCATATGATATACTGAAAGTAATGACAAAATGTTTATCTATAGTTCATTATCATCATTATAGAACAACTTCATTTGATAGTATGACAAAATGTTAATCTATATTTTATTATCATTATTATAGAACAACCTCATTCAATCGTATTTCTATGATAAAATTTGAATTCCTATATTTTTTACTTCAATCAAAAAATATTGTTTATTTATATGTTTAATGATTTTCAATTTTTCTACATTCATTACAAACAAATAATATTTAACACCCAAACATTATTTGAAAAACAATAAACCGTCACCCTCTCTGTCAAAAAAGGTTTCATAAAACCATATCTTGAATCAAGAGCACTACCATCTATCTGATTTAAAGTCATAATTTTGAGAAATAAAAGTTGCTTAATACAGATGGTGGCATAAGCTGTATAGTACTTACAATTGACAACACCACCACTGTAAGCATCTCTGAATGTAGCATGGTAGATTGCACGCTGTCCGAGATCTAGAGCCTCCTTTACAGAAAGGTCCCACTTGTAACCACTGTCTAGCACACCATAGGCATACACGGAACCTGATCCCACAGAAAACAAGTTGTTGGTCAACCTATCACCATCACTGTCTACATAATATAGTCCTGGACCCTGTACCAAAACATAAAACATAATATGGTAAAATAAAAATAATCTCTGAAAAAAAATTGTGTACACTAATTGTTTGGAAAATGTGTTTGTATCTATATGGGCCATTTGAACGAAATTATACAAATTAAATATCTTCATTCAAATGTTTATATAATATCCTAACATATAATATCCGAATTTTTTCATTCTCGTCACAAGAATTTTTTACTGTGTTTTACAAAAGTTATGACAATTTCATTTTCCAGTTTTGCTTTTGATTTTCTCATTTTTCTGAAAACTTCACCATATCAGAACTTCTCAGAGACTAATAGTATGTATACATCATTAAACATTTAAATAAATAAATAAGAAAATGTTACCTTCTTGTCCCAGCCAGCTATCATTGTACCCTGGAAACAAAAATAAAGTCTTTACTAAGTAAATTGTAAACAACATAACATAAAGGTTACCATTATTTCCTAGAACTGAACTTACTATTCCAGCATTGTTCTGATACTGTTATAATTCTTCCTATATATTAATATAATACATATTAATTTCAATTCTTTCTCCTGTTTTTATAGTTTTTCAATAAAATATAAAAGTAAAAAAGATATTGTATAGAATACCAAAAAGTTTCAATAAAATCTTCAGTCAAAAACAACTAACCATAGAGAGACCCATTCCTTTATAATTATACACCATATTAGCTAAAAGTTTTGATGCTGCTGCTACAGATATTCTTTCCTTATTCCTCAACTCGTAGATTCTGAAAACAACAAGAAAGAGTGATGTTTAAATATTAAAACATAAAGTTATTAGTTTCTTCTTGAATTCATTACAGAATAAAGAACCTGTATCATTTCTATATTTAATACAGTTAATGAACAACCAACCATTCAACCTATAGGTTATGGGTATGAGCCTCACTAAATGTTCCTTTGCATGATACCAGTAATGGTTATCTCCAGGATGAGGACTCAAAACATATTTACTTTTAAGTTGTAAGAACTTTTTTTCATCATTTAACTTATATATATGAGCCGCTTCATGACAAAACCAACGTAATGAGTTTGCAACCAGCATGGATCCAGACCAGTCTGCGCATCCTCTCAGTCTGATCAGGGTCCATGCTGTTTGCTATCAGTTTTGCAACTTGTAGTAGAGGAGTTGGTAAGCGGACATCGTGGATCCTTATCGGACTGCGCGGATGCGCAGGCTGATCTTGATCCATGCTGGTCGCAAACGCATTATGTTGGTTTTGTCGTGACGCGGCTCATATGTACTATTTATACAGTTTAACAATCTGATAAAGACTCATGAGAGTCGAAACGTTGATAAACAACATCATTAAATAAACCTTAAATCTTATTCTGTTAAAACTGCGTTGATTGTTCCACTTGTGTAATTTTCCTTAGTATTAATACAACTATAAGAATGTCTCTTCATCAGAAGTTCTTTCATCATTAATTAATTATTCATATTAATCATTTCATATTTAATTAATTGATTAATTTGATAAAGCATCTTTGAATAGTACAATAACAGCAATTAATTAAAGTTTCATTTACACAACATCCTTACTAACAAGATGAGAAAGGCAGGTAACATCTTTACTGAACATTTTATGTATACAAAATAATACAATATAATGAGCACAACTTCTCAATTACATCTTTATCCCCAAAAACTAATCTTTATCCAATCTTTATACATTAAATGGAATTAAACATGTATTATGAATTAACATTAGACCTGCATTGTTTTGCCAGTACTCTCTCCCAGTATGAACAATCTGCAGCACCACCAGCCATCGTACCCAACAAATATGGATTGATCTCTATAACCTTCTTTACAGTCTGTGAAGCTGAAAATATCATAACATACGAAAAAATTGTCATTTACAGTCTGTGAAGCTGAAAATATGATATAATAAAATTGTCATTTACAGTCTATGAAGCTGAAAATATCATATGATAAAATTGTCATTTACAGTCTGTGAAGCTGAAAATATGATATAATAAAATTGTCATTTACAGTCTATGAAGCTGAAAATATGATATGATAAAATTGTCATTTACAGTCTGTGAAGCTGAAAATATCATAACATATGATAAAATTGTCATTTACAGTCTGTGAAGCTGAAAATATCATAACATATGATAAAATTGTCATTTACAGTCTGTGAAGCTGAAAATATCATAACATACGATAAAATTGTCATTTACAGTCTGTGAAGCTGAAAATATCATAACATACGATAAAATTGTCATTTACAGTCTGTGAAGCTGAAAATATCATAACAAATGATAAAATTGTCATTTACAGTCTGTGAAGCTGAAAATATCATAACATACGATAAAATTGTCATTTACAGTCTGTGAAGCTGAAAATATGATATGATAAAATTGTCATTTACAGTCTGTGAAGCTGAAAATATCATAACAAATGATAAAATTGTCATTTACAGTCTGTGAAGCTGAAAATATCATAACAAATGATAAAATTGTCATTTACAGTCTGTGAAGCTGAAAATATCATAACATACGATAAAATTGTCATTTACAGTCTGTGAAGCTGAAAATATGATATGATAAAATTGTCATTTACAGTCTGTGAAGCTGAAAATATCATAACAAATGATAAAATTGTCATTTACAGTCTGTGAAGCTGAAAATATCATAACATATGATAAAATTGTCATTTACAGTCTGTGAAGCTAAAAATATCATAACATATTTCATGAAATTGTCATTTACAGTCTGTGAAGCTGAAAATATCATAACATATACCAAGAAATTGTCATGAATAATTTCATGGTTGTAACAAAGGATGCTGTGACAAATTTACAGTTATCATAAGGTTAATTCACACCTTAGTGAAACTTTAAACTATATTCATTTCTTAAAAACTTCACAAACTAGAGCAAACTCTGCGCACTGGTTACGCTACGGCCAGTAACCACTACCTTCACACAAATCATGTGATGATGGTCTTATCACATGATTGTGTAAAAATGGCGTATACGCCAATGAACTCGTTGAAAAAATGTTTTATCTGTAATAAACAGCGACATTAAAACTTGAATTCTGGTCTCAAATATGTCGATATGATTGAAAAAAATTGATTTTTGTACAGCGTAGAGTCGAAATTAATAATTACTTGAATGATTTCTCTTTCGAGAGGGGTCATAGTTTTGGAAAAAAACGGTGCGGTATTAAAATTTTAAAAAATTATTTTCATAATATTTATGTTTCCAAAATTATTTTAATTTTAGTTCACATCTAACACCTATCGGTCTTGAAACATTAGCAAAACCGTGTTTACTTTTTAAAATAAATATAAAAATTGAAAAAATTTATATCGTCAAAAATCTTGACAAAAATGTTGTGATGGCAGAGATCAAATTCTGTAAGGGGAGATTGAAACTAGAGCTGTCAGTAGGACAGTGTGTTTGACTATCCACAGTGCTTGATAGTAAAACCATAGCCTGGTTAATATTGAAGTTAATGAAAATGAAGATTTCAAAATAAGAAAATTATTTATGACATAGTTATGAGCTTGGGATAGCCAAAGAATTTTGTATGGTCACAAAGATCCATATTTAATTAGAAATCCAGGCCAAGTTATTGGCTTTTGAAACTGAGTGAACTTCAATATCATCACCAGGGGTTTTACAAAAGTTTTCTTGTGTTTGTGATGCTGGTTTGGGTCCAAGGACATAGCTATAAATTCAAGAATACTTTTAACAAACAGCTTAAGACTATTATACATGTATGTATCATAGATTGTCTCAAAGAAAAAATTCTGACTACTGAAAGACAAAATCTGAATACTAACCAATGTAAGGTCCTGCTGTAGCCCTTGAATCAACAGCCACTACAACACCATGTTGAAACTTGAAGGCAAGTGTTGTAGTACCATGGTCAAAGTGAATTTTTACCTTGCTGTCCTTCTCTTGAAATTGTTGTAAATTCTGTACAGGCTGAAATAAAATGGATATAATGCAGTAAAACTTTAACACCCAAAATAGCTGGAAAAGGTCCTGTTTATGATTTTGACAAAAATAAAAAATAACAAAATTAATCATAAAAAATTAAAATTTCTAGTTATAAAAAGCAGCAAGTTTTTGAAACTTGAAATGACATATTGTATAATTTAATATATTAGACGTTAAAGGCTTGTTATAGTCAAACCTGATGTACCTATCACTCATAAACGCACAACAGCATAAAAATTCAAAAAATGCCTATTATCTTGCCTTTCAGGCTTTAATAAAAAGTTTATCAAATTTTCTTTTAATTTCATGCTCAATCATTAATAAAATATTTCAAACAATGTAATTATCAATTTAAAATAAAATATAAACATCATTAGGATCAGTTCGCTGTACTGGTAGTTCGACGAAACCACTCTCACCCGTAGCACCTAATTTTATAATACCCTGATTTATTAAGGTGTTAATTGGTTCTACTGCATTCATTATCGATTTTTACACCTTATATAAACACTGTTGGAAGTAAAAAATAATCGCCAGATTTTGTAGCCAAAATGCAAAAATAATCGCCAATCTTATAAAATAATCGCAAATGGCGACTATGGCGACCGACAGCGTGAGCCCTGTATTTATCTTGTGTAACGTGCTATGGGTTTATGAGCATTTTCAATATGACTTTGCTTTGCCAAAAAGTAAAAATATCTCAAAGCAATGTCTCTTATGAAGGGCAGCACGAAATACCCAAATATACCCAAATACACCCAAATATTGCCCAAATATACCCAAATATTGCCTAAATATACCCAAATATTGCCAAATTATACTAAAAATAAATGTTTCATACTAAAAAAGTGCTGATTTAATCATGAATACAATATACACTTTCACTAAGATATAAGCAAACATACCCAAATATACTTTTTCCTATCATTGTGTTTTGAACCAAAATACTGTATATACAATGTACTCCATTAAAGCTATTTTTTTGAATAACATGAACACTTGTATTTTTTCTATATGATATGAAATTTCAACAAAATAAAACCTTAACAATGTTAGTGTACTATAGACAACAAATACCATATCTTGAGTTAAAATTGCAAGTACATTCATGAAGAACCTATATAGACTAGTAGATAAGCAAATGTCACAACTTTATTTTCTTACAACATCTTAACTACCAAATATTATTCTCAAAAACTGTGCAAATGAACTAGCGAATGGCCTAAGTTGCATTTTCCAGCTCTCTATTGACACGGGTGAACTCCCCAGGGATTGGAGGGATGCAAACGTAACCCCAGTCTTCAAGAAAGGCGACAGACACTCAGCTGAAAACTATCGACCAGTGAGTCTTACATCAGTTCCAAGTAAGATCTTAGAACACATCATATGCAGCCACTTACTTAAACACCTGGAAAAACATCGTATATTAACGTCACTTAACCACGGTTTTCGCTCCGGTTTTTCAACAGAAACACAACTACTAGTAACTATGCATGACCTACTTTCATCTTTCGAAAGAAAACAGCAAGTAGACGTCGCCATTCTGGACTTCTCCAAGGCATTCGATACCGTCCCCCACGATCGTCTGCTTTGGAAAATAGAGAACTATGGAATAAAAGGAGAACTGCTGACCTGGCTGTCGTCCTTTTTGAAAGAGAGAACAATGAATATAGTAGTCGAGGGAGAACATTCCAAGAGCACCCATGTTGAATCGGGCGTGCCCCAAGGTACCGTACTAGGGCCACTGATGTTCCTTTGCCATATAAATGACTTGCCATTAACCGTTAAATCACAAGTCAGACTGTTCGCAGACGACTGCCTCCTCTATAGAGAAATTAAAAACCATAAAGATCACATAACTTTACAAAAAGACCTTAAAAGTCTTGAGAACTGGGCGTCAGAGTGGGGATTGAGGTTCAACGCTGGTAAATGCTATATACTGAGCATCAAAAACAAGATATCACACTTCTATGAACTCAATAATACTATCTTAAAACACGTGGACTCAAATCCTTATCTCGGTGTACTTATCTCCAATGATCTGACATGGACCAACCATATTACAAATATATGTAAAAAAGCAAGTTCAACCTTGGGCTTTCTTAGAAGAAATTTGAAACATTGCCCTCTAGATTGTAGAAAAACAGCCTTTATAGCCCTTGTACGTTCGAAAATAGAATACGCTTCAATTATCTGGGACCCGTTCTTGAAAAAAGATATTGATAAACTGGAAAATATACAAAGACTAGGAGCAAGATTCATTATGAACGACTACAAGTCAAGAAAACCAGGATGTGTTACAGATATGCTGACCAGCTTGAAACTCGACTCACTACAAGACCGTAGGACCTACAGCCGCCTTGTAATGCTCTACAAGATAGCAGGGGGTATGGTGCCAGCAGTGGACCCTGATAAATACCTGACTCAGAAAGTTGAAGGACGCTTAATTAAACCAAAGAGATTCAGTGACTGTGAAACCAAAAACATTATAAGAGTAGCCAATAACACTAGATCATTTAAAACCATAAACGCACAAACAAATCAATTTAAAAACTCCTTCTTTGTGAAAACACTTGAGGATTGGAACCATCTGGAAGATTCAGTGGTGCATGCAGTTACAATAGGGGGCTTAAAATCAGCCCTCCAGAAACTCGACTAGAGTTCCTCCACTCCCCGTAGGACATATACCAGAAGTGGTCCTCCTACGTATTCACACAGATACAGATAGAACTGCCCTTTTCAACGGAATGAATGAAAGGTATTGCAGGCTAAGTCATTTTATTTTATAAATATTTATCTATTTCTCATCATAATCTATATATTATACAAACAAAGATAAATATTGCTATATTTGGGTATATTTGGGTATTTCGTGCCCCCGCTTATGAATACCTTTAGTAGGGAATTACAGTCAACCCGGCCCCAAGTTAACCCGGCCCCAAGTCAACCCGGCCTCAAAATTGGTCAACCCGGCCCCATAATTGGTCAATCCGGCCCCACAGTATTTCTATTTGGTCAATGCGGCCCCAAAATTGGTCAGTGCGGCCCCAAAATAGGTCATTCCGGCCCCAAAATATTTATTTTTTTTAAAGAAAACTATTCAGGTCATTTTGTTGTATGATGGAATAAAATTATAAATTGAATATTATTAACTATAGAACAATACAGAACAATAGTAAAAAAACGCGAATTGGCATAAAAGTGTAGGTAAATTAAATTGCGCCGATTAAGACTTTAATACGCAATAGTGATAATGAATAATTATATAACATCAACAATTATATTTAACTCAACATTATTTCAGATGTGATAATGAAACAGTTTAAAGCAATCAATTAACAAAAAAGGTATAGCTGTGAAAACAAATCCTTTAAATTCGATGTAAATTAAAGATGGTTTCATAAGTGTTCATGCGATAATTAGGAAGAAATGCATAGAATTTCAAGTTAAAAGGTTTGTATAAATTAAGTTTACAACAATCTTTTTTTCAGTTCATTTGAATGTTTTTATTGAATACGTTCATCAGTATAATTAATATTTGTTTCGTATTTTATTAACTTATTTTCAAAGAATATTTACTGTGTAAAAAAGTATTGGAATATTACGCGGAAAGTCCGAGCGGGGCCGAAGGCCCCGCGAGGGCTTTAGCGCTCTTAGATAACATGTATGACGCGTATCAGTTCAAATGAATCAAATTCAAACTAAATGAAAATTTCAAAAAAATATATATCCTATATCTAATGAGCTGTGAAAAAATCCTTAGTTAACTGGGCGCCGCCATTTTGAAATCCTTTTGAGCGCTTTTAATGAGCGTCTACATAATTCAGACTATTGCAGACGCATGCTAAGTAACACTTCCGGTGAAAGAATGATTTACAAAATCAGAAAATAAACCTGCATTTCATTGATAAGAATTATAGTAACGATTATAAATATAAAAAGTTATTCAAACATATCCTTTTTGATAAATTAGCACATTAAAAATAACGTAAAAACAACAACAGTGATTAGAGATTAACAAAAATGGCGGACGGGATTTTCCAAACGCCGACGCATGCGCAGAGGTCTGGAGTTTTTCGGAATAGTCCGAGCGTTCCGATGATAGGTTGAACACCACCAATTTATTCGTTTTGTTTATTCAAAAAAGATCTGGTTTACATGTACACTAAATATGTTATGCTAAAATCATAATTCATAAGAGCTTTCCGCGCCATAGGTAGCACCTAATTTCATATTACTAAGTGTTTTGAAAAATTGATAGTGGTTTGTGTTAAATCATTTTATGTCATTATGACTGATAACTGTATTGATTGTGGATATATTGTGCGTGACAGACAGGAGGCAGTGACCTGCGATACCTGTGGTAGATGACAGCATCTCTATAATTAATCTTACTTAAAAACTGTTAATGGAAACACTTTAGTGTGCTTTTGGTCATTTCTTTTTTTAACATACAATAACATAGTAATGTCAGATTTGAACTCATTAAGGTTTCTTTTCCATGATTTGTCAATAAAAAAGTTTAGTTTTTTCTTAATACTTCTATTGTAGAAGGGTTAAGGTTGAAGACAGACGTCACCTTATTTTCGCGACGGTAAAAACAGTAAACTATGCATGTGTTGCTTGTTTGTTAATACGCGAAAAGTCCGAGCGGGGCCAAAGGCCCCGCGAAGGCCCCGCGAGGGCTGTAGCGCTCTTAGATAACATGTATGACGCGTATCAATTCAAATGAAATCAAATTAAAACTAACTGAAAATTTGAAAAAATATATATATCCTATACCTAATGAGCTGTGAAAAAATCCTTAGTTAATGGGCGCCGCCATTTTGAAATCCTTTTGAGCTAAATATAGATATCAGAGTGCTTTTAATGAGCGTCTACATTATTCAGACTATTGCTAGCAGACGCATGCTAAGTAAAAACTTCCGGTGAAAGAATGATGTACAGAATCAGATAATAAACCTGCATTTCATTGATTAGAATTAAAGTAACGATTATAAAAATTAAAAATTACTTCAACATATCCTTTTTGATAAATTAGCACATTAAAAATAACGTTTAAACAACAACTGTGATTAGAGATTAACAAAAATGGCGGACGGGATTTTCCAAACGCCGACGCATGCGCAGTGGCCCCCCTTTAAGTTCCGAATGATAGGTTGAACACCACCAATTTATTCGTTTTGTTTATGCTACAAAAAACCTGCAAAAAAGATCTTGTTTACATGTAAACTAAACATGTTATGCTAAAATCATAATACATAAGAGCTTTCCGCGCCATAGGTAGCACCTAATTTCATATTATTGATAGTTTTTATATAAAATAAATAATAAAAGATATCACGTTAAACTTTTGTTGTTGTTTTAGTTGTTAATTTTTATTTATTTCTTGATAAGTGTTTATATTTTAAAGCAAAATCAATTTTTAAAAAAATGGGGCCGGGTTGACCAGAAATAACATTGGTTTGGGGCCGGGTTGACCAATTTGGGGCCGGGCTGACTTGAGGCCGGGTTGACTTGGGGCCGGGTTGACTTGTACCGTTAGTAGGGGGTCCTTAGCAGAAATAATCAACCTGTTAAGGACTGCTAATCATTCAAAATATAATCTATTTCATTAAGAAAAACTGCATTGAGCGCAATGACCATGAAGGTCAAGAAAAAGTATAACAACACTGAGAAAACATACAGTTGTATAAGTTAAAACATATATAATGTAACATTTACCCCACCCATCGGTTTTTAACGTGAAATGAGTTGCACTTTCGAAACGGGTCCAGTTAAAGAGAAAAGGAAAGGCTTACATCAAAGTTGTATGGCATCGAAAAATTTTGAGATAAACATTCTACGTCTTGAAACAATTGCGATGCATCTGTTCCTCTGTTTCCACCAAATATTTTAGTTTGAAATGATGTATCACGGAATCCACAAACGTCGGCGAGCGCCATTTTTAATAGTTTAGGTAAAAATGCTGTTAGTCACTCTGATTGGTAATTAATAGACTGGTTTCTAGCTTTTTGCGGCGTAATGACGAGAATGAGAACCAATAGCTGGTTTCTTCTGGTACGAGGTATATTTAGTCTCCAATATCGTGCAAGAGACCGTGGTCTCTTCTTGGTCACATGACATCGAAGGGACGCAACCGATGTAAAGCTACTCTTCAAATAGGAGGAGTTCACATTTGAAAATGTAAATATAAATAATTAAGAACCAGTTTTTAATATTTGACGTTACATGATATGAAATAACATCTGGTAAATAATGTTTTGCGTGTACTCGTATTTTTTAATACTTAATCTGAGACGGAAGATAGTCCCTTCTTTCTTCTTCTTCCAATATACCCCACTGGCCACCTTCAACTTAGTCCTATAACATAAGACGTTTCCGTTCATACTACGTACACTCCGTAGTATGAACGGAAACGTCTTATGTTATAGGACTAATCTGATTTATGAGACCAGACTGTCCAAGGTGAAAAAGGTGTCAACTGGTCTCATGTACCACATCTGATTTATGAGGCCAGACTGTTCTAGCTAAAGTGGGACTCAACTGGTCTCATGTTCTGCATCTGATATATGAGACCAGACTGTTCTAGTTGAAGTGGGACTCAACTGGTCTCATGTTACACATCTGATATATGAGACCAGACTGTTCTAGGTGAAGTGGAACTCAACTGGTCTCATGTTCTGCATCTGATATATGAGACCAGACTGTCCTAGGTTAAGTGGGACTCAACTGGTCTCATGTACCACATCTGATATATGAGACCAGACTGTTTTAGTTGAAGTGGGACTCAACTGGCCTCATGAACCACATCTGATATATGCGACCAGACTGTTCTAGGTGAAGTGGAACTCAACTGGTCTCATGTTCTGCATCTGATATATGAGACCAGACTGTCCTAGGTTAAGTAAGACTCAACTGGTCTCATGTACCACATCTGATATATGAGACCAGACTGTTCTAGCTAAAGTGGGACTCAACTGGTCTCATGTACCGCATCTGATTTATGAGACCAGACTGTTCTAGCTAAAGTGGGACTCAACTGGTCTCATGTCCCACATCTGATATATGAGACCAGACTGTTCTAGGTGAGGTGGGACTCAACTGGTCTCATGTACCACATCTGATATATGAGACCAGATTGTTCTAGGTGAAGAGGGTCTCAACTGGTCTCATGTCCCACATCTGATATATGAGACCAGACTGTTCTAGCAAAAGTGGACTCAACTGGTCTCATGTTCCACATCTGATATATGAGACCAGACTGTTCTAGCTAAAGTGGGACTCAACTGGTCTCATGTACCACATCTGATATATGAGACCAGACTGTCCTAGGTGAAGTTGGACTAAACTGGTCTCATGTACCACATCTGATTTATGAGACCAGACTGTTCTAGGTAAAGTGGGACTCAACTGGTCTCATGTACCACATCTGATATATGAGACCAGACTGTTCTAGCTAAAGTGGGACTCAACTGGTCTCATGTTACACATCTGATATATGAGACCAGACTGTTCTAGGTGAAGTAGGACTCAACTGGTCTCATGTACAACATCTGATTTATGAGACCAGACTGTTCTAGGTGAAGAGGGTGTCAACAGGTCTCATGCACCACATCTGATATATGAGACCAGACTGTCCTAGGTGAAGAGGGTGTCAACAGGTCTCATGCACCACATCTGATATATGAGACCAGACTGTTCTAGCTAAAGTGGGACTCAACTAATCTCATGTTACACATCTGATTTATGAGACCAGACTGTCCTAGGTGAAGAGGGTGTCAACTGGTCTCATGCACCACATCTGATATATGAGACCAGACTGTTCTAGGTGAAGAGGGTCTCAACTGGTCTCATGTACAACATCTGATATATGGGACCAGACTGTTCTAGGTGAAGGCGGACGCAACTGGTCTCATGTACCACATCTGATATATGGGACCAGACTGTTCTAGGTGAAGGCGGACTCAACTGGTCTCATGAACCACATCTGATATATGAGACCAGACTGTTCTAGCTTAAGTGGGACTCAACTGGTCTCATGTACCACATCTGATATATTAAACCAGACAGTTCTAGGTGAAGTCGGACCATACTGGTCTCATGAACCACATCTGATATATGAGACCAGACTGTTCTAGCTAAAGTGGGACTCAACTGGTATCATGTACCACATCTGATTTATGAGACCAGACTGTTCTAGGTGAAGTGTAACTCAACTGGTCTCATGTTACACATCTGATATATGAGACCAGACTGTTTTAGGTGAAGTCGGACTCAACTGGTCTCATGTTCGCATCTGATATATGAGACCAGACTGTCCTAGGTGAAGAGGGTCTCAACTGGTCTCATGTACCACATCTGATATATGAGACCAGACTGTTCTATCTAAAGTAAGACTCAACTGGTCTCATGTTAAACATCTGATATATGAGACCAGACTGTTCTAGCTAAAGTGGGACTCAACTGGTCTCATGTACCACATCTGATATATGCGACCAGACTGTTCTAGTTGAAGTGGGACTCAACTGGTCTTATGTACCACATCTGATATATGAGACCAGATTGTTCTAGCTAAAGTAAGACTCAACTGGTCTCATGTACCACATCTGATATATGAGACCAGACTGTCCTAGGTGAAGAGGGTCTCAACTGGTCTCATGTACCACATCTGATATATGAGACCAGACTGTTCTATCTAAAGTAAGACTCGACTGGTCTCATGTTACACATCTGATATATGAGACCAGACTGTTCTAGCTAAAGTGGAACTCAACTGGTCTCATGTACCACATCTGATATATACAACCAGACTGTTCTAGTTGAAGTGGGACTCAACTGGTCTCATGTTACACATCTGATATATGAGACCAGACTGTCCTAGGTTAAGTGGGACTCATTTGGTCTCATGTTCCACATCTGATATATGAGACCATACTGTTCTAGCTAAAGTAAGACTCAACTGGTCTCATGTTCTGCATCTGATATATGAGACCAGACTGTCCTAGGTTAAGTGGGACTCAACTGGTCTTATGTACCACATCTGATATATGAGACCAGACTGTTCTAGCTAAAGTGGGACTCAACTGGTCTCTTGTTCTGCATCTGATATATGAGACCAGACTGTCCTAGGTTAAGTGGGACTCAACTGGTCTCATGTACCACATCTAATATATGAGACCAGACTGTTCTAGCTAAAGTAAGACTCAACTGGTCTCATGTTACACATCTGATATATGAGACCAGACTGTTCTAGCTAAAGTGGGTCTCAACTGGTCTCATGTACCGCATCTGATTTATGAGACCAGACTGTTCTAGCTAAAGTGGGACTCAACTGGTCTCATGTACCACATCTGATATATGAGACCAGACTGTTCTAGGTGAGGTGGGACTCAACTGGTCTCATGTACCACATCTGATATATGAGACCAGACTGTTCTAGCTAAAGTGGACTCAACTGGTCTCATGTACCACATCTGATATATGCGACCAGACTGTTCTAGTTGAAGTGGGACTCAACTGGTCTCATGTTACCACATCTGATATATGAGACCAGACTGTTCTAGCTAAAGTGGAACTCAACTGGTCTCATGTACCACATCTGATATATAACGACCAGACTGTTCTAGTTGAAGTGGGACTCGACTGGTCTCATGTTACACATCTGATATATGAGACCAGACTGTCTAGGTTAAGTGGGACTCAACTGGTCTCATGTACCACATCTGATATATGAGACCAGACTGTTCTAGCTAAAGTAAGACTCAACTGGTCTCATGTTCTGCATCTGATATATGAGACCAGACTGTCCTAGGTTAAGTGGGACTCAACTGGTCTCATGTACCACATCTGATATATGAGACCAGACTGTTCTAGGTGAAGGGTAACTAAACTGGTCTCATGTACCACATATGATATATGAGACCAGACTGTTCTAGCTAAAGTGGGACTCAACTGGTCTCATGCACCACATCTTATATATGAGACCAGACTGTTCTAGCTAAAGTGGGACTCAACTGGTCTCATGAACCACATCTGATATATGAGACCAGACTGTTCTAGGTGCAGTGGGACTCACTGGCCTCATGTACCACATCTGATATATAAGACCAGACTGTTCTAGGTGAAGTGGGTCTCAACTGGTCTCATATTCCACATCTGATATATGAGACCAGATTGTTCTAGGTAAAGTCGAACTCATCTGGTCTCATGTACCACATCTGATTTATGAGACCAGACTGTTCTAGGTGAAGTGGGACTCAACTGGTCTCATGTACCACATCTGATATATTTGACCAGACTGTTCTAGGTGCAGTGGGACTCAACTGGCCTCATGTACCACATCTGATATATAAGACCAGACTGTTCTAGGTGAAGTGGGTCTCAACTGGTCTCATGTTTCACATCTGATATATGAGACCAGATTGTTCTAGGTAAATTGTTCTAGGGGCCCAAACAGGACATTTTTTCACTATTTGAGGCCTTAAAGAAGGGGGAGGGGTAGAAAGTGCGTTGTTTCGCTTATATATGAGGTACAGGCTATATAATAAGATTTATTATAATGGAATACTGCACTATGTAAAGATAATATATACTGTAATGCATTTAACTGAACTGCATCAAATGATTTTGATATTACATGTAAAATTTTTCAACTTGTAAATAAGAATACTTTGTGTACATTTGTTAAGAATGTGCTTATGTCAATGAATTAATGTTTATTTGTTTGTAACAGAGCTGCAGCCTAGCACAGACAGCATGTACACTTGATTCTGCTGAAGCATACCTGCTCTTACTTAAAGCAGGCAATGAAATATCTGTTTTTGGTGAATCTGGATGTGTAATGATCCTGAAAGATTACCATATTTCTGAAAATAAACTACATGTAAGCAATCCTAAATTTATATGCATGTCTGAACTTATGGTCCAGTAAAATTGCATAAATTACAAAAATGAAATAATAACTGCATTTCATGTGCAGTTCTTTGCTATTTTGCTTCAGTTGAACTTTTTTTAACAACTCAATTGATAATTAACAGATAAATAATGTTCATGTATTATTCAAATGAACTTTAATTCATACACCTATTACATTTATTTAAAATGTCTCTTGTTTATCATCAACTAGACACCATACAAATATACATTGTATCTTCTAACTGAGGGTAATGTGAAATGTATTACCACAAGAACATGACACTTAAATAATGCTAAACTCTAATGCAGAAGTTTAAAAAAAGAACAAAGTAAAGTTTAATTATAAAATCTTTTGTTTTCAGCCTGAGAAATATGTTTTAGTCCAAAGACAGGCCATGACTGATTTCAATGAAGAGTGTCATTGGGTGTTCTGGTGTAGTTGTGACAGCAATAGTTCTAGACAGATTTCCTCTTTGAATACTAATGTGAACATGTCAATTAAAGGTATTTCTTCTATTATCAGTAACTTTTACATACTTTTGCTGTAAAACCTCTTGGGGAAACAAATACTTTGTTTGTTGCTGAGAGTATTTGCTCTACAGAGGATGTCTCTAAAGAGGTCATACTGTAGTTATTTTCAGGATTTCCTCTTTAAAATTATTATTATTAATTTTAATTATTCAAATAGAGAAATTAAAGCAAAATCATCTTATGTCAGGGCTATTCATGGTTATGGTATTCCATTAATCATTTTTTAGGAAAAATATTGTTTTGAACTAAATTTGTACTTTTCACAGACATGACTGAATTTTCAACCGTTTTAATTGCCTTTTTTCTACAAATGTAATGAAAGTCCTTTACTTTTTTTCAAATTAAAAAATAGAGGTATTTTTTACAGTCATGGCGGTGTTTACGTTGCTGTGGCTGTCTGCAAACTTTAACCTTGATAATAAATTTCCAAGTTGTTGATGTATTACCTTCATACTTGGCAACAACAATCTGTAGGACAAGACATTTAAGTAGGCCTTTTAGGTAAAATGTATAAATTTTGCTTTATTTTTGCTATTTGTGGCTTTAACTTTTTTGTTCTGTTTAACACAATAATCTTTTTGGATATACCTTGTTTGCTTTTAGAAAAAAGTGAAAAAAATTTATATTGGTTGTTTAAAGATTTACCTTCAGAGTGTCTTTTAGTCAGTCTGTCTGTTCCGTCCTAAAAACTGTTTTCTGAGATCACTTTTAAACTTGTAACTTTTCCAAAAAATTTACTTAAAATATAGAAAATTTTAAATATTAGTAATACATATTCATCCTGAGAAAATTGGATCATTTGATTATCTGTTGTAGATACAACATTTCCTTCTAAGTAGGGAAACTGAACACATTACTATGATACAAACAAACAAAGAACTCAAGAGATTTAAGTTCATTCATGTCATTCATTTACTGGTAAAATTGAATGGTCAGTGGCCCTTCAGAATGTTCTTTGGGTTTTGACTGGAAGAGTACTTATGGATTGCTTGCAATTCTATGATAATTGCTTTATTCTTAAATCATCCATGTTTACCATATAGTCAATCATTTTTTCTTACAAATATCTCTTGTTTTCCAGTGTTCTACAGACCCTGCCAAGATTGTGGTGCTGCAGCAGTATTTGAAGGACAATCAAAATGTCTGCTCAATCTTGGCACATATCTTGTTGGTTATGATGTTTTGAGGTCCTACATGCATAGCTTTCTTCATGGGAGGTGAGTGACTAAGTGCAGTGCATTGTGTAATAAATAAATGTCTGTATCTTTAAAATATTTGTGAACTTGATTTCATTTTATTCAACCCAAACGTAAAATACGTAGAGCCTTTAATATATATATATGCAATTGTTTGCTTTGGCTATGGTTATTTTTTATTTGGTAGGTTTAAGTAGTGTTGCTTAGTTATAGACATCTTAGATTAAACCTGGCGACAATGAGTTGGATGGCATCCAATGATACCCCTGCAATTAAGCAGATAATACTTCATGCCATGAAAATGATTTATAGATATCTTTTCTCCTTGCATGAAGGGGGACCAGGAACCAAAAACTCTTTAAGTTAATTTTAAAGCAACACGCCTCCAGATTCATGTTAATTTTCATAAAAAATTTTGGAATTGTATTTAAAAGTAAAATATTGTGAGGTGAACAAGTAAAGCAATTTACATATTACAATCGGCACTTACAATCCAAGGAAACTACCAAAAATGCAAAAACAACCTTTACTGCAAAAGTAACGCAGTAGAAATCAAATATATGATAAAATACTGCAAAAGCAGTTTTAAAACAGCCTATAGCATGTAAATATCCTTTAGATCTTGAATGTTTTCACCTTTTTTTTGAAATTTTAGTGTACCATATTTTTTCTAAATATTGATTTTTTTGGCTCATCTGGAGGCGTGCAGCTTTAATATACAATGTTTTAATTGAACTTTTTATGTAATTGAACTAATTATTCAAAATAACTTTATAGTTTTAAATGGAGTAATGATAATTGCAATGGTTTAGAAAACCAAATTTAAATGGGGCCCAAAGTAGATTTTAGCAAGTAAAAAAGTCATTCATTTAAAATTTTTCAAATTTGGTTCCCTTTAAAAAAAAAATATTATCATATAAAAGTATCTACCCTTTAAAAGGGAAGATCAAAAAACCCGTCGTGTTTCCCGGGGATATGGCCCGAGAGAGCTTAAAATGTCATCTTTATTTAATTTTTTTTTTAATTTTATTTCCCCTTCCTTGCAGATGTTAACCCTTTTTTCCCCTTGGGATAAATTTTTATTTTTTAAAGTATCTTTTGGTCATTGAAATACAGTTTTCATTTAGTTTTCCAAAAGTTTAAAAGGGGGAAAGTTATTTTTAAAACCCCATTCAAATAATCCTGTCTGAGTATTTGGAGGAAAAACACTGTGGGTAAAAATTTACAGATTTAAAATGTCTTTCAATTTTAGGATAATGGTCGACAGACCCTTTTCCAGATCTTTTAATTTCTGACTGTGCTGCCTTGTACGCTTCATTAGCAACTGCGAATTCAGGGCTACTTATTATGTCAAAAGGTTTACTGTGTGGTGGTAATATGATAATATGGTGATATGCCTTCTTCATTTCAGCTACTCTGAGCGAACTTTTTTTGAAGATGCTACCACAAGACATCTCCTGAAGCGTTTCACAGCAGATTCAGCTCGTGGGGTTAAGTTAACACCTCTGAGTGAATCCGATAAACATAAGCTTCTGTCATCAGTGGAGAAAGTTTCTAAGTTTCTTTATAAATGTGATTACAATTTGTAATGGACAATTTTCCTGTTTTCTTGTATTTGAATGTGAACTTCATTACAACAATGTTTATACACATTAACTTACAAGAAAAGAGATCAATATCCCTATTCAGGTAAGCGATTTCAGGGCCATCATGGTCCTCATGTTGATGTCAAGTGATTAAAATTAACATGATTTTGGCTTTGTGTAGCATTTATAGTTAAATATTTATTTCCGTTTTTGTGCTAAGAATTTCGCTTATATATAAGTGAAGGTGATTAAAATACCACCATAGACATATAAGTCTCAATATCGTATGTGCCTTGTTAATGTATGTCTTGGAGCCCTTTATTTGGAAGTATTTATATTATTGTTTTATGAGTGATGCCGTTTACTGGATAGTTGCATGCGTATTTGCTCATTTCTCTGTACCAATAAATATATGCCTTGACTACAAAGTGTTGTTGTTGTTGTATAAATATATATACTATTTTGAAATATCAATGCCATCTTCTTGAATGTAAATCTGTTAGTTTTTACCCGGCTTTTAGAAGTATTTCGAAGTTTTGTTCTATCACCGGGGGTGGGCCGTAAATTTTTTAAAATTTAATTTTATCGTATGGGTTTTCATATTTTTCCAAAACGTTTTTAATTTTAGCCCAGGCTTTCCAGAAAAGTAATAGGCAGTATCTTTAAAGCATACTATAGACATGACTTTTTTAAGAATTTAATTTTACGCTTTATATCAATGTTACAAAAAAGACGAGCATAAGTAAGTAAATGAATACAAGGTAAAAAAAATGCTTTTTATACACGCGCATCTTTCAAAATAAAAGACATTGTTGCATCAAACTAAATCCTTAGGCTATTCAAGGGACATAGTTTTTACATATATATTACTTTTATATTTGGTGTGTAAACATACTCAAAATTTCAATTTAACAGTTATTGAATGATAAAAAATTGATTGTGCCTTTCCATAAAATAAATATGCACTGATTGAATAGCAAACACGGGTGACTATGATCAGACAGTACGGGTGTGTAAAAGGTAAAATTCCGCAAGAAATACAAACCAAATTATAGTTCAACTATTTTGAAAAAAAGACAAATTGATGTATTCGTTCAAAACATAAGTTCTGGTCCTCTTCAGTCGCTTTTTACATGAAGAGACCATGCTGCCAAAAAATATAAAAAATTTCAGTTAACATATATTCCACTATTGATGAAAATTACAAAAAAATACGCAAAGAAAACAAACAAAATTAAAGGTTAAAACTTTTTTTTAAAGACAAATTAAATGTTATTTGTTCAAAACATAAAATCTGGTCTTTTTTTTAAGTCCACTTTTTACATGGAAGAGACCATGTGCCAAAAAATATAAAAATTCAGTTTACATTTATACCACTATGATGAAAATTACAAAATAACCGCAATACATACAAACCAAATTATAGTTTTCAACTAATTTTGGAAAGACAAATTGATGTATTCGTTCAAAAACATAAGTCTGCATGTCTCTTCAGTACTTTTTTATGAAGAGACCATGTGCCAAAAAATATATAATTCAGTTTACATTTATCCCACTATGATGAAAATTACAAAAAATACGTAAGAAAAACAAACCAAATTATAGTTTAACTATTTTGAAAAGACAAATTGATGTATTCGTTCAAAACATAAGTCTGGGTCTCTTCAGTCACTTTTTACTTGAAGAGACCGTGCTGCCAAAAAATATAATAATTTACATTTACATTTATACCACAATGAATGAAATTACAAAAAATAACGTAAGAAAAATACAAACCAAATTTATAGTTCAACTATTTTGAAAAAAACCAAATTGATGTATTCGTTCAAAACATAAGTCTGGTCTCTTCAGTCACTTTTTTACATGAAGAACCGTGTGCCAAAAAATATATAATTTACATTTACATTTATACCACAATGATGAAAATTACAAAAAAAATACGTAAGAAATACAAACCAAATTATAGTTCAACTATTTTGAAAAGACAAATTGATGTATTCGTTCAAAAACATAAGTTCTGGTCTCTTCAGTCACTTTTTACTTGAAGAAACTGTGTGCCAAAAAATATATTAATTTTACATTTACATTTATACCACTATGATGAAAATTACAAAAAAATACGTAAGAAATACAAAACAAATTATAGTTCAACTATTTTGAAAAGACAAATTGATGTATTCGTTCAAAACATAAGTCTGGTCTTCTTCAGTCACTTTTTACATGAAGAGACCATGTGCCAAAAAATATAAAAATTCAGTTTACATTTATACCACTATGATGAAAATTACAAAAAAAATACGTAAGAAAAACAAACCAAATTATAGTTTAACTATTTTGAAAAGACAAATTGATGTATTCGTTTCAAAACATAATCTGGTCTCTTCAGTCACTTTTTACTTGAAGAGACACGCGTGTGCCAAAAAATATATAATTTACATTTACATTTATACCACAAATGATGAAAATTACAAAAAATACGTAAGAAATACAAACCAAATTATAGTTCAACTATTTTTGAAAAGACAAATTGATGTATTCGTTCAAAACATAAGTCTGGTCTCTTCAGTCACTTTTTACATGAAGAGACTGTGGTGCCAAAAAATATATAATTTACATTTACATTTATACCACTATGATGAAAATTACAAAAAATACGTAAGAATACAAAAAAAAACATTATAGTTTCAACTATTTTGAAAAGACAAATTGATCGTATTCGTTCAAAACATAAGTCTGCATGGTCTCTTAAGTCACTTTTTACATGAAGAGACCATGTGCCAAAAAATATAAAATTCAGTTTACATTTTTATACCACTATGATGAAAATTACAAAAAATGCGTAAGAAAAACAAACCAAATTATAGTTAACTATTTTGGAAAGACAAATTGATGTATTCATTCAAAACATAAGTCTGGTCTCTTCAGTCCCACTTTTTACAATGAGAGACCACATGTGCCAAAAAATATAAAAATTCAGTTTACATTTATACCACTATGATGAAAATTACAAAAAATACGTAAGAAAAACAAACCAAAATTATAGTTCAACTATTTTGAAAAGACAAATTGATGTTTCGTTCAAAACATAAGTCTGGTCTCTTCAGTCACTTTTTTACATGAAGAGACCATGTGCCAAAAAATAAAAAAAAATCAGTTTACATTTATATCACTATGATGAAAATTAACAAAAAATACGTAAGAAAAAACAAACCAAAATTATAGTTCAAGTATTTTGAAAAGACAAATTGATGTATTCGTTCAAAACATAAAGTCTGGTCTCTTCAGTCACTTTTATAATGGTCTCTTCAGGAAGAGACAGTGTGCTACATAGTATAAAAATGTCAGTATACATTTTATACCTGTATAATAAAAAATACGTTAAAATACGTAAGAAAAAATAGAATTACAACTGATTAATTAATGTTGTTTTCGTTCGAAGATACCGTTCGCCGAAAAAGTCACAATAAATTGAAGTCAGTATGATAAAAATATGTTAGAAATACAAACAAAAGAAAATTGAAACTGTTATGGCAAAAGCCAAGTTAATGTTTTTCCTCTTTAAATAATTGCAACGATCATATGTTTGAGAGTAAAAATGTCCTTTGTACGTGTTTAATGATGTAAAAATATTACTCGTTCTAACGTGCTTAAACCAAAATACTAGTATGTCTGATTGATTAGGGTGAAGTACTCTGATATTATAAAATACACACATATTTTGTCAAAAAGAAAATCGACGTTTTTCGTTCGTCTGTATGATGTGATTATCAATCGTTTTTCGTCATAAACAATCTTTTGATACGTTTTAAATAGCCACTGAAAGTATTATAAATTAAATGCAAAAAAAATCTTTGTCCAAAAAAAAAAGGGAAAGTATTTTCCTTTGAAAAGAGCAATATTTATTCGATTCCTCTTCGGTCATCTGTTAACTGGCCGCGTGTAGTCATATATATTATTAGTTATAAAAAATGACAGGTCATTATGGTCCTATATAACGGTTGTTTGGATACGATGACCGACCAGCTAGGCGGATTTTATAATACAGCCACGGATTTATATTACGTAATATAAATCTGTGATACAGCCAGCATCTTTTTAAGAAAAGAAAGTGAGATTCCTTCATAAATTGACAGCAGCCGTGTCTACAATTCAATAGAATTCTCACGATAATCATGACAATTTTTTTTGATTTCCTCAGCTGACATTTATGGTGCTTTGAAATAGCTGAACAACAGATTTTACCTTTTCCTGAGTTACCCGAGGCAATGATGCTTACTTGTTGTAACCCTTAAAGCTGTTGTGTCAACAAACAGTCTGTCTTTTCAAGCTTAAGCGAGTTTTACGGCCAACATACCTTTCGTAGTCCCTGCCTTCTTTGTGTCTTCAGTATTCACACCGTAAGATAGTTAGTAAAGATAAGGTACGGCCCTATTATAATGAATGATACAGATAGTTTTGCGTATTAAACCAGAAACACAAATCCAGGAGTTTCCAATTACATGACATATCTATCATAACCAAGCAGAACCACACTTCTTTGATGGTTTTATCCGATTTCAAATGTTGTTTTTTTTTTTTTTTTTTTTTGGGGGGGGGGGGGTATTACGTCACATCGACACAGTATAGGTCATATCGCGACGTTCCAGCTTTACTGGTGGAGGAAGACCTCAGGTGCCCTTCCGTGCATTATTTCAGGCACGAACGGGCACCTGAGTAGAACCACCGACGTTCCGTAAGCTAGCTGGATAGCTTCCTCACATGAAAGAATCCAAAGTCCCTATCGGGATTCGAACCCACAGCGGTGAGGGGCAAGTGGTTTGAATTCAACGACCTTAGCCACTCGGCCACGTACGCCCCTACCAACTATGTGAAAGGCTACGAAAAGTGAAGCATTTTCTGCGATACAGACAGAACGACACACTTGTGTATAGCAAATCAAATGCAATCCATAGGATACTATTCCAGTATCACTTCTCATCTTCATGGACAACAGATTATATTTTTACATGTATAACATGATTTATGCTCTAGAACTTAGCTACAAAATTAACACAAACCAAACAAAAAACAAAAACAGTTTCGTAAACACTGAAATTTTATTACTAAGCTAACAATTATCAACAGGTATTCAATGCATCAAAATATAATCAATCGACCCTTACAAACATTTGATTTAGTTTTATGTCGGTTTTTATTCTGCCCCAACAATATCAATTTCTTCTTATTAAAGATCCTGTTTGTTTTGTGATTGATATTGTTACTGTGTGTAAACCACACTTGCAAAAAGTTATATATGTATATAGTTTATGCAAATAAAAAACAATTTTCAAACAGTGAAGAATATTTAAAATGTGTACTGCAAATATGTGTGAACATTATATTTTAATCCATAAATTACATGCATTCATTTCTTTTTGGAAAATTTGACTTAAAATTGATAGAAAATAAATTTCTAATTTACCTCCCTTTATTTACACGAAATGTTAAATTGGGAAATATCTTTATAAATAATGCTTATTGGAACTTACAATATTGACAAATCTTTAATTTGAGCATCATATTTATGAAATAAAACCATGAAAAAATGTGTTACAGGATCTTTAAAATAAAGAGCCCGGTTTGAAACCTGGGGATGCTTCCCGAATAGGTTTTTGACACAGGAAAGTACACCTCTTGTAGTTACAGAGTTATGTCCCTGGACAAAGTTCAAAGTGCATTAATTCCAGAATAAGGCAAGGCAGAGTAACTGTTCTTCAAATAAATGAGACCTATTGATCTACACTGTTTCTTGTTGACTTCCGTTATGGAGTTATGTACATGACAAAGTTTAAAATGTAAAAATTTAACAAAGGGAAAAAACCCCAAAAAAAGGGAAGGCAGTTCTTTTTGCACTGCGAAAAACCTATTGAGATCATGTACCTCAAAATTTCAAAGTTGAAATTTTCCCTTTTAAATTTATTTATGCTAGCATACCTTTTTTAAAAAGGGGGGATAATTCCCCAAATTTCATGGGTAAACCCGTTAGGGTTTTTTTTCAATGCACTTTAAACCCCAAAGAGATCTACATCAAAAATTTATTTTGAAAATCCCCAATAATTTTTGAGGTTTTTTTGGAAAAAGTGTTTAAAAAAGAACGAAAAGGGAAAAATCCAAAATTTAAAGGGATGGCAGAGTAAGTTTTTTGTGTACGCCCCCCTTCCCACTGGAAAACTACAAAGTTTTAAAGTTATGTCCAGTTTCAAAAATTTTTCTAAAAGGAAAAATTTAAATTTAAAAACAGGGGTGAGAAGAGTTATGATTCTTTTTCATGCACTTCCACCCAATGAGATCTATCTCACAAAGTTTTATGCTATTTTTTACAATTTTAGAGTAATGTTCCTGCCAAAGTTCTAAGTGTAAAAAAAAACAAACTGCAATATTAGGTATGGCAGAGTTACAGTTCTTGTGCACTGCACTCTGCCTTGATGTCCTCTACCACTGCATGAAGTTTAAACAAATTATCTCTTAGAGTGTTTAAGTTATGTTTCGGACAAGACAACGGTGGGGCAAGACAGACAGACAAGGCTGCGACTATACGCTCTCCTTTTGGGCAGCATAAAAAATAGTGCCTCTCTCCAATTTACAAAAGACCATATTGAAAACAAGAGCGATCAGTGATCACTTGTGTCGCCTCATGATGGCCAATTTCATGTTGGGACAAGTTTTGTGACAGACGGACAGACAGTGCACAACTAGACTTTGTACTGATCATTCCTGTAAAGTTTGGATAAAATTGCACCAGTAGTTTATGATGAGTAGTCCGGACAAGCTTTTGTGTATCTGGCAACACACAGAAAAAAAACACATTTTTATCAAAGGGCCATATCTCGGCCAAAAATCATTCAACCAGAACACCCATGCAATATGCGCAAGGAATTGAGCTACAGATCAATCCTGTAAAGTTTCATTGAAATTGCATTAGTGGTATAAGAGAAGCAGTCTGGACAAACTTTAAAAATAAAAATTATTAAAGGGCCATAACTCTGACAAAAATCATTGAACCGGAAAATGCTGACAATATGCACAACTAGACTTGGTACTGATCATTCCTGTAAAGTTTGGATGAAATTGCAAAAGTAGTTAATGAGGAGTAGTCCGGACAAGCTTTTGTGTATCTGGCAACACACAGAAAAAAACAAACTCCAAAATTGAATGACAGACGGACAGACAGACAGATGACGGAGAAGTGATCCCTATATGTCGCCACTACACCGTAGAGGTGAAACAAAAATCACATTGATTTCAATAATAATTGATAATTATTTCCTTACAATGAATGTGACATTATGCTGATCAAAGGGTAAATAGTGAGTGAACAGGAAAAGGAGAAAATAAATTTACACTATGGCATAATTCTTTTAATTTTATAATTAACTTCGTACGAAGGACTTTGTTATTGACCCGAGAAAAAATCTAAATCTATTAATCAGAATTTACATATAATCGTTCATTTTATAAAAAGTGTAGAACATTCTTTTCTTGGAAGTTTTTATCTTTCATTTCCAAACGTTTAAACATGGCACTACATAATAAAAAAGGAACAGGATTTACGAAATTATAAATAACCATGTCAAATGTATCAACAACTTCACAAAATGAGTTGAAATAAAATGATATTTACTTTGTGCTTCTTTAGTAGTAACACGGTATGACATAGGTAGATAATGATCCAAGAAAGTAAACAATATTTCAATTATCACAGTAAATGCACAATAATATAATAATAGACACACTAATAATAGGGAAAAAAATAAACAACTTAAAACAAGCCTATAAAAATAATAATTAAAAAAACAACAACAATTAACAATACACACACAAAGTTATCTATATTTGAAAAGAATTAAAAGTGTTTGTAAAACTAAATGTATTTCAAAACTTATTTACCATGTATTTTTGTCTTAACATTTTCTAATGTAAAATAAGAATTGAAATTTTCTCTCCATCTTTAATATCAATCATTAAGATTCTGAACCTATCATTTATTAAACATTTGTTTCTTAGAGTCAATGAAGCTATTTCACAGTAGACAAATAATAACTCTTAAAAGAAAACTTGTGATAAATTGCTTAATATTTAACATCATATTTTTAATTCGATCTGTCACTCCTTTTTTTCAAATAAAATGACTGTACATCTCCATTTTTATACATTCATAACTTTCATTACTAACTAACTACAGCAATTTTGAAACGTAAATTATATGTCTAAAGACATTTTTCTAAAATTTAAATTGTTTTTTTTTAAAGAAACAATGGGTTATAACTCAAAAATACATTTTCAGACTTTGAATATATAAAATAAGATCATTCAAGCACAATAAACCTGAAAATTCAAGGTCATTTTTGAGTCAACATCCACAAGTTGACTTAATGATTGAGCAACTTTTGAGAATAAGCAAACATAGGCCCACAAATTGTACAATGGACTCAGCACACCTTTTGTTGTCCATGTGGTATATAAATATGGTTCATTAAAACCATTTCAGCAAGAAGTTGGTTTATGTCTTCTTTCATCATCAATACTTTTAACAGCACCTATCAATAAAAGAATACAAAAGAAAAGATTTAGAAAATGGAAAATAAATGGACTAATATGAAACAGTGATTAAACATGGCACATGAAGATCTTTGCAAGTAGAAAGATATAAAATGTTGTAAGATACTAAGCTATAATATTTGTTAACATAAATTCCAAGATCAAGGGGAATAATTCTAGAAATAGTCATGCTAGAGTTATGGACCTTGTCACACAACATTTGTGTAATGATAAGAAATATATATTTGAAGTTTGAAGTAGATACCTTAAAAAGTAAAGAAGTTATTATATTTCTTAAAGAAAATCCTAAGTTCAAAGAGAGATAAATCTGTAAATATTGCTTCAAGAGTTATGAACATTGTCACATAAAATGTAATTGATGATAAGGAATAAGTATTTGAAGTTTGAGGTAGATACCTTTAAAAATAAAAAAGTTATAATAAAAAATAACATTTTTCTAGTAAAAAAATCTAAGTTTATGGGGAGATAATTCTTGCAATATTGGTGCTAGAGTTATGAACCTTGTCACACAAGATGTGGATGATGATAACGTAAATATATTTGAAGTATGAAGTTGATCCCTTTAGAAATAAATAAGTAACAGTAAAAAATAATATTTTTTGAGGAAAATTCTAAGTTCAAGGGGAGATAAATCTGAAAATATTGGTGCTAGAGTTATGAACCTTGTCACATAAGATGAGGATGATGATATAGAGGATATTTGTTTGTTTTACATGTAAGATTGAAATATAATTTCACTGAGTGAACACCAGATGCAATATTTTCATGAGTGACGTAGCCACGAGTGAAAATTTAATAGCTGGTGTTCACGAATGAAATATATTGCAATCTTATATGTAACACAAATAAATTTTCTTTTTATTTCATGCTTTTTAAAGTGATTTTAGGTATTGTAACTGATTTTGCCGCGTAACGTCGCGCATTATCCTTTGTGACGTCATCACATTATGACGTCACATCATCAATTTTGAAATATAGTTCTGTTAAATTTCTCTAATTTTGTTACATCTTTAACATGATGTATGGGGACATGGACTTTCTTTTCATAAAGAAGCAACATTTACGTATGACGGCATTTTTTCTGCCTGTTAATCCATTTAGTTTGATTTTCTTTTCATCCGCATTCAGATATAGTCCGGCTACAGTGAAAATTATATTTTATAAATTTCACTAGTGGTTTATCAGAATATAATCATCTGATATATTACAAAAAAACACTGAAAAGCATGAAATAAAAGGTACATATATTTGAATAATGGTTTTAAAGCTATTCGATGATTGCTATCTGAAGAAAGAAGCGAGAAATGTGAAATAATATGTCATAAAAGTAGCAAAATGTAAAGAAAGTAGTAATTTGACTTCCATACAAAATACTAAATCGCTATATCTGTATTATTGCGAACAAGCAAAAGAAGAAACAGATTGTTCACGTAATTGGCCAATTGGCTGATGAGTTACTTTTTTCGAAACTTTAAAATAAACCAAAAATAAAAAACTTTAGAGAAATAAAATAAAAGCATTTATTAAAGAAGTAATAGTTAAAAATAACATTTTTTATGGAAAAAATGTCAGTTCATGAGGAAATAATTCTTGAAATATTGGTGCCAGAGTTAATAAGATGTGCTTGATGATAAGAAACATATGTTTGAAGTTTGAAGTTGATCACTGATGAAAAAAAGCAGAAAGAGTAAAAAATAATATATTTTTTAGGAAATTAAAGTTCAATGAGGGATAATTCAAAAAGCATTTCTTCTCAAGTTATGAACCTTGTCACAAAAAATGTGGTTGATAATGAATAATGCATATTTGAAGTATGAAGATAATGAAGTATGAAGAAATGACAAAGTTATATTAAAAAATATTTTACTGCACCATAACTTTAATATGAAATCTAGTTCCTACGCTGGGCAAGTAGGACAGCTCTCCATATACTTCGTGCAGTCAAGCTAAAATAGTATATTCCTTTTTTTCTAATTTATTTAAATGTTCAGAAGGCATAAAATAATTTTTGTTCAATTAATGAAATAACAAATATCTGCTAAGGGTTATATAGGTGATATAGGTATCTCAGTAGAATTAAGGCAAACAAAAGAGCACTGATATAAGTAAAACAAAAATTGGAGAAAAATTCATCTGAGTGACTAGAAAACTTACAAAAACTGAAATGTATCCAGTTTTATTTGCACACTTTGGACATCCTGGCACAATGCCATATTGTTGTTGAAGGCTCTCAATCAGCTTCATTAGAGAATTTGTACCCAGCTTCTTACCATCTACATAACATTAAAAAAGAAAAGCAAAACATTTATGAAAAAACCTTTCATATACATGTTAAAGCATCATCAGGTTATGTTACATTGCTTATACAATGGGCCTATGTTATAACGCTAACAGTTAGCGCTTCTTTACACTATTTTTGTATAACGCTTATGACGTCACGTCAAAATATATGCGCGGCCGTGCAATTCCATATTTATGGAGTCAAAAAATCAGCACGGGTGTGTGATAAAGATCAATATCCTAAGATCAAATGCAGGAAACACAAGAAGCTTACCATTTGTAAGGTATGACATAAAATATAATGATTGCAATCAAGAATAATTAAAATTGTCATCATTAATCATCAATTTTCTTGAGCCAATACAATACCATATATATCCAAATGTGTCACAATTGCTAAATGATGTATGCTGCTTTAACATAATAGTAATTGATTTTGGGTTTTTATGAATACATCTACCTGGACCTCTTTGATTCACTGATTGGAAAGCTATGCCAGTACGTCTCCACCATGCAGGGCAATTTCTGTCCTGATACCAATTTCGCCTTCCACTTTTATCTGAAGTTAGAAACAAGTGGGCATAGATGGTCCTGTATCAACAACTGACATACATTGCTCAAAAATTAATCAATTAAGTTGAAATTGGTCAATCATACTTAACCTCAGCTGTAGGATTTAAAACAAGGGGCATTATGGTCCTGGATTGCTTACCTGCTACAGGAAAACTATATAAGCTCTAGACATTGTAGAAATAACAGGATCTTGAAACATTTCATTTTAAAATCTTTTAATGTATCAGACTAGAATCATTCATGTAACTTTCACAGAGTGCCATGTAAGGATCATTCCTGTGAAGATAGTCAAAATCCACAAAGTGTTTTAAGAAGGATGTTGTTTATTAACACATTATAAAAAGGCAGATTGACAAACATCATGCCATTACAAAAGTTCACCTCCAAGTAGTTTAAAATTTACATATTTAAACTACTGCACATTCATAACACAGTACACATGCAATACTTCACAATTACATTTTTCAGTACATTATAGATATTATAAATACATGTACCTTAAGCAAACCCAATTTTACTTAGTAGATACATAAGAAATCTAATGATACTAAGTACTAATTCAATATACAAACTTGATAATGAATTTGATGGACCAGCAACAGTTGACAATATTGATCTCATCATGTCAACATTTAGATCAAAAACATGTTTATCAAGACATTCCTTGTATGAACAGTCTTCAGATGTGCCCTCTGAAATATACATCAATTCAATATTACCTTGGTCACTTTAATAATAAAATTTTGAGCATCACTAATAAAGCCAGTTGGTAGGAATGACATCCTTTAAGAAAACTTACAGCCAAATAAGATTTTTTTTCCATAATACCATCAAAAGAAATTAACAGTCACCAATAGTGCCATAGCACTTGTAGAACCTTCATATGTGTATATGTTTCAACAAACAGAGGGATGGACAAATCCACACCTATATGCTTCCTCTTCAAGAAAGCAAACAAAAAGTGTATTTTAACTTTCATGGATGCTCACATTCAACTCATAAACTTATTTCAATTTAATCTGTACAAGACAACCAACCTTCAGTCTCACCATAGCTGTGATTCAAAACAGCTTCTTTGTAGGCAGTCTGAACTTCAGTCTTTAAAGCGAAGTTAGTCCTTACCTCTGTAGGACCTGAAGTTGGTAAATATACACTTTATGAAATTTGCTGAATGACATCTTAAAATTTAGTATTGGATATGATTGTTATCTTAAATGATAAATACACAAAAAAAATAGGTACGTTGTATTATTTTTTGATAATATGATTGTAAGTACACACTTACTGAATAAACGTTTAAAGATTTTAAAACATGGAATAATCAGTGGTTACCTGTAACTTGTATATCTTTATCCAGTACCCCAAAACACAAAAGGTTCATTGACTTGTATTTTTCATTGTACTTAGCAATCTGAAATAAATACATGATAATTACATAAATTAATATAGTTAGAGGTACAAATGTGCCCAGAGTACATGGATACTCCCCCCTCCCCCTTATCGCACTGTTTGTAAGTATACAGAGTGACCTGGGATAATTAAAACATGGAAATTGTATAAAACTCCCTCACCTTATGATGAGGGATTGTAAAAAACAAGATTAAATTATAAATAATATACAAGTAATATATAACAAAAAGTATAGCTATGAAATCATTTGCTAAGAGTATGTTTTACCTTCAAGAAAATGATTATTCATTTTAAGAACAGTATTTGCTATTTCAGAAAATTTTATTAATTTCAAATTTTTCCATAAGGTCTGGCAGCGGCTAATACAGAGCACTGCTACAGTTCCATACTATGAACATAAGTGTCATATATCAGATGTGGTACATGAGACCAGTTGAGTCCCACTTCACCTAGGACAGTCTGGTCATATAAATCAGATGTGGTACATGAGACCAGTTCAGACCCTCTTCACCTACAACAGTCTGGTCTCATATATCAGATGTGGTACATGAGACCAGTTGAGACCCTCTTCATCTAGAACAGTCTGGTCTCATGTATCAGATGTGGTACATGAGACCCGTTGAGACCCTCTTCACCTAGAACAGTCTGGTCTCATATATCAGATGTGGTACAGGAGACCAGTTGAGTCCCACTTCACCTAGGACAGTCTGGTCTCATATATCAGATGCAGAACATGAGACCAGTTGAGTCCAACTTCACCTAGAACAGTCTGGTCTCATAAATCAGATGTGGTACATGAGACCCTCTTCACCTAGGACAGTCTGGTCTCATAAATCATATGCGAAACATTAGACCAGTTGAGTCCCACTTCACCTAGAACAGTCTGGTCTCATATATCAGATGTGGTGCATGAGACCAGTTGAATCCCACTTTAGCTAGAACAGTCTGGTCTCATATATCAGATATGGTACATGAGACCAGTTGAGTCCCACTTTAGCTAGAACAGTCTGGTCTCATATATCAGATGTGTAACATGAGACCAGTTGAGACCCATTTCACCTAGGGCAGTCTGGTCTCATATATCAGATGTGGTACATGAGACCAGTTGAGTTCCACTTCACCTAGAACGGTCTGGTCTCATATATCAGATGTGGTACATGAGACCAGTTGAGTCCCACTTCACGTAGGACAGTCTTTTCATATATCAGATGCAGAACATGAGACCAGTTGAGAATCCACTTTAGCTAGAACAGTCTGGTCTCATAAATCAAATGTGTAACATGAGACCAGTTGAGTCCCACTTCACCTAGAACAGTCTGGTCTCATAAATCAGATGCGGAGCACGAGACCAGTTGAGTCCCACTTCACCTAGAAACAGTCTGGTCTCATATATCAGATATGGTACATGAGACCAGTTGAGTCCCACTTTAGCTAGAACAGTCTGGTCTCATATATCAGATGTGTAACATGAGACCAGTTGAGACCCATTTCACCTAGGGCAGTCTGGTCTCATATATCAGATGTGGTACATGAGACCAGTTGAGTTCCACTTCACCTAGAACGGTCTGGTCTCATATATCAGATGTGGTACATGAGACCAGTTGAGTCCCACTTCACGTAGGACAGTCTGGTTTCATATATCAGATGCAGAACATGAGACCAGTTGAGATCCACTTTAGCTAGAACAGTCTGGTCTCATAAATCAAATGTGTAACATGAGACCAGTTGAGTCCCACTTCACCTAGAACAGTCTGGTCTCATAAATCAGATGCGGAGCATGAGACCAGTTGAGTCCCACTTCACCTAGAACAGTCTGGTCTCATATGTCAGATGCGATGCATGAGACCAGTTGAGACCCACTTTAGCTAGAACAGTCTGGTCTCATATATCAGATGTGGTATATGAGACCAGTTGAGTCCCACTTTAGCTACAACAGTCTGGTCTCATATATCAGATGTGGTACATGAGACCAGTTGAGTCCCACTTTAGCTAGAACACAGTCTGGTCTCATATATCAGATGTGTAACATGAGACCAGTTGAGTCCCACTTCAATTAGAACAGTCTGGTCTCATATATCAGACGTTCACATGAGACCAGTAGAGACCCACTTCACCTGTTCAACTAGGACAGTCTTGTCTCATATATCAGATGTGGTGTATGAGACCAGTTGAGACCAACTTTAGCTAGAACAGTCTGGTCTCATATATCAGATGTGATGCATGAGACCAGTTGAGACCCACTTCACCTAGGACAGTCTGGTCTCATATATCAGATGTTCACATGAGACCAGTAGAGACCCAGTTCACCTGTTCAAACTAGGACAGTCTTGTCTCATAAAGAGTCATATATCAGATGTGGTGCATGAGACCAGTTGAGACCAACTTCACCTAGGACAGTCTGGTCTCATATATCAGATGTGTAACATGAGACCAGTTGAGACCCATTTCACCTAGGGCAGTCTGGTCTCATGTATCAGATGTGGTACATGAGACCAGTTGAGTCCCACTTTAGCTAGAACAGTCTGGTCTCATGTATCAGATGTGTAACATGAGACCAGTTGAGACCCATTTCACCTAGGACAATCTGGTCTCATATATCAGATGTGGTACATGAGACCAGTTGAGTTCCACTTCACCTAGAACAGTCTGGTCTCATATATCAGATGTGGTACATGAGACCAGTTGAGTCCCACTTCACCTAGGACAGTCTGGTTTCATATATCAGATGCAGAACATGAGACCAGTAGAGTTCCACTTTAGCTAGAACAGTCTGGTCTCATAAATCAAATGTGTAACATGAGACCAGTTGAGTCCCACTTCACCTAGAACAGTCTGGTCTCATATGTCAGATGCGATGCATGAGACCAGTTGAGACCCACTTTAGCTAGAACAGTCTGGTCTCATATATCAGATGTGGTATATGAGACCAGTTGAGTCCCACTTTAGCTAGAACAGTCTGGTCTCATATATCAGATGTGGTACATGAGACCAGTTGAGTTCCACTTCACCTAGAACGGTCTGGTCTCATATATCAGATGTGGTACATGAGACCAGTTGAGTCCCACTTCAATTAGAACAGTCTGGTCTCATATATCAGATGTTCACATGAGACCAGTAGAGGACCCACTTCACCTGTTCAGCTAGGACAGTCTTGTCTCATATATCAGATGTGGTGCATGAGACCAGTTGAGACCCACTTTAGCTAGAACAGTCTGGTCTCATATATCAGATGTGGTGCATGAGACCAGTTGAGACCACACTTCACCTAGGACAGTCTGGTCTCATATATCAGATGTTCACATGAGACCAGTAGAGACCCAGTTCACCTGTTCAACTAGGACAGTCTTGTCTCATAAAGAGTCATATATCAGATGTGGTGCATGAGACCAGTTGAGACCAACTTCACCTAGGAAAGTCTGGTCTCATATATCAGATGTGGTACATGAGACCAGTTGAGTCGCACTTCACCAAGGACAGTCTGGTCTCATATATCAGAACTACATTTCAAATAATCAGATCTAAAACATGGGCCTGGGGGCCGGGTTGTTTTTTGTGTTTTGCAAAATTTGCTGTGGTCCAGTATAATTAAATTATAACTATCTTCCGTCTCAGATTTTAGTATAAAAAAATTTTACGAGGTGACATTTCGCAAAACATTTATTTTACCAAAACCCTCTAGTAATATTATAGATGTTATTTTTTTCATATCATTGTTAACGTCCCAAATGTTAGCAGGTTTAACTTTGGTTTTTTATTAATTTAATTATTTAGCATTTCCGTATTTTTTCTCATTTTTTCCCCAAATGTGATACTTTTTGGTGCCCCCCTTATTTTGAAGGGAAGTTCATATTAAATTTTTCATTATAGTTTGCAGTCCCTTTCGATGTCATTAGTGAGCCAAGAAGAGACCAACGGTCTTCCTTTGGCTCGATATTTGGGATGGCTAATTATTTCATACCTTAAAATTCGGGGGAACCTTTTTGGGATTTTTTTCTTCCCCTTTTTTTTTTTGTTTTTTCACTTTAAAATTTTTAATTTGAAATACTTTATAGCCATTTTAAATATGCATTTAAATTTTTTTCCTTTTTGGTTTGGGGAAAAATCAATAAAAAATTTGGGGGTGTTTTTTTTATAAATTTTGCCTTTAAATCGTCCGATATTACCTTTTTTTTTTCAGAAAAAGGGACTTTTAATTTTTTCCCCGGTTACATCGGCCCCCTTTTAATTTTAAACTCAGTTTTAAATTTTCTTTTTTAAAGGGCTGAATACCCCTTTTAAAACTTAAGACATTTTTTTTTTTTTAAAATTTTTTTTTTCTAGCCAAAACGGACTTTTTTTAAAAAATTTAAAATTTTAATTTTTTGTGTACGAGCTTTTTGTTTTGCCCAAAACGCATTTAAAAAACTTTTAACACAAATCAATTCTTTAAAAAAAAACCTAGCTCGATCTGAATTTCATTACGAGGCAGCCAGCGGCCCATTTGTCCGCCTAAAATAAAATTCAAGCGGCAAAAAAAAAATCGGTCACAGGCCATGAAAGACTGCCTACCACGCTATTTTTATGAATTTAGTAATAAAAAGAGCACCGAAACACGAGGTTATCTGATTTGTACGAGGGGGCGTAGCCCCCCGAGTATTAATCAGATTACCGAGTGTTTTGGTGTTCTTTCTCTTTTGTATCATAGTCAAACATAAAAACACGTTCCCTGTTGTTACAATATGAAACCCCGGCAAAAATGAACTAATGACCGAGCATCTAAATATGACATTTCTGTTGATTTCACTTTCAGTGTCGTCACAAAGTTTTTAAACCCCAGCAAAAATTCCAATTTAATGGGCCCCTTGGCTTCCCAGGGGTGCGGGTAACTAATAAATGCACTCCCCCGTTAAAGGGACTTTGGGGGGGGTTTATTTGAAAAAGATTTTAACCCTGAACTTTTTCAAAAAGGAAAGGGCTCCAAACTATGATAACAATTTTTTTTTTGGGCCCCTTTATCAAAAGAAGGGAAAGGAACCCCAAAACAACTCGGAATCTTTATTATTCGGGGGGTTTCGCCCCCCGTACAAATCAGATAACCTCGTGTTTTGGTGCTTTTTCTTTACTAAACATACACTCAAATTTAGTAAACCTCTATGCATTTACGTATATTTTTTTGGTGAACGATTTAAAGGGATTTTTGTATTCCTAAATTTAAAAAAAACCGGAAGGAATACCCGGGGATTCCCTTTGGGGTCCCCAAAAAAAATTGGGAGTGGGAATTTTTAAAAAATATTCTTAATTGATAACATAAAGTCACAAATATTCAAGAAACGACATGTCAGTAAAGCAAGGTTCAAGAAAGAAAAGAAAAGTGGCGGCAATTAAATCTACTCCAAACGCTAATTAACTAGTACTCTTTCTTTGTACGGTCAGTCCATCAACTCGTTTGTGATATAATATATATTGTTTCAAAAATGTTTTGGCTAAAAAAACAATCTAGAATAAGTTTATGTCATGCAATGACTTCATTATATTAAGGTTTGAAAGTAGAATCGCCAACTTATTTCACAAGTGGTGTACTTCAAACACGTGCTGATCAGAATTGCGGGCCGTATAACTACGAAACGGGTTTTCAGAAGTTTAGGTTATTTAAATTTCATGCATACTCTATCCAGTGTTTATAAAGTTTGTTTTTGGTGCAGAAATTCAGCAACAGTAATTTTTTCTCGCAATTTTTTTACGAAAATTCACCATTATAGTCTTGAAAGTTCTGTTATAAATTTAATTTTTTCACCTTAGAGCGAAGTTAAAAGGTGTGATTCATAAACAGAATTAAAATAATTCATACTCCTTTTTGATAACTCACAGTTTTAATGCTGAAAAATATTGTGTAATGCCCCGGTCACATATTCACGGATAATGCCACGGAAGAGCTACGGTCTAATCGTTCACGGATTACTACGGAAATGTGAAATTTCGTAGTCCACTACGGTTCCAGTACGGACACACAACGGTATGAGTACGGAGTCCAACGGATTTACCACCAAAAGCCCCCGGAGAGACACGGATTGTTACGGACCACCACGGTTTGATACGGAGCGACACGAATCAATACGGACGCACTACGGATACACTACGGTCTAATACGGTATAAGCACGGGTTAGTACGAATAAGTACGGTCTGATACGGAGAAGAACGTATTGATACGGAGAATAACGAATTGCCACGGATCTATACGGACCCAATACAACCGTCCACAACCTCTTGCTTGCTCATTTTCAAAATGCCTTAAAAGAAAAGAACACCTTGAAAACGAATTGCAGAGTTCAATAATTTTGGCGGAGAGGACTTGGCCTAATCGCCTCCGACCCCCGAGACACATCAGGTCCGATTAAAGTGTATTTCTTGAAGGACGCTGGATCCTCAACAAGTTCGGCCATGAGAGCCTCATACTAAACTTGAAGCGGTCTTCGTAAAAGCCCATCTCGAGTCCACCATCTCGTCTGTCTTCTCTTACCAGATTAGAGATTTGCTGTTCATCTTACAATTACATTAATTATCGTGATGTTTATGTTTTAAGCTTGTTAATTAATCTTATTATCACTCAAGGGCCAGCCTCCGAGGCTTATGAGACACTTCGTTTCATGTACATATTTACTCCAATTTCACGATCCAATGTTTGTAAAATATTTAACATTAAATGTTATTCCATTACTTATGAATTGTAGTACGATATTAATATAAATTTACTTCTATGTATGTCATCAAGCAGCTCGAACACTGCCTCTGCATTCTGAGCCATTTCAGTATAAAGTTGCAGCCAGTAAATGGCAATTATCATTTATTAAATGTTTCCGCAAATATGTCTGTTTTTAACAAGAAAGTAGTATTTATACCCTTGAAAAAGTACATGATACTTAATTCATCCGTACTAAACAGTGGTGGACCGTACTATTCCGTACCGTTTCGTGTTGCAACGCAATAAACCGTATAAGACCGTGCTAATCCTTGCCTCTCCGTAGTACAACGTATTACGATCGTGGCTTTCCGTGACAATGCCGTAATAATCCGTATTAAAAACGTAGCTTATACGTAGGGTAACCGTACAAATACGTAGTTCTCCGTACAAAACCGTGGAAATCCTTGACAAGTTGGTGGACTACGAATCAGTACGGACTAGTACGGTTTTCGTACGGACCAGTACGTATCAGTACGGATTAATACGGACTAGTAGGGATACGCTACGGTTGATTTTTCCGTAGCAAATTTTTGTGCATGTTCAAAAATTGTCAAGGATCGCTACGGATATACAAGGACTAATACGATTGATTACGGTTACAATACGGAGAGCTACTGACCAGTACGGGTAGCTACGGACGATGCCGGAATTAATCCGTGGCTCTTCCGTGGGCGTATTCCGTGAATATGTGACCGGGGTATAACTGTTTAAAGTTCTCTGAGGTCAATCTAGGCCACGCATAATTTACCGACATCAACTTAAAAAAACTCCTTAGGTGAAACATGTACCAAAGTGACGTATATTTCATCTGACAGTTCTTTGAGTCAATCAGTGTTCTGAACTGCATGAGCACTGCATGCGGTGAGTGCCTTTGATGTGACAGGTGTCAAAACTTAAAACAAAATTCAAAACACACAGGTTGGAAAGGAGTCCGACAGAACAGTGTAAATTGAGTATAAAGTAAATTTAAGTTGGATATAACACATCCTGTCATGGACTTGGAGCAAATTGTGTATTTTTTATTTATTTTTTTGTCTGAAACCTTAATTATTTTAAAAAACTTAACCCTGTCCGATAATCCCCGAACAGAAATTGTATGACCGATGATCCCCGCCTTCAGTGTCCGATACAAAGCTCTTCTGTCCGATTCAAGACGTTTTTAATTCAGAACACTTTAACCCTATTACTATACGCATAACATCGAGATATGTAGATAAGAAGCGGTAGAATGCTTTCTGCAAGCACGGTTTATGTACCGGGTGAAACGGAACAAAGAGGAGATTACTATCAACTCAATTATAGCCCGCTTCGTCCGGAGGTGTCCGATAATTGCCGGATCTACTCTATATGGAGAAAATCGTTTTGTGTTTTCGGTTTAAAAAATGCGTAACTTTTCCCGCCAACTGTCAAGTTGTGTTTATGTCGTGGCTTCTCGTAGGTTCTCGTTTAAGGTCACGTGAATATCGCACATGCAAGGAGATTTAACATGGACGACAGTCATCACAAAAAATTCAAAATTTGCTGATTTTATTCATTTCTGGCCTAACTTTGCAAAACAACATGGGTTTAACTCGAGAAGAGTCTTACGAAATATTAGAGTTACCAGTCGGTTAGTAAAATACTTAAGTTAAATTTGTAGGAAAGCTAAAAAACATCTAACCGAAAATGGATTTTCAGATTCCGAAAAGTTAACGTATTGAAACATATTTGTGGTTTGTAGAAACTTGGATTAATGATTCAAACTTGTCTCTTACATTTGGAACACATACCTGATGAGTCTGCCTATGTTTGTAAAGTGATGGCATTTGGTGGCACTTGCATTTGTGCTGATTTATTAATCATTTTATGCAAAGTTACGATTCTAGCTTGTGCTGTTTGTAGGTCATGTGTTAAAAATATATTTATTTTCAGTGTGAATATTGCAAAGCATTAAACTGAGCTTTTTGACAGAAATGATATCTTTCAACTATTAAAACCATAGTAATTAAACCCATAGGCAAGCTGCACACTATACTTACTAATACTACACAATTGACCTTTTCGAAAACCTAGCTAAACACCGTTTTCCGGTACGTTACCGTTTTAGCTCTGGGGAATTACACCCAATGAAGTACATAACACAGTTACGTGATATTTCTATTTTTCTATCATTATTTAACCGTTTAAGGTTAAAAAAATTGATGTTTTTGAAAATTGTCAATATTTCTTTCATATCTATTGCAAAGTATTCAAAAAAATAAATTATATATAATGAAAATCAATAAAATTCAAACAGACGTAGTGGAATCTTCCATAATAAATAAAGTTATTTTCTGCATAAACTTGTGTATTTCCTTTATTTTTTGTATGGAATTATTCATACAATGATATTTAATTATTTTCTTACAAAGAAATAACTGTTTTATTTCAATTTAATTTTAAAAAAGGCCGAAAACAACGAGTTCGCTATTACACTCCATTAGGTGAATTCCCCAGAGCTATGTACAGAAAGTACCGGAAAACGGCGTTTAGCTAGGTTTTCGAATTCGTGAATATGATTGCAACATATTTAGAACTGCACATAGTTCTAGCTTCCAAAACTTTATAAGCGGCTTTTTAATATTTTTGTTTTTCATCTGATGCGGCATTAAAGTTTTGGATTAGACCCGTTACGAAACCTAACCAGAATAACATAAGTTGATTTAACCTTATTTTCACTTGCAAATACACTTGACCCAATCAATTCTTGTGCATTTTACGATAAAACAATTATTTTAACATTGTTCTATACCGATTAAATTATCAAAATAATAATACTGTCATTAAAATTGCCTATTTAACTGTAAAATAGAGAGAAATAAGAATCCCTAAAGAAAGCCCAACACGGCAAAATTGAAAATGTTGCAGGCTCGGTTTGATTGAGACATCCGACTCTTTGCGGACGACAGCCTCATGTTCAGAGTCATCAAGAGTACAAATGACAAGACAAGGCTGCAACAGGATCTTGAAGCTTTGGAACAATGGGAACGAACCTGGCTTATGCGCTTCAATGCTTCCAAGTGCTATGTATTACACATATCATCAAACAGAAAGATAGATCACCAACACCAGTATATACTTCATGGCCAAGTCCTGCAATCAGTGGACCACAGCAAATACCTTGGTGTAACTGTCTCCAACAACCTCTCATGGGACAAGCACATACAGAATGTAGCTGCCAAAGGAAACAGAACACTGGGATTTGTGAGGAGAAACTTGAAGGATTGTACACCACAACTGAAAGCAGCAAGTTACTGCACTTTTGTACGCCCAGGTCTTGAATATGCAGCAACAGTCTGGGATCCTCATCTTCAGACACACATAGATTCACTTGAGCAGATCCAGAAAAGGGCAGCCAGGTTTGTCAAAAATGACTATAAATCCAGAACACCCGGATGTATGACAGAAATGCTGAGGAGCCTGGATTGGAATACCCTCCAACAGAGAAGGAAGGAAGCAAGGTTAGGCATGCTCTACCGCATTCAACATGACCTAGTAGACATCCCCAAGGACAAGTACCTACCACTGAGTAACCAATCCAAGAAGAACACCAGTGACAGTAGAACACGTATACGTTTCTACCAAGAACGCACCACTGGCAGGATGTATACAAATACCTTCTTCCCCAGGACAATTGTTGATTGGAATGGCCTGGCATCAACAGTCACCGCCGAGGAAACATTGGATGCTTTCCGCACGCGCCTGCCGGCCTCCGTCTAAATTCACTTCACAACGTCTCTGTAAATAAAGTTTTTATCAGTTTTTACAACTTTTATCGCTGAGCGGAAGAGTGTTCCATCTCACCATGTACATAGTTTTCGCAGAGCCTCATTACGTTCCGTTTGGATCCCGGCTCTTATACTGGAAGAAGAAGAAGAAGAAGAGCCTGTTCATGGATGGAATTGTCAAGTGCAAACTACCGTCCATGCCCCCTAGCACCGGCTCAAGCAGAATTTAACATGAACTGGTAAAATTTAGAATTTTGAAACATCCGCAGATGTGTTCATATGGCGGTTATCATTGAACCTTCAATGTGACACGTTAGTGCCATTCCATGAAAAGCGGCATATGGTCCCCAAGTAAGAAAATGCATGTGCCCTAAACGAGAAAACAATGGGCGGAACTAAATAAAATGGAATTTTGAAAGGGGATCTGAGGTTATGAGGCCTGCATATCACAGATATGACATCAAAAGACAAATTTAAAAAGCAGGCTACATACCCTAAGGGTGATTCAACAGTATTCAAGTGAGGAATACTGGAACCACCCAACAAGAAAGATGCCGAATAGAAAGAACTGAAATGCCACAAGCACAACAATTATGTAGTGCTGAACGATCTTTAAGGATCGGAAATATAACATCCCTGATTGAATGTACGGGTCGACTTTTTACGGCCTCCACATGGCACAAACAACGCTGATGTGACGATTAAATAGAGAGAAAGAAGAATCCCTAAAGAAAGCCCAACACAACAAAATTGAAAATATTGCAGGCTCGGTTTGATTGAGCCTGTTCATGGAAGGTACTGTCAAGTGCAAACTACCGTCCATGCCCCCTAGCTCTGGCTTAAGCAGAATTCAACATCAATTACGCCGACTACAGTCGGCCATGACAATTTAGGTGTCACGCGAGACCTCGTATGACATTATTCGCGGGAACCTATTAGAATAGAGTCGTGTACTATTTGTTGACATTATTTCAATATTTTTATTCAAGATAATGTTTTTATTTATTTTCATTATTTTTTAATAAGTATTGACAAAAATAAATTTTATGAAAAGTTTTTTTTTATGACTAAAAAAATTATAAAGGTATTTTACTCTACTTTCATTTTGCATAGAAATATCACTAGCATCTCAATTATCAGCGCATATATTCATAATTTTTTCACCGATCTTAACAATACTACTAGTGTCAAATCTTAGATAAATAAATACTCTTTAAGAAAACAACACTGGCACCTTCACTGATTATATGTAGCAAGATATATTCAAGCCCAAACTGTCAACAAATGAAACTAGGAAGAGATCTGATTGCACTGTAAAACACTAAATTCACAGTGAATGAACATTTCTTTGTATGGCGTATTTAAATATGATAAAATTAAATTATTATTTGTAATAATTGCTCAATCGAAGCATCATATGAAACTATAACATACCTTTTTTCCTATATCCAAAATGAAAGTAAAATGGCGCAGCAGATCGTATTTATTCTTGTTAAACACACAGACACGAGTATCGGACCTGGGAAGAAAAAATATGACCAGATTGATAAAAAAAAACCTGTGGTCATCTTAAAAGTGTCCAAAAAAACCCCAAAAAAATGTAAATAATGACCCCCTTTAAAAATATACTATAAGTTAAGAGAAGGCCGGAAACTCCAGATTCGAGCCTACGAGCAAGGGATTCATTTCCCGGGCCGTTGTGAAAACAATTGGCCAGACAATTAAAAAAACTTATCACTATTTCACGTTTGTATTAAGCTTCAAAATGAGACCGACCCCAAGTCTCTAGCCCTTCCCGTTCATGAAATATCTATCAGGAAACGAGCGAAATCGTGCTAAAAATCCTTGGTAGACAGAATTGCTGCACAACAATTCGGTACATAAACATAGACTAATACATGTATGTCAGCTGAGTACGGGTCAAAATCACTGTTTTTTTATCAATCTGGTCATATTTTTTCTTCCCAGGTATGATACTCGTGCCTGTGGTTAAACACCAACATCTATGTACATTGTTTACATCATTTAGGAAAAATAGCAGGTGTTTAGTTAATCAGAGTTGTTCCATTTCTGCATTTTTCATGCAATATTTTCCCCTTCAGAAAGCCACAGGTTGTTTTAAAAATTGAAAAAAAATACTGGACAAACACATTGCATAAATGCATCAGAAACGCAGTTAAAATCAATAAATTGTCAAACAAATTATGCATGCCTTGGACTGATGAAGTCATCAGAATTCAATAGTTCCTTATGTAGGCCTTTTTTTGCTTGCAGGTACAGGTGTACATGACATCTATGTCAAGCTTGACTATCATAAACTATAACAAGCCGTGGCTGCCCTTAACCTCTGATATATACTAGTCCTGGAATATGTAATACAGTAGAACTTCTATGAGTCGAACTTCGATTAGTCGATTTTCTCGATGTGTCGAATAAAAATGAAAGTCCCGACTTTCCCCCCTATATATTCCTTATAAAAACCTATTTTTGAGTCGAAATTTTATGTGTCGAATTTTTCGATGTGTCGAGGTTTTTTCGTGGTCCGTATAAAGTAAATCTAGTGCAATTTACCACAAATAAGTCGAAGTCGTTGGATTGTTTTGACACCTTTGACCTCGAGACATTTTTCACACCTTATCTGGCTGCGAAGACGATTTCCAATCAACTTGTGTGATAGGTGTTAATAACACAGCCGTGTGTTCAAACAGCCTTTGTTTGCGATAAAATGTGTGATAAAATGCGTTAATCGTAACTTTTTTAATTGCCGTAGTGGTATTTGAAAGTAAACAGTAAGCACTACTTCACTACTTTCATTTGAAAACATCCTTGACCCGGTGTCGCGTGAAAATAACACACGAAATATTTACTATAAGCTGGTTTAGTTATCGCCCTTTCGTAATCATACGCCTTTTGTAACTCTTTGGGTAGTCGTGAAAAACGTAATTTGACATGCTATATTTATCATTGTAAAATTTAAAGATAAGATTAATGATGGAAAAACATGAAATATGTTTCGTTATAGAGCTTATAATTAGGACTAGTCACGGGTCGAAATTTTGTCATGAAATTGAGAGCGATTCATGAGTCGAAGTCCCGATGTGTCGAAGTTTTTACGCAAGTCCCTTCAACTTCGACTTACCGAAGTTCTACTGTACTTGTGCAATGCTACATGTACTCACCCATAGTTGCTGCCCTCTTCCCTTCTTACATTATAAATATACCGATTATTTTTCATAACTGGAAGAAAAAAACATGTTATAAGCGAAAACTGGACTAAATACTGGGCCCTATAATATTGTATATAAATTTCACCAGTTTGTATTTTATAAAGCCAAAGGCGCAGTATTGCATTGACAGTAGACACATCTAAATTTAACACCTGCTCACAGACACTGCTTAGGGAAAGTTAGTGGTTCTACTTATGTGCCCCTTCATGCCTGAAATCATGCATGGAGAGACACCAGAGGTCTTTCTGCATAAGTTAACCCATTACGCGATATACACGACTTTTAAAGCCTCCCCCCCCCCTTTTGTTGTCTCAAATGGTGAAAAAATGCCTTATTTAGGCCCCCAACACTTGTTTCTGTTTGAGAAATGTTGTTAAAAAAGTGACCACTTTTTCGGCGCGGCCCCCCAACAAAAACATACATCAGTCAGTGTAAGAAACTCTGATTTGAAACCACTAGGCTGGTCTGACTATCAGATGGGAAAATTCTCTAGCCCAAAAGACATTTCACTAGCACGATTCATTTGTTCAAAACAGTTGTTTATATTGCCTCTGAAAATACAGTAGCCTGGTCGGGCTTGTTACTTTGAAACTTTGGTAGCCCGAGGAGAAATTTAGTAGTCAGGGGCTATAGGACTACTGCTAATTTCGAACACTGCATCAGGGGGTTGCCAGAAGGGGGATGTGCCCCCTTCTGTTTGGGGGGTTTGAAGTCCCCCTCATCGCCAAGAAAATTTTGGACTTGTGAGAGGCTAAAAATGACCCCAGATCGATCATAAGGTAAGGTAACGTGTAACCAACGCTGAAAAGCATTTGACTCTATCTCAATCCCTTGAGAAGTTGCAGCACTTTGAAATCAATTTTGATGGGAAAAATCAAAGCAAAATAGTGATCTTTGGCAATTTTGAGATGTCCTCTCGTTGCCATGGTAACAGGAAATTTAAGCCTGAGCATGTTGCGAAGGCAATGGTCCAGTCAACATTTGTGCCAAGTTTGATTAGTAGTGAAGCAGTTTTTATAGCTTTATAGCAATTTGAACTTGTAACAGGAGACTTTTCGATGAAAACAGCCATTTTTCACAAAATGCTCATGAAGTAATGGGTTAAGCTGGAAAATTTCCGTATATTTGCTGTGTTGGTGCTTGTTCACTATCTAATGTATTCACAATTAAATTGAAACATGAGTTTCATTTTGATTTAAAATCTAGATAATGACTAGATGAGAGTCAGTGATATACTATAAGAAATACTTACCTGATAAAAGTAAAATGGGAACCTTTGTGTTAAGTCTTATAATTGATGGGTCTTGTTTTTGTAATAACTTAATAACAAATAATTATCAGACAAGTGTTATCAAGCATTTGCCATAGAAGTTGCATGATAAATGATACTATTTTTAACAGAATACATGATTGACTTATTTTAAAAAATGTTGGCAGTCATTGGGTGACTTTCTTGTGCTTTTAGCATTGGTAAAGGTAATTCAAATTAGGAAATCATTAAATTTTGTAATAAGGCACACTAGGATTAAACTGGTCACTAATACAGGATTTTTAAAATTATTTTCAGGAGAAAACAGTAACTATTTCTAAAGGGGAAGAAAAGGCATAGACATATTCTGAAATTTCATCAATTTTAATAACTTAAAACTTTATTGAGAGATTTTAAGCATACCTCCAATTTGATATAATTAAACTGGTTTACATCCATGTTTCTTCCTTACTGCTTAATGTTTGATACATCAAATTCTTTAAGTGAGGAATTTTTGTGGTTAAACCAAGGTGTCAATTGGTCCTGAAATCCAGCCGAAGGGGTCTCAATTTAGTATCATGATGTCAATGTGACCTAAATTGTTTTAGATTGTGACTAAAGTACAACAAAAGTAGAATGAAACTCGTGTTTGTCACAGACTTTTCATCATTTTTTGCAATGTTTTGAACATGAAAGAGATAACCTACTTCTAACTAGATGGTTTGAGATCTTATCTTACAATGTTTTGAATTCAGTTCATATGAATATGCTTGGTAATTTACTTATATAGACATTGGTTGCTTTAATTCAATATTTAATCATTCTTTAATCATTATGATGCAGTGATAATTATGTTCTTTACTTGACAAGATTGTTTTTGCTGAAACTACTCAGGTAGGCAAGTGTTGTACTGTATTATATTTAGTATTGTTTTTGTAATTCAGGAGTGGATCAGGATTCTATCAGAACAAGTTACAAACGACTGGCATTAAAATGGCACCCAGATAAACACAGTGGTTCACAAGATGCTCTTACAGTAAGTTGTTTATCTTAAAGCTTGCAATGTTCTGTTTAAAACTTTACAAACAAGATAAAGTGTAGTTTTTTTTAGCAAAACAAAACAGGACCATTTAAAGATGTGTTGTTAATCTTCTTGTGAGTACAAGTCACACACTAATGATTATCATGATTCAGAAGTAATTATTCTTTTTTTTGAGGAAAAAATTTAAAAAATGAAGGATAATTTCCCAGACGATATTCACCTTGGATGTTGATCTGTTAACACAATTCATTAATATTTAGAATAACTTAGTCTTTATACATTTGTAAGATTAAACTGACTGAAGATATCTTAAACTGAATTCAAAGAATTGTTTTACAAGCTATTTCTAGTGTTAATTTAATGTTAATACATTATCATTACAAGTTTGTCATATATATTGTATATTTCTTGTTAGAGCACAAGGGATAAGATAAAGGCAGAAGTTTTAATAGGTTAAGTTATTGTGGTTCCATACATAGTTATTAATGAAACATGTATGTTTGAATATTTTACAGAAATTTAAGCTTGTCAGTAAGAGTTACAAAAGATTGACTACAGGAGAAAGTACAGATGACATGACACTAGTAAGACTTTATCATTTTACAATTATCCTAAAGTATATAATGGTTCAGTTATAGTTATTAATGTTGTTTTATTTGTCAATGAAGATGATTCATATGTTGACAAATCAAATCTTATAACAGAACTGATACCTTGATAACTGATGTATGACCTTGAACTTGATGTTACCTTGACAATCTGGGTAATTTATTGAATTTGACCTTTAAATGATCTCGACTATCAAGGTCATATTGTTGAATTTTCAATAAATGTTATTTGATAGACAAACCCACTTATATGTATGAGTAATACTTGAGCCATGGTCAAGATCAGTCTGAAATTTCTTTGAGTAAATGATATTCTCCACTGAAATATGCTTCATTCCATGAATTTGTCTTTAGAAAAAGGGGGAAAAAAACTCAGCATGACCCCAATATGCAGTTGCTTTTGTTGAACTTAACCCTGCTTATAAATGAACTTGTCCTACATGAGAGGTTTTTCTTCCTTTTTCTGAACTGATCTGTGTCTATCTAATTTGTGCATTTTTGAATTGTCATATATTAAGTAAATGTGGGAAAATAATTAGTTGTCAAATACTTTGAGAAATAAATATATTTAGCATTTTGGAACATGTTAATATAGCATGTATAGTAAACCCATCTTTTTATAAAGAAGATTAGTAATAAAGTTTACAATTTCTGAGATGAAATATTTCACTTTTAAAAATATTGATAGTTTTGTGCTAGTTTCTGGTGATAGCTAGTAACTGATGTTTGCATTTGATGAATTAATTGATAATTGTACTTAAAGTGGCCTAGAAAAGGTATTTTGTCCGACATATTAAAGTAAGAAGCTGTGAATTTAAAGTAATACTAAAATTATTATTAAAAATAAATGTAATATATGTTTCAGGACCAGATGCTTTCACTTTTCAAAGAAGTTTTCTTTACCAGACCAATCAGTAAGTAATAGAAAAAAGTGATATTCTATGTTAACAAATCTTTTATTATATACTTATTAAAGCTACTCTCCCACACAAAACGGACCTAAGAACATCAACATATTTGTTAACCGTTATTAAATATGCATGGAACTTGCAAAAACTGTACTTACATGTTTTTCTTTTAATGACATTTTTTTTCAAAAACGCCCAAATTTAATTACAATGTGTAGGATAGTAGCATTTATGGAATATTGAGAAATATTTAAATGAAATAAAATGCATATTTTCTATATTTTCACTGGTGCCTTGCTGAACCACTTTCTTCTAAATTCCGCCAATACACACAAAGGGAAAGTCTTTTGAATTGTAAGCACAAGAGTGAGAAAAAGTATATAACAAACAAAAATTCAAGTGCTTTCTATGACTACAGGATGTATTTTCATCTTGTAGTAAGCATATGAAAATGACCATGTTCCACTTGTGGCTACTGCTAGTCAATAAAGATTTATTTTCATACCACTTAATGAAAATACTGTATTTATAAATTATAAGGAAATTTGAATATCCTCTATTTATTATACAATTAATGATTATACAATTAATGATTATGTTCTAAGTAAAAAGTTTAACCATAATGACCAGTCCTTGAAGTATTTTGTAGATTTATATAAAGTGAAAATATTTTACTAACAAGACGATGCTTTCTTTACATTTGGTTAAGTATATTTCATAATTACAAATATTAAGTGAAGTGTCATCCAATTTTTTCTCTAAAGCTTGTAATATGTCCTCCAAGTATTTCATAATTTTGTGCACTAAATGTTTGAAGACTATCAAATACATGCTAAACACTGTTGTTTACCCCCTTACCCCCCCCCCCCCCCCCCCCCCCCCCCCCCCCAGTACTTAACTACTTTTCATGACTTGAAAAGATATGTTTTATAAGATATGATGTATATGTTTGACAGATTCCTATAATGGTTCGGGGTATGACTCCTCGGATGATGATGACGATGATGAGGATATTGAAGAAGAAGTGAAGTACTCTAACCTATTTCCTGACAAAATAAAACTTAAGCAAGATTGGAAAAAAGCTCGGGAAGAGGGAGATATCATGGGCAAAAAATTATCAGCTGAGGTACTATAACCTTGTCATAAATTATGTTGAGATGATTAGTTATGTTAGGTTTACCAAGTTAAAGACATTTCAGTCCTGACCTGTCTAGTGTTTCTGGATTATGTATTTGTTTGTACAAATCACTGTTTTTTTTCTTTCTCATAACTGATTTGAAAAAACTGGAAGAGCAGCAGAAACATTATTTTATAACCATCAACCTGGTACACAATCATGCCTATATACCCTACTCACTACTAAGTTATTTTGACTCTTCTGTTGTGGTTTGCTAGACAAGTTAATAATTTGATTTAAATTTTGATGTTAGATGTTAGCCTGTACTTGCAGAATAAAAACAAAAGAAGTTTGTTATAAAGAAAAAATGATATTGCTTTTAAATAGTACATGTAGTTAAGACTGTATGGTTATGTACATCCTTACCTTATCTACTTCACATCTTATATAATTTGAAGACATTGGTTGTAACTTGTTAAATAATATTTTACAGCTTAATCTTAAACATAACATAAAATTTTTATATCATATTTAGGAAATCAGTCGTAATGCTGAAGAATTGATTACAGAAGAAGAGAAGGAAAAGAGAAGAGCAGAAAAAAGAAGAGCAAAGAAAAAGGTTTATTATATAATTATTACATGGTTGTCTTGCTGTTGCTTAATTACATCAAATGAACACCTGAGAGACATTCTATGACCTACGTAAAAACAATAATCCTGTCTGTACCTGTTATGTCCTTCATATTCATAGAATCCCAGAAAAATGTATATAATTACCTGTTAAAGTTGACAATAAAAATGATTTCTTACTGTATATATATTAGAGTATATGATTTACACTATTAGATCCGGTTATATCTTAACATTTAAACAAATTAAATCATATCATTTGTTACTAATTTAAATATATTTAGTGACAGTCAATATGTAGTGTACAGTGAATTCCAGCATAGGCAGTAACAATTGGGTTGTTATGCTCCCCGAAAAAATTTCAGGGGAGCATATAGTCGTCTGGTTGTCCGTCCGTCCATCCGTCCCGAATTCGTGTCCGGCCCATAACTTTGTTATTTGAAGTCGGATTTTAAAACTATTTCACAGAAATGATCACCATATTGAGACGACGTGTCATGCGCAACAATTTGGCCGCTACCTTGAAGGTCAAGGTCACAGCATGACCTTGCAGCAAAAATCGTGTCCGGCCCATAACTTCGTTATTGGAAGTCAGATTTTAAAACTATTTCACAGAAATGATCACCATATTGAGACGACGTGTTGCGCGCAACATTTGGGTCGCTACCTGGAAGGTCAAGGTCACAGCATGACCTTGCAGCAAAATTGTGTCCTGCCCATAACTTCGTTATTTGAAGTCGGATTTTAAAACTATTTCACAGAAATGATCACCATATTGAGATGATGTGTTGCGCGCAACATTTGGGTCACTACCTTGAAGGTCAAGGTCACAGCTTGACCTTGGAGCAAAATCGTGTCCGGCCCATAACTTTGTTATCTGAAGTTGGATTTTAAAACTATTTCACTGTATATATATTAGAGTATATGATTTACACTATTAGATCCGGTTATATCTTAACATTTAAACAAATTAAATCATATCATTTGTTACTAATTTAAATATATTTAGTGACAGTCAATATGTAGTGTACAGTGAATTCCAGCATAGGCAGTAACAATTGGGTTGTTATGCTCCCCGAAAAAATTTCAGGGGAGCATATAGTCGTCTGGTTGTCCGTCCGTCCATCCGTCCCGAATTCGTGTCCGGCCCATAACTTTGTTATTTGAAGTCGGATTTTAAAACTATTTCACAGAAATGATCACCATATTGAGACGACGTGTCATGCGCAACAATTTGGCCGCTACCTTGAAGGTCAAGGTCACAGCATGACCTTGCAGCAAAAATCGTGTCCGGCCCATAACTTCGTTATTGGAAGTCAGATTTTAAAACTATTTCACAGAAATGATCACCATATTGAGACGACGTGTTGCGCGCAACATTTGGGTCGCTACCTGGAAGGTCAAGGTCACAGCATGACCTTGCAGCAAAATTGTGTCCTGCCCATAACTTCGTTATTTGAAGTCGGATTTTAAAACTATTTCACAGAAATGATCACCATATTGAGATGATGTGTTGCGCGCAACATTTGGGTCACTACCTTGAAGGTCAAGGTCACAGCTTGACCTTGGAGCAAAATCGTGTCCGGCCCATAACTTTGTTATCTGAAGTTGGATTTTAAAACTATTTCACAGAAATGAACACCATATTGAGACAATGTGTTGTGCACAACATTTGGGTTGTTTTTACACTTTGAACTTTGTCTGTGACATAACTCTGACACTACAAGGGGTATACCTTCCTGTGTCCAAAACCTATGCGGGGAGCATCACCCGATTCAACCGGCTCTTGTTTTATGTAAGAATTCACAAGTTTATACTTACTTCAGAATATAAGAGAAAAAAATAGATATATAAACTATGTCTTCTTTGTAGAAGAATTTCTAGTAATGTTTATATATGTATATTTTTCAGAGAAGAAGAGAAAAGAAGAAACAAGAAAAAACAGACACCGATAGTTTTGAACCTCAGGTATTACCTTCACAGTTTTATCATAGTAAAAGTAGAAAAAATGACATTCTCTTAAGTGTTGGTCCTAGTTGTTATTAACCATTATAATATAAGTTGAAGTATCATTTAGTGGTTATTGTCTAAACTATATATCTGTATTTACATTTCCTCTCATGGCAGTATTATATCTCCCTTGTCCATACTTTTCATCTTACTGTCATGCTGTTCATAGACTGATAAAACAGTGGAAATGTTGGGGGCAGCATGGACACATGTATTGTTTTATACTGAATGACTTACAGGCTCCTTAATGTATTTGTTTTTTATGAACAAATCAGAACTGTTTTCTAAAATATGTCTAGTGTGAATACTTCTTATAGTGAATATTCAATATTTTATAAAATTATATACATTTTTAGCTCGACTTTTCTATGAAAAGGGGAGCTATCCTACTCGCCCCGGCGTCGGCGTTGGCGTCACACCTTGGTTAAGTTTTTCGTACCACCCCACTTTATTTCAGAAGTATTACAAGTATGGCTTTGAAACTTACCATACTTGTTCACCATCATAACCTCCATCTACAGACAAGAGTACATAACTCTGTCAAGGTTTTTGACAGAATTATGGCCCTTTTTTGACTTAGAAAGTGTATTGAGCTTGGTTAAGTTTTTTGTACCACCTCACTTTATTTCCAAACCATTGGAGGTATTGCTTTGAAACTGACCATACTTGTTTACCATCACGACCTTCATCAACAGACAAGAGGACATAACTCTGTCAAGGTTTTTGACAGAATTATGCCCCTTTTTGACTTAGAAAATACATTGAATATGGGTAAAATCCACTTATTGCCTTAACCCTTTGAGATATTGCTTTGAAACTTTTAATGCTATTTCACATCATTACCCCCATCTGTACGCAAGAGAAGGTAACTCTGTCAAGGATTTGTTTTAAAAATTAAGGCCTTTTATCGACTTAGAATCTTGGTTAAGTTTTTAGTACCAGTCCACTTTTTGACTGAACTGTTTGAGATATTAATTTGAAAGTTGGAATACTTGTTTACAATCATGATTCCCAAACATGTCCAGGAGAAGGTAATTCTGTCAAAGATTTTATTTGAATTATGGCCCTTAACTGTCAATGTTTTGTATTATAGGCAAGCACTAAAAAACTTAAAAAATCTAAAAAAATTCATTCCTATCCACTTGTTCACTTTACCATAAATTATGTCATAATAAAATAATTCTTCACTAAATATCTTAATGCTCATGGCCATTGTTCACTTTAAAAATACAGAGATTCTTGTATTGCCTTTTACTGCAAAAACTTTTTTTATTGGCAAGCAATAAAAAAGTCGAGCGCGCTGTCTTACGGACAGCTCTTGTTCTTACTGTTGAAGAGTTTATAATTGTAAGAATTGAGTGCTACCTTAAAATATTAATTCAATTGTGGATGAGTGCAAGAGAAACATCACAAAATAACTAATCAATTATTGAATGTTATTGTAGGAGGAAAAGAAATCATCAAAACAAAAAGTAAAAGAAATTTCTGAAAATATTCCAGAGAAAAATAAAAAAACAGATATGATGTAAGTGTTTATATTTAATATTGAAAAAACTATACTTGTTCAAATCTTAAATAGTTGAGTAACTAAAAAAAATTCAGTTAACAAAATTGTACTTGATCATTTGATGATGTCCCCATCTTTTTGGTGTCTTAAAATTTACATTTCATATCTCTGAAAACAGTTAAACTATTAACTTAAAACTACATATAACAAGGCAAATCCTTGTGTCAAGTTTGATAATTATGACTTGCATTTCAATATTACTATGTTTTCTTTTCACATATAAAATACACCAAAAATAACATTATTTGTGCATTGCTTTTTGCATTTCAATGGGTTATTTTAGAAATAAAGTTTAGGTTCCTTGATATAGTTACTAATAAGGCATCAGTCTAATGTAATTGTTTCCTCTTGTTTATTTGTTACTTGATATTCTGAATATATAAATTGTATTGCATGTCAACATCATTATTATCTATTTTCCAGGGGTGATGCATCAACATCCTCGGACGAAGCAGTAAGTACATTTTAGCACATTGAGTTGTATTTTCAGCCTGTATATTAAAATATCCAGGGTTTCTACTAGGAATTTTTATTTAAGAGTCCCAGGGACTCGTGCTCATAAAATATGAGGGTCCCAGAGAAAAATATGAGGGTCCTAATCATTATTACTTTAAAGTAAGGTATTACTTATATATATTGTCTAGGTTTAATTCTTTACATTTATATACATTGTTCAACTGCATATGCTTTTTAGCTCGACTATTCGAAGAATATGAGAGCTATTGTAGTCGCCCCGGCGTCGGCGTCAGCGTCCGCGTCGGCGTCTGCGTTGGTTAAAGTTTTTTGTAAAGTCAAATATCTCAATTATTACTTGAGATATTCAATTGAAACTTACAATACTTATTTATAGTAACAAGGTTCATCAGATTGACAAGTTTGATAACTCTGTCTACAATATTGACAGAATTTTGCCCCTTTTTAACTTAGAAATTTTGGTTAAAGTTTTTTGTAAAGTCAAATATCTCAATTATTGCTTGAGATATTCAATTTAAACTTACAATACTTATTTATAGTAACAAGGTACATGAGATTGACAAGTTGGATAACTCTGCCTACAATATTGACAGAATTATGCCCCTTTTTAACTTAGAAATTTTGGTTAAAGTTTTTTGTAAAGTCAAATATCTCAATTATTGCTTGAGATATTCAATTTAAACTTACAATACTTATTTATAGTAACAAGGTACATCAGATTGACAAGTTTGATAACTCTGCCTACAATATTGACAGAATTATGCCCCTTTTTAACTTAGAAATTTTGGTTAAAGTTTTTTTGTAAAGTCAAATATCTCAATTATTGCTTGAGATATTCAATTGAAATTTAAAATACTTTTTTAGCTCGACTTTTCTATGAAAAGGGGAGCTATCCTACTCGCCCCGGCGTCGGCGTTGGCGTTGGCGTCACACCTTGGTTAAGTTTTTCGTACCACCCCACTTTATTTCAGAAGTATTACAAGTATGGCTTTGAAACTTACCATACTTGTTCACCATCATAACCTCCATCTACAGACAAGAGTACATAACTCTGTCAAGGTTTTTGACAGAATTATGGCCCTTTTTTGACTTAGAAAGTGTATTGAGCTTGGTTAAGTTTTTTGTACCACCTCACTTTATTTCCAAACCATTGGAGGTATTGCTTTGAAACTGACCATACTTGTTTACCATCACGACCTTCATCAACAGACAAGAGGACATAACTCTGTCAAGGTTTTTGACAGAATTATGCCCCTTTTTGACTTAGAAAATACATTGAATATGGGTAAAATCCACTTATTGCCTTAACCCTTTGAGATATTGCTTTGAAACTTTTAATGCTATTTCACATCATTACCCCCATCTGTACGCAAGAGAAGGTAACTCTGTCAAGGATTTGTTTTAAAAAAATTAAGGCCTTTTATCGACTTAGAATCTTGGTTAAGTTTTTAGTACCAGTCCACTTTTTAGCTCGACTTTTCTATGAAAAGGGGAGCTATCCTACTCGCCCCGGCATTAAATAATGAATTGAACTTCCTTCATGTAATTCAAATATCAGTTTACAACGCATTATCTACATAGTGGACCCACGAAAAGTAACCAGTCACCCACAGCCTGTGTGAAAGAGATCCACTTGTGACCAACTGACAACATCTAAAAAAGCTTGATAAAATTTATCTATTACTTGTATTATAAGGTAACTATAATACTTTCACATACAAAGTCAAATCTATATATTATGCTGATTGTACAAAAATATACTGCTTCCTTGGCATAGATTTCTTGAAAAATTATGTTATTATGTCATTTACCAAGGTGTTCTGAGTGACGTAAAAAATACCTTATTCTCTCAAAGTGGGTTTAATACTATTAAATTTATTTAAGGCTCAACTCAGTTTTTTTTTCTTTCTTACCAGCCCTCTTTTGACTTAAACATTTCAAACTTTGCTGCAGTGTTCAAGGGTATCACACAATTCAGTAAAATAATTCTTCACTAAATATCTTAATGCTCATGGCCATTGTTCACTTTAAAAATACAGAGATTCTTGTATTGCCTTTTACTGCAAAAACTTTTTTTATTGGCAAGCAATAAAAAAGTCGAGCGCGCTGTCTTACGGACAGCTCTTGTTGTAGTAATATTGTACATCAGTTTGCAAAATTGCATAACTCTGTCTGCAATATTTGCAGAATTATTTGCCCCTTTGAAACTTAGTAATTTTGGTTAAAGGTTAAAGGTCTTCAAAGATATTTACTTGAAACTTTACACATGCACTTAGGGTCATAATTGGAGGGTCATAATTGTATGTCACTGACCAAGTTCCATAACTCTATCTTGCATTAAGGCTGATTCATATCCCCTTTTCTACTTAGTCTCTTGGTTAATGTTTACATGCAAGTTTTACATATCCCAATAACTATTAAAGATATTTATTTAAAACTTCACATATGCATTTAGGGTCATAATTGTAGGTCACTGACAAAGATCCATAATTCTATCTTTCATATAGGCTGATTTTTCTCCCCTTTTTCAACTTAGAAATTCATGGTAAAGTTTTGTTTGTAAGCTGTTATCTCAATAACTACTGAAGGGTTTGTGCCTTTTTTGGGACAATTTTATGCATTCATAATAATAAAGCAGTGATTTACTTGATAAACATCTTAATAACAAGCCTTTGTACCTTGTCTGTCAAATTTATGTATTTTATAGGTAATTAGTATTATTATACTCAATAAAACACCCTTGTGACATTACCTTCCGAATAGTCAAGCCAATACTGTATAATTAGACTCTCTCTAAGGCCTATAACATGAATTTATATAAAAAATTAGCCCTTTTTTGAACTTAAAAAATTTAACATTATCAAGGCTCTTTTACTATCAAGCACTTAGAATAGTCGAGCGTGCTGTCCTTCCGACAGCTCTTGTTTATTGACCTTGTTAAATAAAATAAAAAATATAAACCATTTATTATTTATTGTTACTTTTTATTTTTTCATTTGGCTGAATGTTTGTGCAACTTGCATAAAGTCAAGATCTTTCACATCTGGTCCGACTAATTTTATCAATTGTTTAACTGCATATAGCTCTACGTCTTGATGACGTACAAATGTATCTATTTTGGAAGTTCAAACATCCATTTTCCGAGGCAAATGGATTACATTTTTTGGTTGAGACGCAATGGCTGCATTTCATATCCGTGGTTGTCTCGTTTTGGACGAGCCACGGGTAAGTTAACTTAGCCACTTTTCATTAAAATTGGGGGAGCAGCCGACATGTTTTACGATTTATTTTATAACAAAAAACGCATAGACTGGGACGCTTTTTTAAGGTCGACTAAATTCTAGTGTGCGCCGTTTTATTCCGTATTAAACTGTAATTAATTGAAAGAAAGATAACTCTGCTGTATTCAATATTAGAACCCGTCTACCAAATTACGTCATTTCCTTTAAAGAAGCGGAAGGAATTTCCAAATGATATTTACGGAGGAAAATTTAATTTGCGTCCCCATGGACGCACACTTAGAGTAATTGAGGGTCCTAGGTTACTATTTTTGCGTCAAGGACGCAGGAAATGTGCGTCAATAGAAACCCTGAATATCCCCCTTGACCCTTGCCCAAATTGATTGTTTTAGTTGGCACATATTTTTCCTCAGATAAAAATGAAGTTGAAATGTTGTTGTATGATGTTGATCATGCTGTTATGACTCAAGGACTGTTGTACTGTTAATGTTTTATTACCATACTTGTGATTATTTCAGGGCTTCGATCCAAATTCAGCATTTTTCACCAAAGTCGTGAACAAAAAGAAGAAATCTCCATTATCCGTGGAAACTCCACCTTCAAGGCAGAGGAAAGAAAAGGGAGATAAAAGCGATGAAGAATCCGAAGAATTAGATCCAAAAACTCTACGTAGTAGACAACTTGCAAGTAAGTTTCTTCAGTATACAGTGATATATATTCCATTTTGTAAATGTTCTGTGCATAGGTAATGTGTATTTGTGGAAAAAAAATATTGGAATTTTGCACATAAGGGAATGTACACCATAGAAAGGTGTATTCCAATTGTAATCAGATTGTAAGAATTTGAAAGGCACATTATTCCTCAGCAATGAATAAATATTTTACTTTTTTAAATGGGGCAGACATGTCTTAGTTATATTTCAATAATTGAAGTATATTAGATGCTTATTACTAGAAGTAATGGGAAATTATCTGTCAAAAAAAGAAGCAAAAACGTAAACATATTCAGTATTTTACCTTCTATACAAATTTCTGATTTACTGTACTAATTGCCTGAAAGCAAAATAAGCAAAAGCAGGTGCAGCTATATTGCCAGTGAGTACATTATTTTAGGATAAATGGGCCTTTGATTAATCTGTTACAGTTAAATGTAATTAAATATTTAAATTATCATATATGTTCACAAGTAAAAATGATTGAAATAAAAGATATTTTAAATTTATTGTTTCAAATATGTTCATTTTTACTTTTTCAGTAAAAGGCAACGAGATGGCTCATTTAGGTCACTATAATGCTGCAATAGAATTGTTTAGCGAAGCTATAAAATTAGATCCTAAGGATTTTAGGTAGGTTATTCAGATGTATTAACCTTGTATTTGATAAACTTAGCTTTTTCCCCAATTATTGCTTTAAAATAAAGACTGTCTAAAAATACACATTTAAAGTCGTTATTAAGAAGAATGTAAGAAGAATTTATTTATTGAGCTGAGAGTAATTCAGAACAATTGAAAAAATTCCTGATAATTGTGTATTTTCTTGTCGGTTCTACTGCTTCTGTGTCTAAAGAATTTCTTGAACTATGATACAATGTCAAGTCAAGACTAGTTTTGAAATATGTATGCAATCAAATATGGCCAAAAGCTCCAATCTTGAAAACGGTATCTTGAAGTTAATAGATAATTCTGTTATTGGAGCATAAGACAGTTACAGGTATTGCACCTATGGTGGTTAGATATTATGTAGGATAAGTGACTTGTTATATTGAGTAAGTTTAGGTTCAATACTGAAAGTATTGAACACATGAATGAAATTATACTATGCGAGCCTCTGGCAAGCATGATTTATTTAGTGATGAAGCTACACGAATATAATATTCAATGAATCATATCCAAAATAACAACTGTCCACAGAAAAAAATGCTTTTTCATTGACATGCTTATAGTGTCACTGTAACAGTTGGCATGTTTTTACACCCTGTTTGTATAACACAAATATTTTTTTTTTACTGATTGGTAAAAATTGGTATGAGTATGTTAATAAGATAATTTATGTAATGATATCCTGCACTTGGTGAAAATCAATCAAAATTTGGGGTTATATGTTTAATTTACAGTTAGCTTGTGACCGATTTAAAATATCTTTTTTATCACTATAATCTTAATGACATTTTAATGTTGAATTGCAGATTTTTTGGTAATAGATCTTACTGCTATGATAGAATACAACAATATGAAAAGTAAGTAAAATATTGTATTTGAATGTTATTACAAGGTCATACTGATGAAAAATGATATACATGTACTAAGTACTGACATTTGATGAAAGATAATAGAGAGTATGTTATACCATTTAAACTATATAGTACTGGATATGATTTATATTGCCCCAACTTTGGGAACTGGGGGACATAGCTTTGTTCTTGTCTGTCTGTCATGTAATGCTGTTAGTCTGTAGACTAACAAAAACACCAGAATGAACGGGGCAACTGTGTCTTATGGATGTGTTTTGAATTCCTTTTAACATTATGTTAAATAGTAAATGCTAAGTTAAATTTGTACTATGTGCTTCTTATGTAGCTTTTAAGTTGAAACTTTCTTTTGTGAGTTTAAGGGATTTCTATATAAAATGAGAAATTTCACAGTCATCGGTATTAACTCATCAGTATAACTGCATGTATGTTTATAAAACTATTTAAATGAAAGAAGTTAGGTTTTAAAATGTTTACTCTTTTTTCAGGGCATTAAAAGATGCAGAAAAAGCAATATCATTAGCAAAAGATTGGCCGAAAGGCTATTTTAGACAAGGCCGAGCTCTGGCTGGATTAAAAGTGAGTTCTTAATGTTTTAAAGTTTAATGTTTTAAAGTTTGAAACCAACAAATTTTATTACTAATGAAAAAGCCCTGTACATGTGATAATGCAAAGTCATTCATTATGTTTGTTGCAAACAAAAACATATCTTTCTGGCTTTCCTTTAATAGTACAATACTAAACAAATAATCAAAAGAGAAGGAATATTTATATGAACTAATGGACTATTTTTTCTATTTCAGTCATTATTATCTCTCCTGTAACATTTTCATATAACACAGACAATATGTAAGAATGTTCAGCCTTACAATCATTCCTCATTCACCTTTTAAATAAAAAAAAATTATAGTTTGAAATTGCTAATGGTGGTTTGTTTATTTTTTTCAGATGTTTCCCAGAAGCAGAGCAAGCTTTTACCCAAGTGTGCTTAAATTAGATAAAAATTGTGAAGATGCTGTTCAAGAGAACTTTTACGAGTGCGAACTCATCAAATAATGGTAAGTTATTAAAAAGATTGTTTTTAAAATTGTGACTATGATTCTTAACTTTTCACTGTGAAATATGAGATAATTATAGATTTTTAGCTCGATCTTTTCTATGAAAAGGGGAGCTATCCTACTCGCAAGCCCGGCGTCGGCGTCGGCGTCGGCGTTAGCGTTAGCGTTAGCGTTGGCGTCAACAACCTTGGTTAAGTTTTTTTCGTACCAACCCCACTTTATTTCAAGAAGTATTACAAGTATGGCTTTGAAACTTACCATACTTTGTTCACCATATTTTGCATCAAAAAAATAACCTCCATCTACAGACAAGAGTACATAACTCTGTCAAAGGTTTTTTGACAGAATTATGGCCCTTTTTTGACTTAGAAAGTGTATTGAGCTTGGTTAAGTTTTTTGTAAAGCCACCTCACTTTATTTCAAAACCAATTGGAGGTATTGGCTTTGAAAACTGACCATACTTGTTTACCATCACGACCTTCATCAACAGACAAGAGGACATAACTCTGTTCAAGGTTTTTGACAGAATTATGCCCCTTTTTGACTTAGAAAATACATTGGAAATATGGGTAAAATCCACTTATTGCCTTAACCCTTTGAGATATTGGCTTTGAAACTTTTAATGGCTATTTCACATCATTACCAGCCAATCTGTACGCAAGAGAAGGTAACTCTGTCAAGGATTTGTTTTAACAATTAAGGCCTTTTATCGACTTAGAATCTTGGGGTTAAGTTTTTTTGTACCACCTCACTTTTATTTCAAAACCATTGTAGGTATTGCCTTTGAAACTGACCATACTTGTTTAAACCATCACGACCTTCATCAACAGACAAGAGGACATAACTCTGTCAAGGTTTTTGACAGAATTATGCCCCTTTTTGACTTAGAAAATACATTGAATATGGGTAAAATCCACTTATTGCCTTAACCCTTTGAGATATTGCTTTGAAACTTTTTATGCTATTTCACATCATTACCCCCCCATCTGTACGCAAGAGAAGGGTAACTCTGTCAAGGATTTGTTTTAAAAATTAAGGGCCTTTTATCGCGACTTAGAATCTTGGGTTAAGTTTTTTTAGTACGCAGTCTACTTTTTGACTGAACTGTTTGAGATATTAATTTGAAAGTTGGAAATACTTGTTTACAATCATGATTCCCAAACATGTCCAGGAGAAGGTAATTTTCTGTCAAAGATTTTATTTTAA